ATTAGAGAAGATTAAACCTGAGGGGAATCCATGTGGATTTAGCCATTTATCAATTTATAGACTAACCTGAAATTCTGTGTCAAATAAGGCTCGGAACAACTTCAAATCACACGGGACTCTGGGTATTTCAGGGGTAACTAGAGTATCAGAGGCTATCGTGAGTCTGCAATAAAATTGTGTTGGATGACAAAAAAAATGGAGGTTAACGGCATGGCAGGGAGAGTCTGCTGGTAAAGAGGCAGAAGCACCAGTTTAATCCTTGTAAGTCTTAAAGGTGAAACCTCATCAAGGCTTCTTTGTCATTAAAAGGTATTTCATATTAAGAAAATCATGTATAAAATTAGTTATATAATAATATTTCACAGGAAGGCAGAAGACCATTTTAAAATGTATCAACACTGGGAAGATTAAGCAACTTTCCAAACATAATTTTATACGCCACCACTTCTCTGGTGCAGACAGAAATATATTTTACTCAGAGAATGGATTAAAAAAAATATTTTTGTTGATGTGAACAACAACACCGGACTTCCCTAAGAACTTCTTCAGTTTAGCAAAACAGTTATTTTTAATGCATCACTGAAGTTGTTTTTGCCATTTGCAGAACTGATGCATACCAGCGGGAAGCATCCTTTACAAATGTCTTTCTCTGCACAGCCTTTTTTCCCTCTGAAACCACAAGAAAATGTTCTAAAACTGAATGGTCTTTTAAAAAAATAAATCATTTCAAAACTTTTCCTTGAACTTGCGTGACGCTTTAAAGTCAATTATATCAGAGTAACATTTGATTTATTAGAAATAAATATGTCCATGAAAAAAAAAATCTTACCCTGGCCCCTCATCTGTTTCCACTTCCATTGGTCACCCTGCTGCAGTAATAATGTTAATGGAGGAGTGTCAGCTGCCTTTTTGCCTTAAATGCGATAAAAATCCTTTGGTGACCCAATAAGTCAATGAAAAGTAAATTTCACATGAACTATTGGAGCTTTAATGGGAATGTGGGGGGCTTTTATTGGTTTACAATAATCCAAACTGTGAATTATAGTAAAATCAATGCCTTTAAAATAGGTTGTCCTCTTTGTGACCACTGGTTAAGACTACTTCACACCCGCTAAATGTTTCAGATCAGCCAACCAGTCCTTTGATGAAGGTGTATTTCCCCCCAATACAAAAGCCCAGTTTCCCCTAAGTATCTCAGGGTTGTAACCATATTTTGTTCGGCTAATGTTTCTATTGGCATGTCTCCATCACAAGATGAGCGTTGTGCATGCTGGGATAGTTTGGAAAGCAGCTCTAGGTCGAGTGCCAGTGGTTCATTTGACATGAGTTCTGGCATTTGGTTACATGTAGACCCAGCGGTATTGCTCCTGTAAAGAATCTCCACATTTGGAGCAGCTTATTTTAGATGGTTTCTTTCCCATGCAGCGCTCCTAAGAATCTGTAAATAGATAGACGAGAAATAACTAAACGTTCAAATTGAACGGAGAAAATTAAGGCAAGAGGAATTATATAAAAGAAAGGGCGTGTAGGTGCAGAATATAAAACAGAGTTTTGACAAAAGAATACCAGGAATATTAAGAACAGCCTTCCTTGCTTTCCTGGGAGAGTTTCATGGAGTGCTTTCTCACTGTGATAATGAAATGACCTGGCCTGCACTGCTCCGCTCTCTCAAAAACATATCTCTGAGACGAGGGTGAAAATGAGAAAATCCTGCCTCCTCTCTCGAGTTTGTAAAGCATACTTTCAATATTCCTTTTCTCAGAGAATGATGCCAGTGTGAGTAACTGGACCTCTGAGTTCTTGTGAGCATTGTTTATGACGCTGGCTGTGTGTGCATGCATTATTCTGTGTGTGTCCGTGCAGCTTGAAGACGCTGGTGCAGCTTTGAAAAAAATTGTAATAAACCGCATTTGAGGCACATTTGACATAACAGGGTACAGTGCAGAAATCCCATAGAGCTGTCAATGTAACAATGTTTCATAACCGGATTTTTGTGGCTTTCGTGCAGTAAAATCAATACAGCAAGAAGCAAAACTTAGATCAAGGACTTGAGTATTGTCCTATTTGAGGGGAAAATCCGATAGGGTAATGTGGTCCCGTTGTTGCTGCTTTTTGGACCTAGTCTTGTGGACTCCGCTAGACACTCAGGCTGTGCCAGACTGACTCGAAATGACTCACCAGTTTGATCCAACACAGGCCGCATGCAGCCCATGCAGCCCTCAACTTCTAGTTAACATGGAATCTATGGCAGCACTGAGGCAGTGCGCTGTCATTGGGTTACATAATCAACAGAGGAGTGAGCGAGTGTGTGTGCCCTCGTTCATTTGTGTTGCTGCAGCTCCTCTCTGGCTGTCAATCACGGGGTACACCAAAGCCACTCCAGCTCAGGGTTGCTGAGGTGGACTTTCAGCAACAATGGAGCTTAGCGCGCCTGTGTGTGTGAGTCTAGGTGTGAATCCGCCGGTGTTTCTAAAGGCACGAAGGATGAAAAGACAGTGGAACTTACGAGGCTGGAAATGTAGAGGCGAGCTACTAGCAAGGTATTAGCTGCGCCTGCTGTAAAATGAGCCAGTTGAGGCAGTGCACATGTTGACTCACAAGGCGCCATTTACATATCTATTGTGTGTGTTGTTATTTGTATCCCGTTCTATGCTCCCATGCACGCTTGGTTGCTTTCTGCAGGCTTATTTGCGGTGGTGTATGTCTCTGTGTGAGCCAGGCGTGTGTGTTTAAGCAGGCGTGTCAAGTTTTGTCAGCTTTCTCACTTATGCTTGTTTGTGTTTGCATATGTATATATGTATCTATAAATGTATGCATCCCAGTGACTTCTGTGCAGATAGGATTTTCTTCTCTCTGGCATTAAACTAAGTAGGGTATCTCTTGCTCAACGCTGCCATCTGGCTTTGGCTAGCACCACCACAGACATCCTGGGGGAGCTTTCCTAGCGAGTCAGCGTCTGCTTTTAACAACTGTTTCGGGGTCGGTTGTCCACTGTGCCGGTGCTAACTCACCAGGATGAGCAGGATGATAAAACTGACCTTGAAGCAGTTATGGGGCTGGGATAATGGACACCACTGATAGAGAGCCCATCAAACGGCACTCAGTTCTAACTCACAAAGGAAAATAATCATTCGACCACTTAATATTATTTTGAATGGTATCTAAAAATGTATGAATGGACATCTTGCATATTACTGGTCAATTAGCGGTGACCAATGAAAGGAGTCACCTCTTTATCTGCATTCACTGTAATTCAACATATTAATAAGTGTTTAAATAAAATCTTGGTTAAGAACTACATTAACTCAGATATATATATATAACATGAAGTGTAAAAGGTCCCTTCAAATAATCTCAGTGCAGAGGGAACTTGTAACCAGTAGGGGTCAGAAAGTAAAAAAAGAAAAACACACTTGCATATAAAACCCAACAGAGGTGGAAAACAATTAGGTCAGATTGAGGCCAGACCATTTGTATGGGTCACTGTAAAAGTGCTCATATGTATGCAGGCTTATAGCCCCCCGGGGAGCATTGGGTTGACCTTGTCCCATACTCTGATCTATGTCCTCATCTCCCCTTATGCCCCCCTTTTTCTTCATTCCTCCTCCTCTCTCTTCTCCCTTCTTTTTTATCACCGTATATCTTTCTCGTCAACCCTACCCCACCCACCCCCCCCTTTGCCACCTGCTTCAGATATGTCTTGTTATCGTAGTTTCTTTTTATATACCTCCTTTCATTTAACTGTTGCTCCATTCACATATTATTCACACACTCTCGCTTTTTACTCATTTTCAGGTCTTTTTTTCTCCATTTTCTTTATCCCCACTTGTCCTTTTTCCATATCAACAGCCAGTCTAATAAATAATGCATCACAGCACATTAAAAACATTAGTAGGGTTCTCTTGGCTGTCAAAGGCAGGGAGGAGAAGGGGGGGAGGAGGGAATGGGTAACTCCATCTTTAAATAAGTGTTGTGGAGAAAGATGGGATTTAATATTAGCAGCAGTAAAGCTCCAGAAGAAAGGTGAAGGTCCGAGCGTAGTTTGTGTTGTGTCCCTGTGTCCTTATGCTCAAAGGTTTTTGCCTTTGGTAAATCATCATCTTCCAGACTCATAAAAATGATGAGTGTATTAGCAAATTTGAAGAAAAGTGTCTAATGACATTTAGCAAAACACGGATTCTGCATCACACAGAACCTTGACCTTTTCCCTTCGAGCTTCCCTCATTCGCTTTCTCGATCCTCTGCTCTCCTTTCCTCTCAGCTCCTCTCCTCCTTCCATTCCTCCTGGCAGCATGGCGATTGGCATTATTAAAAATTGATTGGCGGCAAGTGTTTAGCAGGGTGGCGAGGCGGAGATGGAAATTTTGACAGGCAGGAGTGAAATGAAAGGCGAGCCTCAGCGGACACAGTGTGGAAGGTCTCAGTGGGGGACAGTCTGAGTGTGTGTGTGCGTGTGTGTGTGTATTTGTGTGTGTGTGTTTGTGCGTGCATATGCATGCACATGTATTTGTGCACGATACAAAGAATGGCTGAAGCAACAACTTGCAGTGTGCCCTGAGAACTGATATTTTGTATTTTGTATATACTGTATGTTTGGATTATATTTTCTGTGTTCGTATGAATCAACAGCATTTCTGAACACAACGGTCTACTAAGACAAAATCACGATGATGCACATGTGACTCAGCTGACCCACAGTTCCATCTCTATCATCCGCGCTCACACTCATCTCCCTCTGATACTTCCATCTCCAGCCTTCCCTATCCTTTCATCTAAGATCAAATAATATTTCCAACCAGCTATTCCCCCAATGGCTGTAAGTGCTACAGCTCTGGAGATTTTCAATACACTTTACCAATAATTTAGTTGAGTGATTATAAAAAAAAAAGAAAGTCCTGAGGCAGAGGAGGGTAAAAGCATGTGCCATTACATGATTTTAACTGTTTTTTCTCTCTCTTTTCTTACTTCTCCTTTCTACTATTTGTCCTCTCTTTATCTAACTATCACAGATGAACAGACCTATCCAGGTGAAGCCAGCAGACAGTGAGAGTCGAGGAGGTACTGCATGCCCTTATTTGCTCCCCTCTGTCCCTCTTTGTCCCTTTTTTCCTCCAGTCCTACAAACATGCTGCCTGTGTACATCAGTCTCACCATTATCTGTCCAGTTAGACCATGCACTGCACCACGACGCAGCCTGACAACGCAGCCTGGCCGGGCCCTCCAGTATTCAGAACACATTATGTAAACGGAGCTCCTAACTTGGAGTTTCATCAAATTCAATGATGCATAGATGCTCGAACAAACACACACACACACACACACACACACACACACACACACACACAGAGAAACATAAGCAGTCTCCTCTGTCAAACACCTTTAAAAAGCAGTCTGTAACAAAGCAAAATGTATTTAACTCGTGTCACACGTTTGCATCAGCCGAGAAAACCATCAATTAAACCGCACACCTGCTTGAGTGAAAGTGGATGTCTCGTCTTCTATATTTTGTGGACCCTGCTTTGCTGACAGCCAAGACCACTTAAAGTGAATTTTCTGCGTCTAGACATGTAGTGACCCACTCCTGACATCAATCAATGGTCTGCACAAGATAGGATTGAAGCAGTTTGACAATTTCTGGACAGTCTTTCAAACTTTCCAGTGTTGCCATAATTGGCACCCGAGCAATTCTCCAGACTCCAGAAAGAGGGAAAGAGAGACGAGTAGAAAAGAGGGAATAAAGCAAGCAAGTTGCTAAAAGTTGATAAGCAATAAAAGCGTAGGGAGATTGAAGTCTTAGCCTGTAAAGAAAATAACCTTTACAAAAAGGAAAAGAGGCTGTGCAACATCCTCCTTCATTTAGTCTGCTGGTTTTTGGAGGGTGATTGATGGAGCAGCAGAAAACAGAGGCGAGCACTGAGAGTGAGGAAGCGCAGCCCAAGTAATCCAAGACACACATAGCCGCCTGAATTGGAGGTCTGTCTTTCTCTGTATAGATGTCCTCAGTTCACCTCTCTGGCTCTCATTCATTCGCCATTTGTCAAAGGTACTCACTGTAATGTCCGGGTGTTACACTTCTCGTACCAACTGCGCATAAAGAACTAAAGAAAAAACAATTGGATATTAAAAGAATAATGCTCAGCTATCAGTACATGCAAAGTGCACATAAAATATCAAAAACAGGCTTTCTGCAGAAAATTGTGTGTATCATTGTATGAATTATAAATCAAATGCTCTACAGTGCAAGTGGCATTTAGCGGCTGCAGCTGGCCAAGACGAGGGATTCATTTAAATATTTTACAAACTGCCATATCTGCAAAGCACTGGCTCCAAACCGACGGAGAGGATGGCTTTACAAATGAAACCAAAGCATGGCCTGTCATCAGTGGTCCACATTTATTATGAATCATTTGACATTGTGGCAATCAGTTACTTGTGAAAATACAAATGTGTTGCCAGGGCAGAAAACACTTTGCTGTGAGGAAACTGTCATTACCAAAATCTTTTTTTAAAGCTATCCTATCCAGTTAATGAGCACACAAGGGAAATGATTTTCACTAAATAAGTGCCATTAATGACTCTATGAATGATTGTTGAGAACTTCATGGACTTCTTCAGGAAAGCAACATTTAGCAGCTGGTCTTATTTACATTGCAAGTTTTAGACTGAACTAGCTCATAATGGTTTTCACATCAAAACATCTGACACAGAACAGTGCTTATTAAGTCTTTAGAATCATAAAATGAGTACTTTGGAGTTTAGAATCTAGCCCCTAAACTGAGTGTAAAGCAGTGAAAAATGGAAACTACTTTAGTAAAAGTAGCTGTGCATTATAACCCTGAAAAGTAGCTATGCATTACAACCCTGAAGCACATCAGTTGTTGTTTTTCTGAACACTCCAGCATTATTGATTGTGAGAAGATGGGATGTTGCAACTGATTAAAGGCATACTTTCATCCGTTATCAATTAAATATATAAAAACAGATTACTTTGGTGAGGTAGGACTCTGGTCCACCTGATTTCTGAATGACAGTAGAGGAAGATCAGGGAGACACATTGTCATGAGCTTTCAGTGTGTGTGTGTTTGTGTATTTAAGAAACAGCTTTAGAACTCTATAGCATATGGATTTGTTGAATATGTGTGTGCCTACATATTTGTTGCTTTTTACTTTCCCAAAGAAAGATGTTACGGTCCCTGGAAAAGTGTAAGCTTTGGCTGCCACTGACTTTATACGGTGAATGAGTATGAGCCCAACAAGATGTAGGGGTATAGACATTTCCTGCTTTGTGTGTATGTCTGTGCATAGGTGTGTCCTCCAACACTGATGTGCTACAATCTTGTAAACAGTCACTATACCAACCCACCCCCCGGTGCAAGGCCAGAGCGCAGATTAGTCTTGTTGAATCGGCAAGGACAGCCTGTTAAGCACAGGCAGTTGGGAACAAGCCCTCAGCACACATGCACACACACACACTCTCGGATACGCGCTCAGATACCCACATACACGCATTCATTTGCAGCACACATTCGGAGGCAATTTCTCTGAGGCTCATTAATTTCCAAACATATACATCCACTTCCACAAAGCTCAGAGTGTGTGTAGCATGAGAAGAGAGAACAGCCCTGCATGTGCACAGATCTGCTACAGCTGGGCACTTACACACTTTCCATGGCTGTCTCACAGCTCTCTCCAAACTCAGTGACATGACTACACTGTCATGTGCTGACACTAATGAACCTCCGCTGGACTTCAGTCTGCCTGTATTTCATTAAAGCCCATGCATGACAGATCCATATATTATTTTATTAAAGTCCCTTCTCCTTCTTTCTTTGAGAAAAGAATATATTTTGGAAATGATCAATTTGGCTGACGTGAGGTCCACAGAGTGTGTTCCAAACCTTGCATTAGCACAGACACAATCTGAATTCAACATAGTGGTTGGCTGATGCCTGGAGATTGTTGTTACGACTGCATATTTAATAACGACAGCAAATATCGTACTCCGTGTGAGACAAAGTTCGACTGGAAAAAGTGAGGTCAGGCACACCAACACATCTACCCAGTGTGCTGCCTGACACGTGTGACGGGCAGAATTACCTCTCTGAAGGAGCTTTTATAATCATTAAAGCGACAAGCTAGGCTTCCACAAATTTGCCACGTTATTTTTACCTCTGATCATGCCTTCTTCTTTCATATCCACCTAAAACACTGAATGAATCAGTACCTGATTGCAAGATGTCATCTCTAACACATACACAGTTATTAACTTTCAGCAGAGGATCTTTCTCTTCCCTTGATTTTAGGCGCATTTTCATTGTGGTGGTATTATGCATTGTAAAATCAACAGGGGGGACTTTGAACTTAACCAGATCCCAGAAACTCCCACTATGAAAAGAAAAACAATTTAATGCCTTACAACATTAAAGCACAGCTAGGAGTAAAAATATAGGAGGGTTGCCACGTGCAGTCTGTTTCTTACATTATTACAAACAGGCCGTGCAGAAGACGTTTCGGATGAAGCCCAGAAATAAAGGCAAAATAATAAGAATTATTAGAAGTGCAGACGATCATGTTAGTCTCTTAAGTGTTGCAAAGCAAGGCAGGTTTGAATGAGTGAAACGTTAACTGCAAACAACACATTTCACGACAAAGGGATTAGGTCCATGGCTAACAAAAGATATGTACCAAAGAGACAGTAGGCTGGAATAGAAGCACAAAATATGAATTAACTTTGGACAGCTGGCCAAATTGTATGACGGCGTGTCAGGAGCAACACATTTGCTAAATAGCATCTCTTATTTAAAATGCATAGTGGTACGAGAGCAAAGTGGTAGAGCACTGAACGAGAAATACACAAGAGCTGGATCATTAGTCAGTGAAAGTCTACATGTCGTGGCTGTATGTAATTAATTCTAAGCATCTGTGTGTGACTTCATCTGAACCTCCTGCATGACTCATCTTTCAAACATCACTAAGCATCTATGAGAGTAAAAACAGCATGGTCTTTATTCTTTTCCACGAATTCCCCATTTATATCTGAGGCCATCAGATGGGCACCTCTGTTGCTCTGATTGTGACCTGCCCTTCCTCCCTTTTTAGAAGACAGAAAACTCTTCGTGGGCATGCTCAACAAGCAGCAGTCAGAAGATGATGTGCGGCGCCTTTTCGAGTCCTTCGGTAGCATCGAGGAATGCACCATCCTCAGAGGTCCCGACGGAAACAGCAAAGGTGAGTTTATAGCTGTTTATGACTTTGAGCCGGCGGAGTCTTTCACAGGCTACTGCGCAGAAATGACTTGGCCTTTCAAAGTTGGTGACTTTGCAGAGTTCTTCTCAAACTCCTGTGCTAAGTTACGTCAAAGCGGGCTCTTTCACAATCATCTGAGGAGACGTTACATAAGAATTCTGTTGATTTTGTGAAATCTAACAGAAAATGCCACTGCAAAGCTTTGCCCACAGGGATGGGAGATAGAAGTCACCACCACTTTCCAGATGCACCCCATTAACCTTGTGAGTCAACGTACATGGCTCTGATAAAAAAAAGAAAAAAACTGTGTAAACCTTCTTGTTAACCACTGGGGCTCAGGTCACACCCAAAAAAAAAAATCCAGTTAAAATGTTGGCAGAGTACTACACAAGTTCACTGCATGAAGTTCATCAGTGAGCTTAGCAACCAATCAATGAGAGCCGATGATAACTAAGCCTGATGATTACAGTGAGCTTGATCATTCAGATTCTGCCGTGAAGCTCCATTAACAAGGCTTCATCAGCCAGCTTACTCAGCTAAGTGGGCTCAATAATTAGTGGGAACTTGATCATTCAAATTCATCAGTGGCACTTGTCAATAGTAAGTGACACCAGAATGCTGTGGCAATTTCACCCCATCAGGCTACTTTTAATGGTGTCAAAGTGGCATGTTTAGTCTGCATATTAAGCGTCTGATACAAGTCTCCACACCGTAGAAGGCTGTCATTAAAAATGTGTTCATAGCTCTTAAATTCTATCCCAGTAAAAAAAAAAAAGGAAAAAAGTTTTCTTTTTTACATCGATGCTAAAAAAAAAAAGTTTGCTTTTTTTGTTCTCACTTCTTATCCCTTGACACATTTTCTCCTCTCTTGGCCTCTCTCTCTCTCTCTCTCTCTCTCTCTCTAGGCTGTGCATTTGTAAAGTATTCCTCTCATGCTGAAGCTCAGGCAGCCATCAGTGCACTACACGGCAGCCAGACAATGCCTGTGAGTATGCTGTAACTGTGTGAGAGAAAGTAGTTGTGTGAGAGAGGTGAGTCACACCGAGAGATGAGTCAAACAGCGTTTAATTAACTTCTTTAAGTAAAGTTACACTTTAATAATCCCAGTGTGGAAATGTGTCCTTTAGATATGACCCATCCTACACTTTTCAGCCCAAACTGTAGCTTTGAGGCCATTGCATTGGCAGGCAATAAGAAGAGGGTGTGTGTGTGTGTGTGTGCTTGTGACCGTAGATACAAGCTTATGTCATGCATCTATTGAACCACAGTTATATATAGTGCCCGGTGGGTGTGTGTGTGTGTGTGTGGGCACGTGTGTGGGTGGGTGTACAGGGTGCCTCATCCAGTCTGGTGGTGAAGTTCGCTGACACGGATAAGGAGCGCACCATCCGCCGCATGCAGCAGATGGCTGGTCAGATGGGCATCTTCAACCCCATGGCCCTGCAGTTTGGAGCCTACGGAGCCTACGCTCAGGCAAGACCCACAAACGATTTTTTTTTTTCATCCGCAGCTATTCATGCAACAAGCCACGGAAATGCATTCCAAAAAGCCCAACTCACACAGAAATCTGGGGCAGCAACAGCAGAAAAAAAAACCCGGGTCAAAGAATGGCCATTCTGTGGGAGTCACTACCTGCTCTTTGCCTAATAGCCTCTGTTTCCTGTCTTGATGCTTTACCTCATTTCACTTTATATCCCTACTCCTTCCTTTTATCTGTCTTTTTTATTCAGTAACCCTGCTCTCTGTGCGGCCATTTCATTTATTACTCTCAACCACCCTTACAGTCCCCACTCCTCTTGCAACTGCAGGTGCAGCAGCAGGCGGCGTTGATGGCGTCTGTGGGCCAGGGAGGCTACCTCAGTCCTATGGCAGCCTTCGCCGCAGCCCAGATGCAGCACATGGCGACCATCAATGGTCTCCCAGGAACACCACTGACCCCCACATCAGGTATCAGTGCATTCAGATCAGAACCTCTGCCCTCCACCACGGAGATGAACAGTGTTTACTGAAGCAAACCTAAAGCTGTTTTTAACATGAGCTGTTGCAGTCTCGTGGGAGTTAATTGTAGAAATGATGAGCTGATGTTATCAGTGTTCTTTTGGTTATGAGGGGAGGTATGTCTGAATCCATGTGATTATGTCTCAGATCATCCACAGAAATGATTTTCCATTCAGCACAGCTGTTTTGCTTTGACTGTTTCCATGTTAGTGGATATCAAAGATACAGCCTAACTGATGAATTATGCTTCCAACAACTGTCACAAGCAGTTTTGCTTGGACACAGAGAATTTTCAAAATGGGCAGATCATTACAAAACAGATTGTGCACACAGATTTAAAGCTTTTTTGAAAGAACCGTGCAATGTAAAGTGCAATTAGGCAGTATTACAATGAAGTACACACTTTTTGCACTCCTTCTCTGTCAAATTTACTTGATATATACCAACATAAAAGTGGAAAGGATTTTGATTACATTATATATCATCCATTTTCTGAACCGCTTATTCCTTGAGCCTATCCCAGTATTCAATAGGCACCCTGGACGGTCCGTAGTCGCCAGTCCATGAGCCACATAAACAGACGAAAAACCACACACACTCACAGTCACTCCTAAGGGCAATTTGGAATGTCCAGTCAACCTAACATGCAGGTTTTTGGACTGCGGGAGGAACCCAGAGAAACCCACACAGACACAGGGAGAACATGCAAACTCCACACAGAAAGGTCCAGGGTCCCCTGGGACTCAAACCCAGAACCCTCTTGCTGTGAAGCGATGGTGCTGACCACCACACCACCCCATTATATGCCCTCTCAATCCAAGGAATTTAAATGAAACTATCTGATTCCAGAAATAAGTGCCTTTCTCAGTTGTGGCCAGTATTAACTATCAATCATGTCCCTTTTTGTTTTCATAGCAGAGCAAAGTGCAAATTAGCATGACTGAGAATTCCTAGCTTGTTTGACATTAACACAGTTTGCACTATTCTCAAGCATAATGTCTGAGAATCAGATTTTGTGACTGTTCTGTAACCCCAAGGCCCTTTCCCCGACAATAAATCGGCACTGACATTTAGTGTCTTCACCGGACCACTGGACTGACTCCTTTGACATTTTGCGAGAGCGGCCAGGTGGCCAGTCAGTGTAAAACTTTCCCATAAGGTCTTGCTGCAAAATGCAGCGGGAAGCTTACTGTGGCTTTCTGTTTTGATGACTGCAGGTGGCAGCACTCCCCCAGGCATCAGCGCCCCCACAGTGACCAGCATCCCCTCTCCCATCAGTGTGAATGGTTTCACTGGCATGCCCCCTCCCCAGGCGAACGGGCAGCCACCGGCAGAGGCTGTCTTCACCAACGGGATACACCACTACCCAGGTAGGTCTCACCTAAGGGGCTGGAAGATCCTCCGTGCAAAAGTAGTATCAGAGGCAGAGGCCACTGACGTAAAGCACCTGATGAATACAGTGTAACTTCATGGCACACATCCATTGTAGCAGGAAAGTGTGCATTATGTTGGCTTACATGCGTGAATACCCTCGAAGCATGTTCAGCGGACTGAGGCCAAGCAAATGCAGCCCACAGACAGCGAGCATGTCGGGGAGATGAGTGTCTGGCAGAGGTGTTTATGGGGCTTCTGGAGCCTGAGAATGTGCGTGTGTCATGAGCCATGGCTGGTGCCTCATTGGTTTGTGAAAAGGTGGTAGCACAATATGTCTACTTTTTACACTCTTGTCTCCCCAGTGTTGCAGGAGGTGGTTTTTAGGGAGGACTCAGAGAAAAACGGCTTGGGCGTGGCTCCGCGGAGTTGTTTTGGGGTTCAGGGTGGCTGCTTCCTCTCCTCTCTCTCTGAAGGTAGCCCTCTTCCCCCACCCACCCTCACCTTACTTCTCTTTGGGCTTAAAATGTTCTGTAATCATCTAAAAATCTTTTCTAAAATTGTGACAGAAACAAAAGAGGAAATTATCCTTTCTTAATGCACAGTAGACATCGGTATTTGCCAAATGAGACACTGTAAACAGCATTTGTGCAGAACATTCAGTAATATGAAAGCTTAAATATTGAGAGACCGGACTTGGGGGCTGTCTTTAACATAATTGTTTTACTAAATACTGATATCAAAATACTAAATATAAAGTAAAAACTATTAAAAAAACAGTCTGCTCTGAGAATCATTCATTTTCAATAAGGTTTCTAAAACAAAAAACATTCCAAAGACAGATTCACTTACTTAAAATGCACTTAAAACTGGTTGCCACAGAAGGCTGTTGGAAAATCTGCACCCCTGTGTGCTTATTCGGAGTAGCTTTGGCTTTAGCTCGCACACAAAATTTCTAAACACCTCTCAAAACTGAGAGTGCTCTGAGGATATCTAGTACAGACCAGCCCCTGACTTACCCAAACCCGGTTCAAGAAAAAATGTCCCTTTTTAAGATACGACAGATTGAGTGTGTCCAAACTCAGCAAGGTTCACAGCGGGATGGCTCAAAAAGTAAAAGTTTAATCACCACATGTTCCAAACTGTGACCTAGTACTAACCCATTGCTCCGGGCAAAAACGGATCACAGTTTTAAAAAGAAATGCTGCAACATCATTTTACACACAGTTAGTTTTATGGAGGCCTACTTCAGCCCTTCTCTCTCTTCCTGTCTTCTGGCTATTTGTGATTGTGTCAGTGTTGCTGTTAGTCAGTGTGTTAAGTAATTCTTTGTTTTTAGTGATACTGGAGTTATTGATGTGTACATGGCAATTGGTGTGTGCTTTTCTTTTTCTCAATGGCTGCATGTCTCATGTGTACAGATCTGTCTTTCTTAAGCGTGGCACAGCTCTCATTGTAGATGTAAGTGCATAGGGGTGCAGAGAGAGTTTAGATCTGTGGCATGGGACGTGATAGCAACAGTTGTGCCCAGTGTTGTGTGTTTCAGTTGGATACTCAAACAGTAAATAGAATTCACTGGATTTATGTGATAAGCACTAGTTCATATACTTTTTTCTGTTACATTTTACTGTTGTGAAAGTTCCCCGTCTTGTCTTTTATGTTGTTGTTTTTTTTTTTTTTTTTGGTCCTTCAATGTTTTTTACTTTTCTGTTCTTCTAGAATAAAATGAGTTCCTATTAAATGGGAGGAACATTAAGTTAAAAGGCCTGCACACACTGAAAGCAAAGTGAGTTGCCTCCTCACTGTTTGACTCTAATCTCTCTGCTTTTCTTCTTCTGTCCTTCCCTCACTTGTTCTCCCCCTTTTCACCCTTGTTATATATTGCTCCCGCCTCTCTGCCCTCCCCTCCATCTCTCTGCCTCACCCCTCTCCCCCTACACACACGCACACACACACACACACACATCCATCTGCGCTCACCTCCACCACCTCCTTCTTCCTCATCTCCACTCTGTGTCTCTGTTGAAGCAGCTCAGAGTCCCACTGCAGCTGATCCTCTCCAGCAGGCTTACACAGGAGTCCAGCAGTACGCAGGTCTGTCCGTCCCCCTCCCCGCACAGCCAGTCGCTACGGCCGCCTACTTGCATGGTTGTGTGTTTGTGCCTCTCTCAGAGAAGAGAGGATGACAGAAAAAGAAAAGGCGCGGATAAAGATAAGCGCTCCCTTTGTTCACATGAGAATTTTGATCATGTAGCATTCAGCGTTTCCGTCTCACCGCATCGGTGTATTCTGTTTGTGCAACACGTAGACTCTATTGTCTGTTATCTGATCGATCGCTTGTTGTGAGCCTGCATATATCACATTGTTTGTATGTATCTGAGCGCGTTGCTGTAGACATGACCGTTATCTGATACGGAGAGTGTGCCTGTGTTTGTGTGTGTCTCAGCAGCCTACCCCACTGCATATGGTCAGATCAGCCAAGCTTTCCCGCACCCTCCGCCCATCATCCCACAGCAGCAGCGAGAAGGTAACCAACACCGGACGCACACGGCTGCAAACAGCTCCTCACACTTAACTCCGTTGACTTTCTTTTTCTGAGTAGCTAATCCTCCTCTCAATACAACAACCTTTTTTATAAAACAATATCCAGGCAGATCAGCGAAAACAGCGTCGCAGAGGATAGTTTTAAAAAGCAGGGAAAGGGTTAAACGACTCTCTTTGCTGTCTCTTTGCTGATTATGTTGTCATGTGCTATCCACACAAGAAAGGTGTTTAAGATCAAATGAATCATGAAATAAAAGGAATAGAAAATGAGCATTTCAAAGCCAAGCGTAAACCTGCTCATGAACTTAATGACCCTGAGGCCCAGGACACCCATGACTGGGACCTTACTGCCCTCTTGTGGAAAATATAAAAGAATGAAAATCACTGAGCAACTTTGGCAGCACAGATACAAACATTATAAGTCTATAGAAATAATTTGATAGGGAATACATAAGAATTGCACTTTATTAGACTTTATCTTGGCTTCCATATTACTGAAAAAAGGCCTTAGTTTAAAAGGCACTCACTGAACGGCACATTTTGGGTTTAGAGAGTTGCATTTGTTTAGAACAGTTAAGCTGGTTTAAAACTTAAAGAAGAGGGAATAGTTTTATGTAGAAAACTCAAGCTTTTTGTTTGCATATCTGGAGAAAAACACCTCTGCTTCATTATAAATCTGAGGAGCAGACGTTTTTCCAACGTCTGCTGGAAAAATAATTAGTTATCACTGCCAGTGCCTGTCCGCCACCTAATCAATCGAGTTTGATCAGTTGTGTCGTTGGAGTGTACATTCCCCCAGTAGTGCAAATGCTGATAAACTAAGATTTTGTGGAAAAATCTGCATTCATGTTGAATTTACTGTCAATGACCAACTGCAATGATGAAAAATTATGATAGTCGGTTTCATTTTCCCCTTTCCAGTTCTGTGTTTTTGTCTCTTTTTGGTCAATGACTTCATATGTAATATAAGTCTGTGAAGTGGTGATGGAGCATGCCATCATCGCTGTACAACAGAATGTAAAAATCATAATGAGGGAATCAAAGGGCAGCCAGATGACTTAAACAAACTAAAGGTCCACAGGGCTCAGCATCTACCATCTATCCGTCTATCACTTTTTTCTTGTATCATTTTGGAGTTTAAAAGAATCTAGTCACCCATCCTCATTTATTATTTTTCCTGCATTTTAAACATATTCTTCAGTCGTGGCCTCCCTTCTTTGTCCTTACCCCTGTTTCTCCTCTTATCTCTCTGTCTGCCCCCCCTGCCCCCTGTTGTGTTTCTCTCTGTTTCCATGCAGGACCAGAGGGCTGCAACCTGTTCATCTACCACCTCCCTCAGGAGTTTGGAGATGGAGAGCTGATGCAGATGTTCCTGCCTTTCGGTAATGTCATCTCCTCCAAAGTGTTTGTGGATCGGGCGACAAACCAAAGTAAATGCTTTGGTGGGTAAAAATGATCAAAACCAAAAGATTATTGGTTATTTATTCTGAATATTTTTTTCTTTCACTAATCACATTTTTTTGTTTTGTTTTGTTTTGAAACCACAGTCAACAACCCCTTTTCCCCTCAAACCTTTTTCTCTGCTTTTTCCTTTTCAAAATGAAAACAAGAGATTAGGGAATATATCTGCATTTAAAGCTCTATAATGACTTTGCCAATCTTTCTATTAATATTTACAGCTGTTTTACTTTGACGTTCAACTATCTCTGAGTATTTATCTTTTGTGTCCATGTAGACAGTTAATCTTCACATTAATATTGCCACAGTGGCTCTCACCCACAGCGAGCACACAACAGTAGCAGCCGCTCAGGCAGGCAGACATAAAGACTGCTGTCTGACTAGACTTTAACACCAGACTGGCCATTAGCAAAGACTTGTTAACGGCCAGAGTAACATGAAAATTTCGAGATGAAATATTTATCTATGTTCATCATCAAGAGAAAGTCAAAAATAAAAACTCTTGTGACTATCTTTTTCCTCCAATACTGTGCAAACACATAGATTGTTACATTAGCTAAACTGAAACACATTTTTAATTGACAAACATTAACATTTTAGTTCAGCTTGACTTGTTGTATTATCTTATATTATGGATTTGTTTGTAATTAACAATAAATTCCTCTTTCTCATTTAGGAAGATCATGTAAAGGACAGCTTGCTAAAGTCATCCTCATCTCCACTGCTCAATAATCCCAAATTGCCCGTGTTACCTTATCTAACAACATCCTCCCCGTCTCTCTCTTTTGGCCTATCCCCAGGGTTTGTGAGCTTCGATAACCCAGGTAGCGCCCAAGCCGCCATCCAATCCATGAACGGCTTCCAGATCGGCATGAAGAGACTCAAGGTTCAGCTCAAGAGGCCAAAGGACGCCAACCGCCCCTACTAGCCCCCGCCCCAGCCAGCCGCCGCCATCCTGGTGGCCGGGGCACCAATTGTGCACAGGAAAAGACAGGTCAGGTTTCCGCCTCCCCTCGTCTGTTTTTGGTTTTCTGTCACTTTAGAGTTTGATATATCGCGATCTGCAAGACTGCACCATTCCACCTCCAAACAATCCAACAAGATCTTTTATGACACTGTGATGTGTTTTCCATAAGCATTTACAAAAGTTCTACAACGTCTGCAGGCAGCTAATATCCACTGGATCATCTGTGCACTGCTTGTGAAGATTTGCTAAATCTGTCCTCCTGCAGTCTAGCGATATATTCGGTGAAAACAGTATCAGCCGTATTTGTCCAAGACTCACTGCAGAGTCCTACTAATTCACTGCTGTGTAAGAGAACAAGCCCACGCCATTTTCAAGTTCAAATAATCCCACTAGCATCTCATTCAGAAAGCTTACAGTATAACAATAAAAAAATATTGAAAGAAATCGACATATTGCTGTGGAATGGAACTGATGGCTTTCCAATGTTGGAATGATTATTCTGTCTTAATGGCTTGCAAACAAAAACAAAGTGGTCAGACATTTACATACACATAGCCTCTATTTGCAGAAGATTTTTGCAGTATGTGGCCGTGCATCTCACGCCGTAGGTAAAAGATAATTGGTAGATGGTTTGGTGTGTTGTGCTGGAAAGGAAGTGCTTCCAATGGGGAGGCATTTATTACCCCTCGGGCGGGTAACCGCCGTTCCTCTTTGTCTCCTCCCTTCATCTGTGTGATGGAGAGCACGGGCTGTGTCGTTCATTCACCACTGATGACTTCATTCAAGGGCAACTTATCACCCACTCACAAACTAACTGAACCATACCACACGGTGTCCCACGGCAAATCACCACAGGCAGAAAACTGCAATCGCGTCTGAATTTGTCAAAAGGAAAAATATGCAGCGCCACCCCTTTTGATATATTGAAACATTCACAACAGAATGTTGGAAAAAAAAAACATACTTTAAACGGATCTTTCTTTGCCCAAAGACTTCATACACAATGATGTAAACAGGAAACAAATCCTAACGGTTTGGTGGCAGAGTCATTAACGCCATCACTGCCAGGAGCCCAGATTAACTGATTGTTTTTTTAAAACTGCATCTTTTTTTATCAACAAGTTCTTAAGAGGTTTTTGCATTCTTAGAAATTCTGATTTCTTTAACAATGATATTTTGAGTGTGGATGAGTCTAGATATATACTGTAGCTGTGTGGGCATAATGTAACATGTTCCTCTTTTTGCTAACTAAATACTCCCTTTTATTTGTTTGCTTCCCAGGTTTTGTTGGGCTGAATCATATGTTGACCACTTGCTACCCACCACTGAGTGCAAACTCTGCATCTGGACCACTGAGGCTGCTTCAGAAAAAGAGGAGAGAGAGAGAGAGCGATGACAGAATCAAGGACGCCTCCTTTTGGATGTACTAAAACTTTAGAACTCAGAGAGAATTTGTACCAGCCTGGTTAGCCCCAGGACTTCTTTTCTCCTGCACACATATACACACCTCTTCCCCCACAAATACCCTGCTTAAATGACAGCTACCTTCTCTGGACCACAATAAACTTTTACTTGAAAACTGAGGGAAGAAAAAAAAAAGAAGTAAAAGAAACTTTATCAAACCTACTTACAATGACCAACCCACCTGAACTCTTAAGGGAAGACGGATGTCAAAAGTTCAACGAGTGCAAAACTTTTTAAAAACTGAGTAGTGGATTGCTGTAGGAGATCTTTCTGTGAGATGGTTTGAGGGTGTGGACGATTGAAGACCAGTTTATAAGGCCTGAAACAAAGAGGGACAATTTCTTGGAGAAAGAACTTAAGTAGGGAATGTGATATTTTCAGGACACAAATTGGCTTAGACTTGGGATGGCCATCTTTAGCTCGGAGTGCCTGTCCGTTTCCAGGGGATACCGTTGCCGAGGAGAGCCATAGCAACGGTCTCCAGGGAGTCTTATCTGTCATTCCTTAGTTGTTTTAGGGACCAAAAGACCAAACATTTTTATTGCTAAGGACTTGTAGCTCTAATATACTCGGACCACTGCATCTCTTTTCAGCCAGAGTTAACTGGTCGGAGAGTTGCACTTAAAAGAAGTGTACATTTCAAATATATACAAACACATGTATATATACATATATATTGCTGATATGCTTTTTGAATACAGGCAAAACTATTTCAGATGACCAAATGGGGTCTCTCACTTCACTAGTTTACAAACTACTCAAAAAAATGTTTATTTTTTTCCCTTTTCATTTTGTCTCGCAAGGGATGGCGAGTGCATGGGAGGGGCTGCTCCGTATCACAGCCTTATCTTTTTTAACTTGACATCCTAACCTCATAAATAGAATTAACATCAGAAACGTTTGAAATATATGAACTTGTTTATATTTGCAGTACATATATATGTATAACAAGCATTCAAGCAATGTATGTATTCATATATACAGTATATATGGATAATAGATATTAATCACAAATATATGTATTTATATGCACATATTTTATATATGTGTGTCTGTATATAGAACGGCTACTGACTACATTGAGCTGTAATTTTTTGTAGATTTTAGCTGGAGTTTGAAACATTGCTCTGCATACCTGGCAGCTCCCAGAATTGCAGGCATTCCTATCTCTGATTAACTAGATGACGACACACAAAATGTTCCTAAAAGATACATGTGTGGGAAAACACATATGGTGTAAATACTGTCTCAAAAATGCAAAAAGCCACATCTCAGTAGCAGGCTTTAAGAGAATCGGGCTACACGATCTTAGACGAAAAGGACAATTATCTTCGACTCTATTCCAAACATATCGTTTGAGCTTAAACACGCAAACACAAGATTACACTACAAACACCCGCCCACACACAAAAACTTCTCTTTGACACTTGAGCCAAAACCAATATGTCTCACAACCCTTTGCCCTCTTTTGCATTCAGTAAAGTGCATGTAGCGTATGGGCTGTCACCATGTCAAGGTGTGCCTTGTCACCTGCAGAATCTGCCATCCAGCACTGTGCTCTCCGAAAACAAAGAAAGAAACTGAGAAGAAGAAGAAAAAAAAAATGAACACACACTACTGCAAGCAGCCAATGCGCTATTATGATGTCAAAACTACAGCAAGATCCATATCATTTCTCAGCCGCATCTAGAGAGCTTTGGTGCATGTCAAGTACAGCAAATCGTCCAATCACTGTTCCATTGCTGTCTTTCAAAAAGAAAAAAAAAGGCATTTAGAACTAAAGTAGAGCGTAGAACTACACTTCAGACAAAAGTGGGCATTAGGTAACCTGTTAGCACAGGTACTGTCTATCAAAGCTGTGTGCAGGGGCACCTGGGACTTTGTATTGCTGGATGGAGTGAAAAGAAGGGTGTAGTTCAGGGTTACAGCAGCTAGAACACAGCTGAGGACTAAGGACTGGGCTTACTGAACTGAGCAATATAATTAAAGTGGATATGACAATGCAATGTAATGTTGATGAATATGTTGCAGGGCTAGCTTCCCACCGAACAGAAAGGGCAAAAAAAAGGTTTTGGACCTTCCTACAAATCAGTTTAAGTATGAACCTTCGCTGCTGACACCCGGCATGAAGCATCTACTCTAAAAGACGTTATATTGCCTTATTATACTGTATGTCCTCATACAATTAAAGGTAAACTCAAAGCTAGACTGAAACTGTAAAATAAAGCAATAAGTGTGAAAAATCCATTTACCCATTACAGCTGCTGTATCAACGAGGCAGGCATAAAATTGCTTTGACATACAGTTTCTCATAACAGTCCAAAGAATCGTATGAATACCTACTGTACACCTGCAAAAGGTCAACAGATGAAGATTTATTGGACTCTGCATTCACCACACATTGAGTTGGTGGGGATTAGTTAATGAATATTCATATATATAAATATTTATAAGGCTATATGACACTTTGGAAGACAATGCTTCCTGTTGTGTGCAGTTACAAGTTCCCTATAAAGCGCTCATTATGCTATTTCCCCAGCGTCTGTGTATAACCTTTTTAACTGTTTGAATAATTTAACATTTACCTTCCGAATCCAGCGAGGCTTAAAGACCACACTATACATCCCAGGATGCCTCTGTTTGTGTGTCACATACTACGAAAATCTCCAAAGCTTGTTATGCAGTCCAGGCCAGATGACCGTGGTGATAAATTGCGCCTTGAGACACGTGGTGGCTCAGAGCAAAACCTCTGGCATGTTCGCCAGAACTTTCTCAATATAATATCTACAACCAGCAAATTGTCACATCCCGTAACCATGATCGCCACCATGTGCGTTTTTTTTTCTTCGTTTTTTTTACTGCCCCCTGCTAATCCAATGGAGTTTTTCTACAAAAAAAGAGAGAAAAAGGAGTACACAGTTTTTGCTTTTCTTATGGTTTGTTTGAACTCGATCAGTAATGCCTTTTACCTATGTTTTCATGTCCAGGAAAATAAGACGAAGCAGAACAACCATAGGGGAAAAAAATAAAGATGGCCAGGCACCTCACCTTCATTCGCTCCACCTTAAAGCTGCAAGTTTACACAGGAAACGTAAAAAGAAAAGTGGTTCAAAAACAACAACAGACAGAGCAGAAGTTTGACTATAAATATATATATATAAATATATAAATATTTACATAAACCGATGAATATACTGTAAATTGTTTCTTTTTTTGCTCCGTTTTTCCCTGTACATAGGTTTGCATATTTTATAGGACTTTTACTTCTATCTACAAGGACTGGATAAAGTACTTTAAATACTTAAAAAATATATATATGAATGAAAACATGATAATGCTCATTAAAACCAGGTACAAAAAAAAAGTCACTAGGATACGGTACAAACTGTAGGACCTGACAAAGGCATTTACCCAGAATACAGTCAGGGAGAGCATTGACCTCAGTTAGAGCTTAGACACTCATTATTTTATAAAATAAAAATACTTTAGTGGGTTCTATTCATTTATTTGTTTAAATATTTATTTAGAAGTCATGTCAAGATGATATGCATGCTTTCATGGCATTATTTTTCTATGAGTTGGTACGTGACCAAATAGTTTTTATATGACATGCATGGGCTACTGTTGTGGTCCACAGATGATCATTGTTCCTGTCTGCAGGACCATGCCTTCAGCACTCCTTTGATCATGGAGAAAAAAGAAGAAAAAAAAGAAAAAGAAGCTCCAATTGACCAAGTGATGTCAAAGACTGATTTTAATCGTTTATCTATTTATTCATTAATTTATTTTGCATTTATTTATGTGTGCTGTTTGATTCAAGATCTGAGCTCTCCTATTTCCACTGATCTGCTTGCTTGTAAGAGCTATGCTGTATCACCATATCACATCTTAACCACTGTTACAGTAAGTATAACTCAGAATTTAAAGGGTGATTTCTCTGTCGCTGGTAAACTACACACAAAAATGCAGTAAAACACTTGAGCCTTATGTATATTGTAATTATAGATTCATACTTGTTCTGTCCTTTAAAAAAAACAAAAAAAACAACTTGGCTTAGTTAAAGTTGTCAAAAAAAAGAAAACAAAAAAAAAAAGCCAATTTGGTCTCTCTTAAATTCTAGTCATTTGATCCATTCTGAAACCTTTGACCATGATGAGGGGGTGATTCCTGCTGAAACATTTCATGTTAAACCAATTCCGAAGAGAGGATATACCTTAGGGTCACGAGAAGTTGCTGCTAGTATGTAATTATAAAAAGACTGATTTCTTGTTAATCACTGATACAATGGTGGCATGAAGCAAGTTTTCGCAAATAAAACCATTTTCCAAATGTTATTTTAAGTGTTTGACAGAGCTCTGATCTTGTTCAACTGATGTGTTTTGCCAAGAACAAAATTCAATCAAGACTGCACTATTTCATAAAAAAACAAAACAATTTCCTCCATTTCCTTCAGCGCTGTTGTTGATATGTTTTTATTTCTAAAGCTCAGTAGTGTTGCTAGAATGCCATTTTACATCATGTGGTTTTCAAAGTATTCTGGAAATGTACTGTATTTCCCAATTTCAGCACAGATGGAGAGTGGGGAAATGAATGTTGCATATTAAGCTTTGCCAGGTTACTGATGAGCTGAGCTTCTGATTGGGCAGTGCGCTTTAGGTTCCCGTCCCTTTCTCTCCAGACTGCACCATTCTTTGGTCCCCTGGACTCCTCTTTTGTAATTTTAATGAATGATGCGTCTCAGCTTAGCCCAATAATAAAGCACAGTCTAGAACAAGATATCCTGAGTGGTCTCATAATTCTTGGTAACTTTTAATCGCCTAACATCTGCAGTGGAAAGTTTTGGAGGCGACGATGGAAATATTGGCTAGACGTTTCCTGGGGCTCACCAACATTGCGTGATTTATGCAGAATATATTCGAGTCAGATTTAGGGGAGACAATTGTGAGTCATTAAATTTAGTTTTAGCTACTCACAGGCAGCTGAAGCTCCGGTTTTCTTGGCGTAGTGCAAGTTAACCATACAAACAGAGTCTGTACTTAAATGACCATTTATTTGTGGAATGAACTAACAAAAAAACATAAAACAAAAGACCAGTTTCCCATAACATCAGCACAATATACAAGATCAGATTCAGACCAATTTCAGAAGGCCGATGGAGAATTAAATAAAAAGACACTTCAAAGATAAAATCAGGCTGGTGAATATTAAACGACTTTATTTTCCCTCCCCTCATTTCCCCTCCTCCTACTTTGTCAGCAAATAAAGAAAATATCCTCCAGTATTTGGCCTTCTTCCAGGTCCTGCCGAGTACACCGAGGATAAGGCCCACCAGGAGTAAGCAAGATTCGGCTTGCTGATTTGGGGGCGGCCAAGGTGGACCTGTGCTGTGAGGTTTTGGGTCTTCGAGCGCCCGGCTTGAAGTGCTCAGGGGCAGAGATGGGACTAAAGATATCCAACAATTCAACCATAGAAAAGTCCAACCTGAAAAAAAACAACACGTGTTTTTAAATCAATCTCCCCCCCCCCACTCCCAACACATGTGACCTGAGCTGGTTTCAAAAGGTTGAATCTGCTTTGGCCGAGTTCATTGCAAAAAATCTGAAGGAGCCCCGTAGACAGGAAATGCTGGAAATGAGCATCCTTGTAGAGAAAGAAAAATCTACTCAAAGGACAGAAGTTCCACTACGTGGCCTCAAAGTGAAGTAGAGTCACAGCTGGTGTTCCAAGTTTTCTGAGTTAGTGAAAGCCATCCACAAACAGAACCGGGACTGAATAATTTGGGATTTATTAGAAGTGAAAGCCAAGAGGCCAGCATCAGGCAAGTACAAGGCTGAAGTCCATTTGGACTTTGAATGAAAATATTCTATCCGTCAAATAGAAGACATTTTTTTGCTGAAAATTCAACTAAACCCAAAGCAACAGCATTAACATACAAGTAAAACCCACACGGGCGCCCCACGAATACAAAAAACCAAACAAATAAAAGCCGTTTCTTGCAGGTGTATGAGACTAAAAAGAGAGGAAAATCTGCTGCTTTCTCCCCTAGAATGAAAATGAGGGAGTGTGCTGTGAAATAAATAAACCAAAACGGGGGAGATTAAGCTAATAGAGATTCAATCCCTCAGCCTGGCTGGCTTGATAAATTATTCAGTGTATACACAGTCGAACGACGGCCATTCCAGATACAAAACATGAATTCTTTAAAGCACGCCCGGCTGATGTGGCTAACATAATTCTCTGCTCGTTTAAAGCTGCATCGATTTGCATGGCGCCGCTCGGAACACAGCTCTCACAGGTAAAGGTGATCGCCGGGGTGCACTTGTTGATATGCATGTGGGTGGTCAGCGGACAGACACAATGGTGGGGCTTCCAATCAGCACACATCTGTGTTCATTCACACAGCTTAATACATCATGTTTTCAATAACGTGAGGCAGCACACATCATTATTTTAAGAGCATTAGAGGGCTATAGTCTGCTTCAGCAACATGAGCTAATGTATGCACGTTTGAGCCAGAGCGACAGAAAGAGAATAAAGGTTAAGTCAACTAAGGAATGAGAACTAATAGGCTGGGGGGGGGGGCAGGCTAAAGATCAAATTAGTGAATCTGTCATCCTCATTTGATCTTCTGCCTGTCAACAGCAAAGGCAGAAAAAAAAGGGAGGGGAAAAAAAACAGAATGAGAGTGATCAGTCTGCTTGGATGAGAGGCTGGAAATGAGTGCTGCTTTGTGGATAGAGGAAGGCAGGGAGGGAATGTGGGGGAGGGACTTTGGCCGGGTTGCTTCACTCAAAATGTGAGAATTTGCATTTTTATTTGTTGATTTATTTAACAGACAGGGCTCTCAAACAGCCATTCATCAACAAACGACATGTTGGTAATGAATAATGCATCACTTACCGGCAGTCACAATCTATAACAAGGGTGGAGTGGGAGTACAGTTTGGGCAGGAATTGAGGGGTGAGGAGAACGGCAGTGGGTGGGGTGAGAGAGGAGAGGTGGCACAGCAATTGCCCACAGACTAAAGAGAGAATTGCAAATCGGTTTCTGATGAACAGACAAAGAACTTCATCTTTTGGGTCAAGTTTTCATGAAAGTGAATTACTATTAGAGTCCTGGCAAATCTACATTACTTCTACATGCATAAAGTGGAATTGAACGGACAACAGTGTAACTATTGCTGGCTTCAGAAAAAAGGCTTCAGAATAAAAGGTTGTTCTGGGGAGTAACTGTATGACCTCCATCTTCTGTCCCAGTCAATACACCAATAACCACCCAAAAAGAGAATGTAAAAGAAATTACACTTTGAGAATTAGACTTGCTTTGCTCCAAGATGCCTCAACTGCTTTTAAAGTTTTTTTTTTTTTTAATCCTTTGAATATTATTTTTAAAAAACAACGTCAATACTCTGTCTATGCCAACCCTGTAAATCCACAAAAGTCCTCAGCATATACTGTCCAACACTTTCTTCCCGCCCATAACTTTCACTACTTATTTAGCTTCACTCTTTCATTAAAGACAGCCGTCTCGCCCCGGTGCCCCTTTTCATTTGCAGTCCAAACAGTAAGATAGAAAAAAGAAAAAAAAGGGAGGGAAAAAAAGAACCTATAATGGCCAATGCATACATCCCGCATGACAATTTCCAAACCAATCAATAGCAGGCGGGCAATAGCAGGATAGATGGAGACGAGATGGGCAGGGTGTGCTGGAACTGTCTCATTACTAACTAGCAGAGAATTCATGAAAGGATTAAGAAGGTCACCTGATGTTAACCCCAGCTTTGGTTTTCCAATTTGCACATCAAGAATAAATTGGTTAAGATTAGACAACCATAAGGGGCACATTGTAGCCAAGTGAGAGACGGTATCAAAATCTAACGGTGGTGTGGACTTTTCTAAAGTGACGTAGAAAATTAAGGGACATTTTTATTTGATGTCCCTTAACCAAGTCATGCAAGGTTTAAAGGAGCTTTATTATGGGATAAAGGTTGTCTTCATATCAAGATTCCTGTTAAAATGAGGAAGCACTAAATCTAGATTCAGTCCAATTCATTCTTTTTATCATGAAGCATGGTAGAGCCTCATATATGTATGGACCATTATATTGATGACTAGTAAGAACCTTTCCACATTTCGTGGGTGAAAGATTAAGGACTTCTATGCAGTAATTAAACTGTAATCAAAGTCATCTCCAGTAAACAATAAAGTCTTCACCTCATTCACAGCAATAGTCTCAAAGCAAAAGCTCAGTAAAACTTGGATCATGTACAGTCCCCACAGTTCAGACTACATAGTACAATTTTAGATATTCTGAAGAACTATCCTTTAAAAAAATTGAGTCCTGTTGATGGCAGAGCCGCTGTATTGCTAATCAACTACCACATTTACGAAAAGGTAGAAAGAAATGTGATATAACAGGAAAAAAGATAAATCAAACCTACAGCAGGAACAGAAGTTGAACTCCCAACTTTTCTTGCTTCCCTCTTTTAATTTTATCCAACGCCTTCACCCTGAAACACACTTTAACATCTTCTCCTCACTCTTGCTTTCTGTGTCTCATTACTGTGGCAGAGAGAGAAAGGAGAGCAGTGTGTGCATGCAAGTCTGTTCAATTACACCTGCTGCAGGATCCCTGCTAGGCCGACTAATGGAACGCAGCATGTGTCCTGACAGGCTGGCCACAGCACTAGCTAGCCCTGTAAAAAGCTTCATTTAGCTCCTCACAGCTCAAAAGCTTTGCCAGCCACAAATGTGTTTTTTTTTTTTTTTTAAATTAAGAAAAAAAAAACTAAATTGGTCACCAATACTGTGGAAACCATTATTAAGAAAAAAGTGCAAAGTTGAAAATTTACACCTGCATTCTTTACATGTTTATGGAAAATTGATCATATTTTTGTTACCAAGGGAAAAACACCATGTAGAGGGGTCATAAACTACTAATAAAATGCTGCTAATTATGTCTCTAGTGTTTTTCCCACCACCCCTTTCTTCACCTTGATCTGGATAAGATCAAAACTTGCCAGAGGTTTCTCCAGGTTAATTGTTTCTCAGCTCTTCTTCTAAATTTGTCATGACAAAAAGACAGTTGATGGAACTGAACCATCATTAATATTGCAGCCTTGCGTTGGCATTTGTGAAAAGAAAATTATTTCATATAAAAAAAGCCATTCGTACAGTATTTACCTTACTTTAAATGGAACAAAAAAAGTGCTGTTTTTTCACCACTTTTTCAAAATGCAGATAGCTAAAACAGCTTTAACAACGAAATGAAAGTCAGTTTGTCAGTAAAAACATACAGGTCCTGTTCCTCACAAAACAAACAAGTTGCTATAACACCACAACAGATGGCAATACATGTATCGAGCAACCTATGTTCTGTATCACAGACTCAGATCAGTTGCTACATTTAAGGGGATGTCAGTATTTGCACTGAAAATGAGCACGTACACCCAGAACTTGTGTGTGTTCCCACAGATGCCGAATCGGGCTGAGTTGGGTTGGGTCCAACTAAAACGGGTTTTTACTGCAGAGTCATTTGATGCAGAACTGAATGACGATTAAATACTTTCCCATTTCGCTCAAGAGTCAGATCTTAGTGAGTGTTACCAGGTTTGTTTTTTCTTCACCAGTCTGAAGAGGGCTTTTTAAACTGACTGCGAAAGTAGTGACTCTCTACTAAATAAATCTGGATGAAACAAATTCTTGAGATTGAGAACTTATCTTGACTGAACTTGTTCATTTCACCAAGGAAGGAAAACTCAGTTTATCATTTCAAGCGGGCACAGAAGCATGCCTCTTCACTGCCTCATTAAGGTGCTTAAATGTGCAATTTTTCCAATGTTGCTCAATAAGGAACCGAAGGTTAGTACTGAATCCAACACGGGCTATTCTGCTGAGAACAAGTGCTGCTGGATTATATATTGCATTTGTTATATTACCTCTTTTTGTGCATCATTTAAAGGTTTATCGTTCTTCTAAAGCTCTAAGAAACTTCAACAATATTAAGGGCCATCACATTAAACCATCCCTGTTTATTTTATGATTTATTCATGATGAGTGAAGATTTACTTACTTGGCCTCAGGGCTCTTTTGCATTACAGAGGCTTGGGTGGTCTTACTCGTGCCTGCAGGGGACTTTGCTGGAGTAGTGGCCATGTCCTTCCTAGACCCCTTCAAGTGATCTGCCGTTCATAAATAAGATCAGTTAAACCAAAGCAATAGCAACATGGCTCAGGGTAATACAAGCACAGCAAATCTGAAGTGTATCTGAGTGAAAAATAAAATGTTAAAATAAATTGACTGGGTGGTATAAAGAATGGTTTGCGACACATAAGACAACAACACGAGCCTACCATTTCCACTGGCTGAAGGGGCAGGTACAGTCTGAGTGTGCTTTTCATGCAGGTTCTGTTCTGCAGGCCTTCCCTCCGGATGGAAACTCGCACTGTAGACCACAGGCATACAATTCAAAGCTGGCTTTCTAGTGCATTCTTTGTGTGTGCAACTGTGCTTTTTTGATGAGAAAGCTGAATGTGTGTTACTGAAGCAGTGACTTTGTTTACCTGGAGGGCAAATTTTGGTGGGTAGGATCCTCTGGCTCTGGACGTCCACTCGGAGCATTAGAAGTACTGGGCTCGGCTAAAGTAGACTGTGGAATCCTAAAGAAAGACAATAGGAAGAGAAAAAAAGAAATACAGGTTCTAAGAATCTGCACTCAAAGTCAGAAACTTTATAGGTATACCAAAAAACACAACTGACCATTAATGGGTGCTTGTATGTTTCAGGAGTTAGGACAACAACTTACCCTCCTAAACTTTACCCAACAATGTCACCACAGGTGGGTTGTGGAGCTTTAGCTTCTGTACTCTACCTGCTGTAATCAAGACGTGACTGTCGGAGTTGTTCAGTCTGTCTGTTGAGCCTCTCCTCTTGCTCAGCCAGCCGTGCATGCAGCCTCTCTCTCTCCATCTCCAGCTGCATCTTCTGTAGCAGCAGTTGGTGCCTCTTCTCTTCCCAGTCTTCATGTCCCAGCACAGGCCTGCTCAGGGCCTCCAAGTCTGTGACACTACCACTCTGTAGCCTGTGAGTAAAAACATGAGCCATGCTTAATGGTCCTGCTCAGTGCTTTTCTTGTATGCATCTTGAAAACAAACCTGGCAAAAAATTGGGATTTAAAGATGTAGGGTACAGTGGTGTGTACCTTTCACAGTCCCTCTGGTTAAGTGCGTCATGATGGCCGTTCCCACGGTGGGAGACATTAACACTTCTCCCTTGCTGTGTTCCATTGCAAATGTCATGAGGACTGCTTTTGCCACGTTTACATCTGTAGCATGAGTGCTGCTTCCTGCACTCCCTTATCTGTTCCAAATGCTGCCTTTGTGGCACACCGGTTGGACTTGACTCGCAGTCACAGGGAAGAGAGGAAAGGTTTCTGAATGCTGGTTCTCCTCCCCTCCTTGCCTCACCACTCCTGTGCAAATGAGCCTGTTGTGCTGCAGTAGGAGCACGGCTGAGGTATGAGCCATCAACGGGTGAGCCATTAGCTCTGCCTGTAGATGTCCAGCTGGGGACTTCTTCGTTACCAAGCACCTGGTGTGAGAACAAAGAGCGCAATGAATGCTTTTGGCCAATTCAGTAGGCCACAGAAAACATGGCGTTTCTCAGCCAATATGTAATAGTGCTCAATAAACCTTCAATTTACTGCAAAAAAGCAAAGCCCAAATTTACCAATACTACATTAGGACTCTCTCAACATAATTAGCTAATGCTGTTATGTCTAGTAAAATCCCTCCTATTTGTTTGCATGAGCTGTTGAACTTCCAAATGTTGCCAAAGCACAGGTTAAGCACACATCAGTGATTGGATACATCACATGTAGACACCAAAACAGAAAATCAACTCTGCACTACAGAGTTGGTATGGTCTGGCTAGGTTTCTGATGGCGCAAACGGTAAACTGGAAAGTTGCCACAGGATTAAGAGGAATATTTTTCAGCTGAGCATAAGAGATGGGTAACAAAAGGTCAAGAACATCATGAGATAAACATAAGGAGAAAAGACCATCTTACAGTTGACTGGGGAGAAGACTGTGACTAATTTGCTGATGGTCAAAGAGCAGGCAAACGCACATTATTCAGAGCTACTGTGAGACAGTGAGGTTAGCCAAGTCATCCATTCTCACAGAGGCTAAAGTCAGGGTGGCAACTTTGCTTCTGAAGTGTCACCTTGAGAGAGTTTCACAATGTCCTGGTCATAATAAACTATGGATTGAAGTGGACAATAGTCATTTGTTAGGAATTATGACAGAGGTCAATGTGCTGCACGGCTTACTATGTACCGTTTTTGTGGCCCAGTGCTTGACTGATTGTGCACAACTGGGCAGCCCTCTAATGTGGCGAGGCATGCACATGTGCTAGCTGGGGGGAAAAAAAACTGTCATGCGAAAACATCCTGCAACAGCTGCATTAATTAGCTCACCTTGCTGGGATTTGGTTGCTGGCTCAGCTGGGATATGGACTCGTTCAGCCTCGCCTGTTGCTGAGAAAGATATTGTTGGTAAAGCCCGAGGAGCTCTTGGCACTCTCTATACTGCTGCTGAAGGCCTGGTGGAGCAAGGGTTAAGTAAATAACAAAAGGTCACACTACTGAAACTACGGGCTCACGCATAGCCAGCTAAGAAAAAAACTACTATTTTCAATTCAATATACTGGATTATAGATGAATACTTAAGATTCATCTACTTAGATTCCAAATGTAAAAACAGAGTGCAGCTCAGTTAAGGAGGTAAACTCGTAAGAAGCAACCATTCGGAAAAGGAAATGGGGTTCGCTTTTCCAAATAAAAAAAAGAAAAACAAAAAAAGACTAAAGTTGGCTTTAAACTTATGATCTGTATGAAAACTTTATTTCAACAGTCTATTTTGTGCCAGGAAATTTGAGACAGCAGCAATTTAGATAACTGAGGAAAGGGAAGAGTCCAGCTAAATCAAAGTTGTTGTTGTGGCACAAAGCTTTCACCATCTGGGTTGAGCCAAGCTGTGTTGAGCTGAGCTGGGCTGTGCCACACCAGGCTATCTGCCAGACAGAGAGCTGGCAGCCACAGGAAAACTAATCTGGAGCGGGACTACTGCTGTGCCTCAGGAGCCCACTAATGACAGTGACAGCACCACACCAACACATAGGAAGATAATGAGCATGAGAATGGAGAGACTGCACACAGACACACCCTAACACATTTAGTAATCAACCACAGTTTGACTTCCAAGTGCGCGCACACAAAGACAGCAAGAAATGAGTTCAAATTCCCCACCTGCATTGTAAACAGCCCATACAAAAACAACAATAAAGCATGTAGTGCACAAAGCAAGTTGTACACACACTCCCACTCGAGTGGACCATAAAATGTGTTCCTCCAAGCCATATCTTTTTTTATGGTGGTGGCACTGCTCCCCCCAGTTGATGAGTTTCTCAGCATCCATTTGAGAAAGAAAAACTCCCATTTAAAGAGAAAATCAAAGTTCAAAGCAGAGTCTTATTGAAGAAATAGTGGCAGAACACTTCATGAGAAAACACATTGGTTGTTAGGAGACTTCAATCAAGCTGTGGAAATGAAACAGAGGGGAAAGAGAAGAGAGCAAGGACGGCTTTGAATCGAGGACCAGACAGCAGACAAATGCAATACAGCACCTTCCATAAACACTGAGGAAATGCGAGGGAACACTTTGATTAAACACACAGACAAACTCTGTCTTCTTTTAGGCTGCACTGACATCCAAGGAAGCAGTTCTGTATGGAAAACTTCAAGACATCTCATCATGTAAACATGCGTTTGGAGGCCTGTTAATGCAGCATGAAGGATCTCAGAAAGAAAAAAAAAAAAGAAAAAGCTACACATCACCTTAATCCAAGACAGAAACCAGGATGTTGAGTGGAACAACATTTTAGCTGGTTCGTTTCTAATCATATGCACATACATCGCTAAACCTAAGATTTCCAACACTTTAAAACACACAATAGAAATATGATGAAAATCCTTCAGATAACTCGTTTACAAACTGGATACAACAGGAAGGTACCTACAATAAAAACAGTTTCAACAGTGTCCATGTGTGCATTGGCGTCAACTATTTTGCAGCATCACAGCATCTGAAGCCCACATGACGGTAACGTGTTAACGTGCTGACAGGGTAACGCACTCCCCGGACAGCTCGTGCTTGTTAATCTGAACGGAGTGGAGCAACACTGATAAGATTCCACCTCTCAGCCTGTCACCACAATAAACATGCTGCCTCCACAGCTTGGACACCAGCCAATGGGGGCCAAGCGCTCGGCAAACCTCTAGTTTACATCAGAGCTGCAAGTGCCGACAATGACTTACTCCTCCCCCTCGCTCCAAAAATACTCAGAATCAAGGGCTTGGAGTGAAGCTTCAGATGGGGCCTGTCAAAATGATTCACTTCCCTGTCAGGCCGAGGCTCAAATGAAATAATGAAATCCACTTCAAGGTGGAACAAATTTGCACAGGAGGGGGGAATATTTTAAAGCCTGCTTTAGCATGCTGTGCCAAACAGATTGAGCCCGAGCTGGGATGCAAAGGGAACGGGGGTGGAGACTGATGTGTGAATGAGCGTGGACTGTAGGAAAGTGTGCACAGAAGAACTGTCGGTGAATTTAAAGAACACGATTTACAAAACTGCCTCAATACGACTGGCTCTGGAGAACTCAGTTCAGTTCAGAAGAAAAGTGGCAATAAGCACAACTCCACGCAATAGTAACCATCAACCAAAGAGGCCAAATCCTCAGAGGTCCACTAAAACAATGTCGGCCGTCTTTGCAACTGATTGATCTCAACTGAAAAATAACAGTTTGGAGGCACAAACTGATGGTAATGAATCAATAGCAACCTGTATAAACCCATTGGTGTGTTTGGAGTGGGTTGATTGTTCACTTCATAAGGATGCATGAGCCTACAATTCACAGCCAAAACAAATCCACATAATTCATAAATGGTGTGTCAATGACAGCTCAATCCTATTTTAATTACCTTTGCGAGCTTTAGTGTATCGTGCATTATGTACACATTAAGTCCTTGATTGTTTCACTTAATTTATTCAATGTAAACTAACCATTAGTCACAACTGACAGCAGCTTAGTCTGTTTATACATCAGACTGCAAACTATGCCTTATACATTTTCTCCAAAATCATCACAGATACATCAAATCACTGAGCAATGCAAAATAAAACTGCTCACTAGGTTCAAATGTCAGGTTACAGACTTAAGATTCCCACACAGTACATATTACACAAGGACGATATAGAACTGGGCAAAATAACTGATTTTTTTTTCATCATCCAACACCACTCCATGTCTAACTCTTTCTACAAGCCCACAAGATACTTCAGATTGTAGACTGACTGTACTTTGTTGCAGGTAGAACTCAATAGTGTTTCAGTAATGCCAAATTAACTACCGACGATGCAAACATGCCTTCAAGTGAAAAGTGCTTCATTCCTATCACCAAGTATGAAATCAGTCAGCATGCCAGTCAGCTGCAAATGTCAGATGATGTCCAAAATATCAAGGGTAATTTCTCATCTAACGTGGCTAGAGGCTGAGGTATAGTCCTACATCCTTTATACCTCAAACAGAACTGAAATATTGGAAATACAAAATAAGATGGTGCATAATGGAATTAGACTTGACAGCTCGCTCTCAGCCTACTTGCCTTTGGTGCCTCCCTAACCTTTCAAAAAGAGTGCTGGAACCTTCTGCCTAAGAAGAGTCTTCATGACTCTTGCACGTACTTTGAAAGACTATGTTATCACTCCCCTGAGGTGCTAGGATCCAAACACGTTTTCCTCTAAAATACCTTTTAAATGGAGTTTAGAAGTTTGGTGTAAATGCCAAGTCTCCGAGCCAGACTGCCTTTAATTGAGTTGAGCTTTCCTAATTTTCCCCGCAACCGTTGCCAATTGTGCAAATTACCAGCTGGGTCAATTATACTTCGTGTTTTGCAGCATTTTTAACCTAAACTGACCGCTGGCTGTGGCCTGATGCGACCTGAACAGAACTGTGTTGATGACGGTGGGCTGGTTTTAATGTTGTATCATTTGCACTTACCCCGGGTTACACAGACAGTAAGGAATCTAATTTTCAAGCCAAAGAGAGTGAAAAATATTGTTTACTCAACATTTCACTGGGGATATGCATAAAAAGAACAGCTGATAAAAACAACAGCTTTTACCAGCTGTCCTTTCACTCATTGTTAAAAGTAAATTGGGGAAAATAAGCGGCAGCTTCAAACCCTGATTCTAAGCACAACAGTGAATAAACTACATCCATTTCCAAAGGACAATGCCGCACCCATGAAACATTTTTTAAATGGACCTATTTCCCTTGCTTTTGTGTTATATCGGAGGTGTTTGCCAAAGGCTGTAAATGTATTTACATGAAACAACACTGCCCCCTGCAGATTGTCTTTAGAACTTCATTTACACCTAAAGAACCATGCAGGCTACTCATCCATCCATTCATTCATTTTCCATCAATATTTTCTTATTCCTAATGGGGGGAGAGGGGGGACCTTGAGCCTATCCCAGCTGACAACAGGTAAGAGGCGGGGTACACCCTGGACAGGTTGCCAGTTCATTGCAGGGCCACACAAAGACACAACCACACACACTCACATTCATCACAGCATGAGAGTCTTGTTGACAGTGCCAACCACCACACCAGGCCGACATTTAACATAGAGGTCCACAAAGACCAAATAATAAATTTAATTATTCCAGCTATTTAATTAATCCAGCTATTTAAATATCTGCTGATTTTTACTAAGTGGAACATATCAGTAGATTGATTAAAAGATTCACGTTAAAAACCAGCACTTTTTACAACACTAAGAAAATTCATTTGAATTTGAAAACTACTTGCTGTAGCTAGCACGATGTAATTTGTAGTAAAATTTATAACTAATTTCTTTGAAAGGATACTTCCCCTCTCCTGCGCTATAATCACGTTCTGTTGCTCCAGCTGCTGGATCTTCCGCTCAAAATTCCCCTGTTCATCTTTCAGACGTTGCATCGACTCTTCTTTCTCCTCACTTACTCTGTAGATCGGGGAGTGGAAACGTTAAAGAATAAGGTTGCCCCTTTGTGTTTTCTAGTAGTACAAAGTGAGGACACCAGTCACAACTGAAGTATGTAAACATTAAATGAAACCTGGAATTCAATTTTACATTGACAGAAGATGTGCAAGTATTACAGAACTCGAAGTTGCATGCTGCCAGTTACCTCGCCAGTTCTTCAATAAGATTTGCAATTCGCCTTTTATCTTCAGGACAGAGGTCCTTCAAAGAGACTTCACTCTTGGCTCGGCTGGTCTCAGACACCAACGGATGAACACATGGGCTCTTTTTCTGGATAGAAAAGAAACATTCAGCCATAGTGCACAGCATATTATCTCCCATATACACTGAAACATTTTATCAATGCATGGAAATCTAATGTAGCCTACGCGATACCCTGACTTACCTCTGCCAAAGGGGGGAAAGCATCAGGGGGCTGAGAGGAGGCTTTCTCTGTGGCCACAGCCATGCTCTGGTTGAGTGGTACACTTTCTAAAGAATAGGTTCCAGAGCGAACGCTTTGTAAATGCCCCTGGGTTTTTTTGCCCGTCTTCTGTGTGGTGGGATTTTTCCTGTCAGAGGAGTGCTGCGTTCTCATCTTGGTCCCTTTTTTATTGTATGTACAGAGGCTCTCTGATCCCAGGATGAAAGGAGTCTTCCTTCCTCCGTCCACTCCTGAGACAGTTTGTGGAAAGGCAACAGATTACTACTGAGTGGTGTACAAGTAAAATTCATTCACTCTGCATCGAGAAACTGTCAACATGTCATGAGACTCACCTGGAACAAAAGCCAAAGGCTGTTCCTCATCATCTGACACTTTAACAAAGAAAAGAGAAAGCAGTGACTTTAATCAATGATCTGTCAAATGTAACTTGAGTTGGAAAGGTGTGTTACACTGTGCACAGACAGTTTAGGTCAGAGGTTTTCTAACTATATTGTTTCTAGCAACATTCTCCAATACAAACTTAGTTAATGCATGTTAGAGTAAATGTGCCTTTATAGAGAATAATGTCAAATTGAAAAGGCAAAGCTTGCTATTTAATCATCAGCTATTTAGCTGAAATCCAATGGCCTTGCACCAAACAATGTTTTGTTTTGCAAAGTTGGAAAAAAATCAAGTAATTGAGAATGTGAAGTTTCACAAACTTATTGTCCGCTAGTGCTACCATAGTTCAGTACCAGCCTGAATGTCATGGCAAACACAATGATGGCTAAAACACAAGAACTATTGAGGGGAAGTCTCACAAGATTCTGTGTGCACAATGAAATGGCTCTTATTAAATAGAACTGGAGGACTTGTTAGATGGCATGGAGTACTACAACATCTAATCAGGCCATATCAAAGTGTGTGTGAGGGCAGCTAACAATAAAGACAAAAAACATTTAACTTTTTTGCCTTAAACAAAAAGTCCAAAACCTGCAACTAGTTTCTGAAATATGTTTTCCTCTAACATTGATTCATTTACAACGTCATGATCCTAATGCAGGAAAATACACAACCTCACAGTTGACACTACTCTCTGCGTGGAGAGCAGTCATAGTAATCTACCTTATCTGCTCACAAAGTCAAACATCTTTTTGAATTGTCCTTTTCTTTGGCAACTTTAGAGTGCATGCTTATAAACGCCCATGAAAATGGTTTCCCCACTATTGTTTTTCGAGAGAGGTTAGCAGATCATAACATAGCAAGTGTTTATTCTACTCAGCATAAGGAATCTAAACATTTTGTACTGAAATAGATATGTAAAGCATACTAGTATAGACAACTGCCTGTTATAAATAAACAGGAAATAATAAATGTAATGCTTAACAACAGGCACTGTGCAACAAGCGGTATCACTTCCTCTGAAAGAACTTTCTCGAAGACAAATGACAAAGACCAAACACCTGCAAATAATTTCTAAATCGTTCGCATCTTTCCGTGTGAGTTGGACAAAGAAGTAGAAAAAGTTAAATAACCAAAGTTTACCGCCATTCATCCAAAATATCCCCGGATTTCCAACTCGCTTTACAGATGCCGCCATGTTGAAACAACCGCCACCACTCCCAAGGAGCCAAGCGTTGCTAAGGGATTATAGTCCCGCCTTTATTTCATAAGTAAAGAGCTGATTGGTTCTAAGTGTGTAAACTATGCTTTCTATTGGTGTAACTGCGTGTCACTCGGGGATGATGGCTTCCTGTTCATACATCGCCACCTAACCTATCAGGAGCGGAGTAACGAATGCGGTGCTGTCAATATTAGTGGATGCTGACAAAATTTTATAGACATTTCTGGTCTCAGTCTTCCAAATGGAAGAAACAAAGGACAGCTTGGTGTACAAAGGTGTTGCTGAGAGGCTAACGCTAGGCATTACTCGAATACTCGGTTTGTATCAAGATGTTTGGATTAAAAAAAATGCGCGTTAGCTTGCGATATCAGTGGTCATTTATTAAGTGTACTTTTTCCTTTGTTTCCAGATAACATGCCAGGTGTTGTGGATGTGCGTTTCGCAGAGAGGGAGCCTGCAGAGAAAAGGAGCCTGCTGTCATGGGAACAGGTGACGAAAAGACATTGCAATATGTAATGTGGATCTTGAGAAATACTGTCATCATATTTATGAGTCTACCTTTTTCATCCCATAGAAAAACACATGTATTTTGCCAGAAGATCTGCGAGACTTTTACCTGACTACTGATGGATTCACTTTAACCTGGAATGTTAAGTTAGACAGTAGGTGTCCTCATTTTGTGTCTGTATGATTTAAGACTCATCATATCTATTTATTATTTATGGATGTTTTTCTACATGATGAAAATGGAAGTGATTTTAAAAAGAATTTGAACAAGTACTACCTTAGCCAGTCAGACCAGTCCTCACTGTTTGGTTTGTTTCTCTTCCAGATGAGTGTGTTCCCTTAGGATGTATGATGGTAAACAGTGTGGCCAGGCTTTGCCCATTGCTTCAGCCAGTGTCACTTTTCTCTCTACCCAATGCACCCTCACTGGCTGACCTGGACTGGGAGGGGAGCAGCCCAGGAAGTGGTAGAATTTACCTCTCAGATCCTTGCGTGGGCTTAAGCCAACAATTACAGCATGTCGCATTTGATTATGTCTGTTTATGTGTGCTCACTTGTGCAGAAAGCAGGCTAATGAATGAGCAGTTGATTGGAAAGTAAATGTTTACTCAAGATTCATTAATGCTTGCTGTCAGGACTGGAGCACGCGCCTGCCGCACCTCATTTCGATGCCAGGAGCCGCATCTTTGAGCTGGATTCCTGTGGTGGGAATGGAAAAGTGTGCCTGGTCTACAAAAACTGCACTCCAGGTGTTCTGTTTTCCTAATACATCTTTTCGTAAATCCAAACCTTAAGCCACAAAACAACAAAAAGCAGTTCAAGTTTGAAGTCATGTGAGTTGTTTGTCTGGATGTTTTCCAGGTGTGGTCGCCCAGAAAAGTGAAATCTGGTTTCTGGACCGTGCACTGTGCTGGCATTTTCTGACAGCAACATTTACCTCCTATTACCGGTTGATGATAACACACCTTGGCCTGCCTGAGTGGCAGTATGCCTTCACCCCCTATGGCCCAAGCCCCCAGGCTAAGGTAGACATTAGTAGAGCATGTCATCAGTGTGTCAGAGGCTATATCTGCTGTAATGGAAATACTTGTATATTAGGTTTTCAGTTGTCACACCAACAAAACATGAAGTCATTGCTGATTATACATTTTAATCAGTACATTCTCTTTGCAATTTACAACACTTTAACAGTTTTAAGACACAGAAAAACCTAAGTGGTTTACCTCATGCCCAATTATTTATAATATGTTCCTGCTGTTTATGTGCCACCTACATTTTCTGCCTTTTCTTGCCACTGCCTCAGCTTCATTTAGAAATAAAGAATCTTAAGACATTTTTGTTTTAAAAAAACCTCACAAACAATAGTTTAGAAGATTTACGGATCATCACGTTCTGGTTTTAATTACACTATACACTGTGTCCCAACGTCTTTTAGATATTTTGAGATGTTAACCACCTGTATCGTTGTTCTCTCTGCAGCAGTGGGCATCTCTTTACCAGCCCCTAACTTTCAGCAGTGAACCCAACCAGATTGATCCTGCTGGAGATCCCTTTATAAACAAGCTGGACCCCACCAAGGCTTTTAAGGGCAAAACCAAAGCACCGCCCCCAAAGAAGAAGCAGTCGACGCAGTGCGGCTCAGCCGGCATTGCAAAGACTCAAGGCAGCACTGGAAGACACAGTGGAGGAAAGCGGTGAAAGTGTCACCATTCGAGAAGGACAGATTTTGCACATTCACAGTTTATATGACAACAATGGCTTGAAAGTGGTCCTCTCTTGTTTTTGCCTGGAATTGTCAGTGACACTGTGCAATATGAGCATGTGGTGCAAAACGAGCTGCATGTTTAAAAAGAAACATAAGCAGGGGTTTTATCATGCTTAGACATATTTAAGGTGGTATCTATCATTCAGAGGATTGGAATTGTTAAAAGGTTAAATCAAATTTCCTCTAACTTGCTTTTGGACGATTTAACATAGGCTTGATTAGCTTTTGTTACATTTGTTAAGACATGTAAAAACTTTATCTGTCAGCATAAAGTAATAATCATGAATAAGTAGTATTTGAATCAAAAGATTAACTTATTAGAAAATAATTTAATCATGGATGGTATTTTTAAGAAGAATGAGAAAATCATCATCTCACATGATACAAGAAAAAGAAACAAAAATGCAACATCTTGTGCATTAATCTTCTAATAGGCTCGTAAGTGTGAATAGGAGAATCAAATTTGGGATAAGAAAAAGTCAAAAATAGGCCAGGTCAGACATCTGGGATAAAGGTTTCATTTTAGGTTACATTTTTAGAATTGTTTCCCAGTGCCTGTGGGTGGGGTTGGTGGAGATAGATATTTAAACAAATATTGTTTTTTGCTTTGCTGCTGCCCTCTCAAGCTGGGAGGACTGTAGTCCCGCTGCTTCTGTTTTATCTAATAAATGTTAATGAAGTGCTTTTCTTTACTTTTTCTAAAGTTCCACTGACCATGTCAGCCTCTTGTAATGTTTATAGTCTCTGGTAGATAAGGTAAGATCAGCTACAGTTTTCTTAGAAAGATAACTGAAGAAAGCCCTTTTATCATAGTTACTGGCATAGATCAGTACACCACATCGTAGTTGAATTGTTATGCTAGTTAAAAAGTTTATGTCAAATAGTATTTTTACATGTCAAAAGTCCCACTTGGTTCTCACTTTTTTATAGAAGCCATATCACCTTATGGTTAGCGGTTATGGACCCTTAACCCTTTATGATCATACAATCTATTAACAGCATACGTGTATGTCCATGAACCTGCACGTGCACTTATTTGTTTGGACAGGATTGGGGCGTCACACACATTTGTTTGAACAGATGCTTTGCTCTTTCTCCTGAAGGACAAACTCCTCTTCCAGCGGCCCCTCACCCTGTGCAGATACAGGTGGGTGGAGCAGTTCCACCAGAGCCTTGTACACCCCTCCTCCCAGCACTCCTCCGATCAGGGGCGCAACTATAGGTACCCACCACCACCCATTTCCAGCCCTATAAAAACAGAAAACATCAGAGTGGTTTAATAGGATAAGGTTATCAAAGGGAAAAAAACATTTCTATGACTTTAGTTTAAATTCCAACATTCACAACAATATTTACTCGATTTTATCCCTGTTAATGGAGAGAAATGTTACCTGAACACATCAGTTCCCCAGCCTGCTATGGCAGTGAAGAGCCTTGCTCCAATATCTCTGGTGGGGTTAATGGCATAGCCACTGTTACTGCCGAAGGAAATACCAATGAGCATCACCAAGAAGCCCACTATGAGGGGCTGAGTGCCCGCGGCAGGCGGAGTGTTCCTCTGGTCCGACAGCGCCATCAGACACAGCAGCAGCATTGCTGTGCCAAACACCTGGCGCACACACACAGAACATTCAAATATAGCCGCATTTCTTCATAAATTGGGACATTGTCTTTTTGCAACACTTTGGATTTTTCATAAAGGTACTTCACTAACAAAATATCAATATTTGCATCAAGGGATTTTATCCTCCAGCAACAGGAAACATGCTGCACAGAGGGCATGTTTGTGACACAGATTTCTTGTGTTGTAAAGTTTTTACAGCTGTTTTTGGACACAACCATCTTTCTGAAAATGGTTTATTGAAATGTTTCCCACTCCACGCAATGATTTCCATTCCAGTGCAGCCAAAAAGCCCATTACCAGATTCAGTGCTTGTAAAAACAACGTAAGAAGTCACTTAGCACGGAGTATATTTAGAGCTTTAATCCAATTTTGTGGCTACCTGGTCAAGAAATCCACCTGTCAAGGAGAGGTAGGGTGCAGGGTAGGTAGCAAAGATGCCAGCTGTGGCCCTCTCCCCGGTTACAGTCAGGTTTCCTCCACTGTAATGATGAATGGCTTCTACAGGTATATTAATAGTAGATATTCAGTACAAAGATTAAAAGAAAAAAAAAAGGAAAACAGATCAACATGTACAGTTGTGTTTTCTTACCATAGTAAACAGCATAAACTGTCCCCGATGCAAGAAACGTTCCCAACAGCTGTGCACAAACATATAAGGGTAGCATCTTCCATGCTAGCTGGCCAAAGACACACATTGTGAATGACACTGCTGCGTTCATATGAGCTCCTGGATCAAAAAATAAAAAATAAAAAACATGAGAAATGTTACAGACACAGGAATTGCAATTTTTTTGGTGTGTATTTAGAAGGCTCTCTTACCTGAGACCTTTCCTCCAACATGAACCCCCATGGCAACACCTAGCCCAAAACCAAGGTTGATGCTTATGTACTGTCCGAACACTCCCTGTCCGGTCACGACCTGAGCCACAGACCCAAGGCCAAAGGCCTCCACACAAAGAACACACAAAGGCTCATGAAGCTCAATGAACAGAAATGATTACAAAGAATCACAGTGACACATAAAGATATGTTTTCAATTAGTTATTAAGTAGCCAAAAAAGTCCTGTGAAAAAGTGAAAACTTCTTAGTTTTAAAACTTGCTTTATGATTGTGTGTTTCCTTGTACAAAAGAAACTGAACTGCAGCACTTTCCTGTTACCCACTGAACTCTCACTAGATGGGGGGGGGGGAAGCTGATGCTGTAAAAATGCAGCCATTCATTCAGGAAACAGGAAAACTGGGGGTTTTTTGGGTAAAGAATCTGATTTCTGTCTCTCTTCGTGTGAGCTGTTGGGAAATACTTCCTGGGTTCACAGTGTTCGGTCATCGTAACAGCTGAGAAGTAGCATGACTTTTTGACAGCCTGTCTATGCGGCCCACGTCCCACAAGTTCCTCTTACAAGATTACATTTTCTGGTTTCACACCCTCGTTCTCCACTAATCCCCATTTAACAAAATGATTGGAATAAGCACTGGTCTGGGGGACAAGAGCACAACACATTTTTAAATTAAAGACAATCAAGCACACACTTTTGACACTTGAAATTACATTTTGTGTGTAGTTCAAATTACACGTTATATTTACAGTACCAGGTAGGTGCACAGCATCTATAACAAATGTATCCTTACCATCATGACATATGTGCAGAGGGATTCAGCAAGTCCCACACGAAGAAATTCATTCCTCAGCCAAATTTTGGGTCGGGACACATCAACTTTCGGTTTGGTTACTTTGACTTCAATGGACTTCATTTTTTTCTTCTTGTTTTTTCCTTTATATTGGCAAAAGAAACTGTTTTGATAATTCCCCCCCAAAAATAAAAATCAATTCAGTCCACGCTTATTTACGGGTCTTCAGAATCTCCCATGTTGTGCAAAGTTCCTCTGATAAGATTTTTACTATATTGATTCTCTCCAACTACTTTCCCCTTTCTCTCAGTCTTTTTGTGTGTTTAGGCTCAGGTCTCGCTCTCCCTGTCACATTGGGGTCTGACAACAATTTATAGCCTCCATCCACCCCACCCCCGTCACCCCCTTCCTCTCGGATATGCACAAAGCACTAAGTCAGGCAGGCCGTCCAATAGCGAAGCATGTCTGGAAGTATTTCACCAATGACGCAAAAAGGCATTTTTAGGAAGTGAGTCCGCAGTTCTGAGGTGGAATCTAAAGACCAGATGAATCTCATCCTAAAGAAAATGCATCACAAGCTTTTTTAATGAACCTTTCTGTGAGTTCCATGTTATTTATCATGTGAACTGTACTATGTCACTTTAAATGAGCTGATTTGAATTAAATAATACTGAAATAAAAAAGGAGAAGTTATACTGAAGTACAAAAAACTCACCAATGACTATATGTAAAGATTATAAAAATAAATTACATTCAAATGCATTTGGAAAATAATGTGACCACACAGGACTGTTGGGAGATAAACAACAGAAAGTATTGATCAAAAGAACGATTCAAAAGTCACACAGTATCTGGACTTTAAAGTGGACATTTACAAAGTCCGTGTATGCTTATCTGACATGAACGTGTTTAAAAAGCCCAAAGCAACAGACAGCAGTTGTCCATTCACAAGAAGGGCTGGAGAAATTTAGAAAAATATACATTTATACATATACATTTTATACATTTTATTCTGATTAAGCATTAAGGATAATTGTATTATCCTTCTCTGGTAGAAAATTGCTCAGTGAAGTTTTCCTGTGGTCCCACTCGAGGTTAATGTCTGCGGTCTGCCTCTGTGGGGAATCTGAGGGCAAAAATCAGCCTGGTTTCTGTTTTCAGTTAACCCTTCAGTTTGTATTTATCTTTAGCCCTTTTTGCACAATTGGTTGTTCCTGTATCTCAAAGGTTTATGCAACGCTCAAGCCACATCATCATTTTAAGGTAAAAGCAGACAGACTGTGTTACAGAGGAGAATGGAAATAGTCTAATGCCCTGTTGTTCTAAATGTAATGATTAGATGTTCTTTCGTCATCATTTCAGTTCATGCCCTTGATATTTACAGGTGTTAATCTTTTATCTAATTCCATTTACCAACCTTTTCTTTGCCAATATGATTTTCTTATCTGCCCAGAATGTTTGCATTGTCACATAATAATATATTTTAGTCATTTTAGAAGCACTTGGATTAGGAAGGGGGGCTTCCTCATCAAAGAGCTGCTGGTCCCTGTGACAAATAATTCATCCATTTGAAAGATCAAATCTAGAAATATTCAAGTTTGTTTACAAAAAAATCTTAAAGTGCTTTCTGTATGCAGAAACTGTAGCAATATGTTTAACGAATGTTTAAATGAATGGAGCCGCTATTTGTTTTTTTTTTGTTGTGTGTCAGTTTTTATAGTTTTTATTTATTCATTTTGTCATTTTCAGCTATGATAGATGCTGTCACCTGGAAACTAAACTTTGTTTTTCAAAAAGTACACAGGAAGAAAATCATCGTCATGTCAAATGAGATTCTACGAAAATAACTAAGTAGAAAAAGACTGCCCCCAATGGATGAATTAAACATTACTGTCAACCAGGCTACCAGTGACTTATTAAGAGGAAAATTACACCAGTTGTGAAAAGCATTATAGTTATACCATCATTTTGAAAACACACAGATTATTTTATCTTGAGCTAACAAAGCAAACTTTCTGGAGATAGCGTGACCTGATTATATTATGTTCGAAGTAAAGTCTTTTGTTTACTAGACACAGCATAAAAAAAAAGCACTTGCTGATCTTACAGCTAAATGCACCCGTTGTGCCATCCCTGTAGGCCCTAGGAAGTTTTAGCTTAAATAAGAGTTATGAAAAGGAAACAGATGATGACACCTCAGGTGTTTAATCACCATGAGATGATTACATCACTATCTCATGATACCTTCACAATGGAGCTATTTCAGTCATGGTTGTTACATTATGCTTCTCAGTTGAGATACTAGCAAGATACCAGAGGTCCTATTTTCAATAACAAAACAACCTTCTGCTTTTTTTTTTTTACAACATATTGGTTAATATACAGACCAAAGACCTGATGACCACAGTGTATGCAAAATATTTCAGCCACTCATGTTAAAGTTCATATTACAACTTACATACATGGATATTTTTAATAGTGTGCTGTATTTGCTTTATCAGAAGCAAACTGAGGAAGTATTAGAACTTCTTGGAATGGTAGAGTTCCTGGTAGGAAATTCTAAGAAAAACAGAACTCAACTGACTTGGTGAAGAAGATCCAAGATCTGAAACAGTTGCCTCATGAAACCGACTCTTTTGATTGTCCTCCCTTCACTAAGAGGTTAACAGCCAACACACACAGACCAAAAGCTACTACTTGATTCACATCATCCAGTAGAGCACAAACTGACCATAATAAGAAGACTTCATCACCAGGATGAGAGTGTAGCTTTTGAACTGACTGGATCTAGATAACGAAAGAAGGGAGAAACCAAATGCTTATGTTCTCAATCACTTACAGATGTCATGTTGCATAACCACAAAGTTTACACCTCTTCCTGAAACTCACTAGCTGTTTCTCCTTGAAAAAGTTCCCTGGGAAAGGGGGGGGGGTCATTTCAACATCCAGTGGGCTGACATTTAGGGAAAGGACTGAGCCAATGGGCTTTCTTTTTGCTCAGCTTGGTAGAATTATAAATCAGATGAGTTTACAAAGCAGATATAACATGTGTTTTTCAAAGCATTTCTTGTGGAGAAATCTCTTCAGTTATCCAGAAATGGAAGTTAGTGGATGGCAAGCCCTCCTCTCCACGTCTCTGCCCATAGTCCGGACCGCAACTAGGCACGCCTACTCCAAGGACCAATGTGGTGCGAAGTGTGATTTATCAACTCTATCAACCTTCCATGCACACTGCTTTCTGACAGAGGCTAGGGCTGTGGAGGAGAAATGTCTGTCTTGGATATACTTTGCCACCCTCTGTGGGCTGTTTCCACGGCGCTGTTGGCCATCGTGGTGCGCCTACAGCGCAGAGTGGTGTGGGATCCCAAAGCCTGCGCCGTGCGCCTCACGGGGAAAACCGCCATCGTGACAGGAGCCAACACAGGTATACGCGCACAGAACCACCACCGAGGGTACGGGTTCTCATCAGAATGGTGTGGTCTTGCGTTTTCTTGCTGTTGCACATCTGGTTTGACAGCGCCACTGAAGAGGACCGTATGGTTTCGGTAATAGTGTGGTCATAGTTTTAGGAGGCTTCAACTCTCATACAGCGTGGAAAGTGTTTTATCATAAATTGGCTGTTTTTAATAAACCAATATAGATATATATATAAGAAATCAAGAAGTCCAGAATCTGCTGTTTAGCACAGGCATAAAAGCTGCGTGTGCGTAAGTATTGAAAAATATTGTTTAGGTGTCAGTTTGGCTTACAAGTTACACACTTCAGAATGATAATGCATCTCCTGAATGATAACATCTGAATAATAATAACTCTGTATGAGTGGTTAATAGTGATTCATTTATTAAACAGATGGGGAGTGTTGGTCCGTGTAGGGATGGGTTCATTTTTCTATAAAGAGGAGGAGATAGTTTGGCCTTCCTCCGAAATACAAATATCTTACAAATAGTAAGCTGAGAAACATTTCCCAACGAACCCCCCCTGCCAAATTGGCCTGCATGTGTCTCCACTTTCCCTCCATTGACACACTTGTGACTGTGAATTTGAGTCAACACTGAGGAAGTGTGAACAATCAATTCCAGACAAAAGCAGCTGCATGAGGGCAGGACAAGCTCACAATGAATATCCTCTCTGAATGCTTCTGATTTTGAGTCCAAAACATCTGTTTTCTCAACACACTTTTCCTTCACATTCAGGTGTTTTGCATTGAAGTAATGTAAAACAGGGTCACCAATGTATGTTCATCTGTTTTGTTCACAATAATTGAATCTTTTGTGCCCACTACAAATACATTTTTGGTCTAGTTTGACATCATTGGTGGTCAAGTAACAAGGCAACAAGAAACAGCACTGAAATATAATGTGATAAACTGCAACAAACCACTAGAGCATAAACAGATCCAAACCACAGTCATTAGTGGATGAGCAAAAGCAATAAACATCTGTTAAGAAAATCAGTTCAAGGCATCAAAATCAAAATTGGAACAAGAAATTCCCACAACTGGAGCTTATCTAATCCCACTAAAACTTCATTTGTCAGCCTATGAATGCACAGTAATCACGAATTAAAAAAAAAAAAAACATTTGAGATGGTGAATTATTTAGCTTTTGTTGTGTGTTACAATTTTCTCTGATATTTATTACCATTTTTTAAATGCAATAGCTAATGTGTCTGTAAATGTTTATGTGATGTGTGCCAGGTTCCAGGCCTGAAGGATAAAACACATAAGATGAATCAGGTTATGATTTGGATGCGTAACTGAATTTAGAGTAGTTTTATTGACTCTGAATACCATGGATACTTCCCTTTAATTGTCATAACCACAATTACTGTAATTATATAACAACAATATAAAGCATTCAAATCTATGAAGATTGCCTCTTTGCAAACTACAATTCTTTACAACCAGTGTTTAGTCAACCACCAAGACTTTGATGTTTTTTTTCTTATTTTTGCTTCCAGTGAAGTCTTTACAGGCTTGTATTTGGACCATTTTTTCTTACCGTACTTTACATCAGAATTCATTTAGGCAAATGTCAACAATAAGTGTAATTCATTACTGATATACATTTTAAGCTTTGCACATGTTTTTTGATGGATAAATTTAGACAAATCAAGTGAATGAAGGATTTCGAGTCGAATGTTTGTCTTTCTGAGGCCTGTTTTACTGTCCTGTGGTATACTCACTTAGTGCAATTAACAGTCTTTGACATCCAACAGGTTTTTAAACACTCTGGGAGTGAGAGCTGATCTCTTACAGAAAACCTCAGGACAACAAACACATTTTTTGTCCTTTTAGAAGGCGTTCATTTTTCTTATTAACTATTACTATCGTGTGCATGTTTGCTTTCAACATTTCAAAAAGTTGCACCCTGTTTTATTCCCTGTATTTATTCTAACATGGAAGAATGAGAATGTCTATGCTTTCCTCCTCTCTGCAAGGCATTGGAAAGTTCATTGCACTGGACTTTGCTCGCCGTGGGGCCCGTGTTATCCTGGCGTGTCGAAGCGAGTCTCGGGGGACAGCAGCACTCAATGAAATCAGGCAGATTACAGGAAATGCAGATGTGCATCTGCGCCTGGTGGATCTCTCCTCTATGGACTCTGTGAGGGAATTTGCCAAAAAGATTCTGGAGGAGGAGAAAGCGCTTCATATCCTTGTAAACAATGCAGGAGTGTCAGGTGATAAAAACAAGCTGCTCACACTGAAACACATTACCGTCAAAGTATCACAAATATCTTCCAGAAGGGTTTATTCTTGTTTAATTTGGCTGAAAGCTATTTAAGATTAAACCAAATAAGTATACCTTATTAGAAAGTGGAAAAATTATTTTTTAAATAATGGATTGAGACATAAATCCCCCAAAAATAACAAGACATTCCTCTGTTAAAGAGAAGTAGTAGGGACTTAGTGAACCTTATTTTTTATCAGTTAAATAAATCAACATCTGTTTTTCTGTGTAGTAGGGCTGTGTTCTGACCTCTTTAATGATAAATCTCATAGTTTAAGTTTGTTTTGGATATACTGGTTCAAAAACAGCTATGAGCATGTGTGAGGAATTTGCTGTGAAAGTAGGAGTTGTATATATCTACCATATCAACTTAGGAAAAGCATGTAAAGTTCAGTTGTGTCTGTTTTATGGTGATTTATGTGAACATTTTTTTCAAATCTAATGTTTTTGTTCAGGTTTGCCTAAGCAGATTACCAAAGACGGGTTCGAGGCTTCCTTTGCCACCAACCATCTGGGACCATTTCTTCTCACCAATCTGCTGCTGGGTAGGGCTGCTAACCCTCTGACACAGAGATATTTAACACCTGTTTTTTCCTCATCTCTCTTCACTTTTCATTTGTTGTGGTTTTGTTCCAGACTTGATAAAGCGTTCAGCGCCGGCCCGTATCGTCACTGTCAGCTCAGTCAACCACAAAAGAGGTCAAGTGGACTTCTCTCACTTTCATGGGGAAAACCTTGTTTATTTCATGGACCAAGTCTACAACCACACCAAGCTGCACAACGTCATCTGTACCAACGAGCTGGCACGCAGGCTACAGGAAACAGGTGAGCTGAAATCAACTTAATGCATACGTTAAAGAGTAAAAAAGCAACGCAAATGAAAAACAATAGGAATAGTCACATGAGAACATTACAATTTAAATCTTCAGTTATTTGCAAAATACCAAGCTCTACAAGCTTTACTAAAAAACAGCCAACAACCTAAAACGAAAAGTATTTCTTTGCGATTCTTTCAAGACTGTTTGAATTCTGTCTGAATTCTGAGACCGTTACTGAGTACCTGTATATGTGTCTGTGTTTATTTTTCTCATTATGTGCTTATAGGTGTTACTGCCAACTCTGTCCACCCTGGTGTTGTCATGACAGAAGTAATGAGGCATTATCCAGCCTGGATCCGTTATCTTTTTAACCTCGTTGGATTTTTCTTTTTCAAGGTGAGTGTCATGGCTCATGGCTCACACAATGTTTCACATGTCAAAGAAACTTTACCCGTTGCAATAGAGCCGTCAAACATGCACAGCAGGTTGTAAATCCTCTATCTCCTGAAGTGTGAATTGGATTCCTAGTGTTCACACTGAGACATTGAACCTAATCCGGGTTTGATCCTAATCCAAATAGCTCATGTTTAACCTGCTTACTGAAATAATGAACCCCCCGAAAAACATTTTTGTTTTATGTCAAGACTAAAAATGAAAGAAAGGCATCAACTCGAGATTTTCTTGACTTTGAACACAGACAAATAAGACTTAAGATAACAGGCAAAGATGTAGTTCAAGGTCAGCGGGCGATTATCAGTGATAAGGCAAAAGAAAACTATGGCTATCGCCGTACAATTGCTCAGTTGAAAGATAGCATTTGTGCTTTAGAAAAGTGGAGACTTGTGGGCGGAAATGTAGAGAAGATTAAATCAGTCTTTGCTTTAGTATGCTGACTGGTAGCCATTTAAAGTATCTGGAAAATAAACATATGAGTTAATGGTCTCTTTTATCATTGAAGACCAATTTTTTATGGAAAAATTACAGTAACCATTACTAAGTTGCCTTTAGGTAAATATGTGGAAAAAGGGTGAAAATGAATGAACGATTGATTTCCCCCCCTTTTTAAAGGGTCATTTTTACTTAGACATTGGAAAATTTCATTTTGTGGGCCATTATTTGTCAAAACTGCTCTCATCTTCAACCCACCCACTTTCCCCTCTTACAACTGTAGCAGCGTAAATTATTAAGCACAAAAACTTCCAACATATATCATTAGAATGTGCCCTACAACGTTCCTAAAACTTTACTTACATGTTGAGATGATTTCGCATTTTTTATAGCATTGGATAAGCCTTGGAGTATTTACAATTTTTTTAACTGCTCATGGTAAAAACATCCTCATATGAACCAGATTAAGAGCCAATTTTTAATGACGAAGTGTAAACTTTTGTTGTATCTGGCAACTGATTTTGTATCTGTTAAGGTGTAGTCAACAAGTGGCTGGACTAGACACGCGCACACTTCCTGGTTGTGTATTTGTATCTGCCCTCCAAAGCCTTCTATCTGTACTCAGGCTTTCCTGATTATTGTACACCGACTTCCTCTCCACCTCTCTCGTCCCCATCTCAGACATCAGAAGAGGGAGCGGTCAGTCCGATCTACTGCGCTGTGGCGGAGGAACTGGAGGGTGTAACTGGAAAGTACTTTGACAGCGACTGCTCCCTGGTCCTTCCTGCCCCTTTAGCTCGAGATGCAGCCCTGGCAGTCAAGGACTTTGAGATCTGTGAACGACTCACGTCAAAGCTCTGAAAAACTTTTCCAGCAGGGCCTCATAACCGGATATAAATGTCCCGTTTGCTCTTATTTCCTGACGGCATTTGATCACAAATGCAGAGCTGTCTCATAAATATCAGGTGCAACTTTTTGAATAAAGTTTTTTTGACAGAATTTTACAGCCTATGTTTTTTCCATGAAAGATGATAAGATTAAATGTTTCCAAAATGGCAACCTGACTTTGACCTCTTAATGCAATGAATCATTTTCTAAAATTGGGCATGTTTTTTTTTTCTTCTGCATTAAAAAAAAAACGCTGTGAATAACAACCACATGTCGGAGTACATCTGGAAGCAATTCTGAACTATTTGGAATTCTTTTTTCTTCAAGTTGAGTGATATCTGAGACAGAGGCTGACACCATGTGGTCAACAGTCTGATGTGCTTCCTCAGGAATAGCAAAACAAGTTTCAGAACATTTCAGCCGCTTTCCTTTATTTACCGATTTATTGAAACACAACAAAACATTTGAGCATTCAGTGCTTTTTTGAAGATTTATACAGTATCCGTCCCAGTGTCCATTTGGTCTTATTTGGCTGCAGAGACAGAAGTGTAAAAGGAATGATGATCACGGAGTTATTCTTTAAGAAAATCATAAATGTTTTATAAGTTTGTCAACAATATCATTCCACCATCAGACACCTTTCTGACGTTCCTCCACTATTTCGTGGATGAACTCTTCAAGCACCGGAGCCACGTGATCCAGCTGTTTGGGTGAAAGGCGGACTGCTATCTCCATCGTTTTATCCTGGACACAAGCGCACACAAAGAAAGTGTGAATGACAAATATTTTGCAAGAGTAAACCTGGACTGGACTGTGAGTGTACACTCACAGGATTTCCATCGCGTTCCACCTGAGGAAGCTGCCGAGTGCTGACTTCCTCAAACTGGCCATCCTCTGATCGAGGCTCCATGTCTTTTCTACCCTCTCGCTCCTGGGGCACAAACACAGAGAAGATGCATAAAAATGTGTAGAAATAAAAAATAACATTCAACTATTGGGGGTTGAAGAGCTTGAATTGGTGCCATCAAATGTCATTTTTCTGCGTCAAAAGAAAATGTAATTAAGCTCTACTCATTGGGAAACTAGAATCAGGGGTAATGTAATTGGGTCCTTTTTTAAAGAAAACTGATAAGTGGTAAGTGTTAATCAAAATGTTGATCAGAGCATCAATTATCAAAAAATCCTGTGTTTCTGTTTGTTGCAAAGGCAGATAGTGAAACAGACCCTGCAGAGCTACAGGACAATTTCATATGAGAGACTTAGTCTTTTTTTTACTGTTAAAATTTAATATCAAATTGTTTCTAAGCTTGCAGGTCAGAGAATGTTTTCTGTTAATTTGGATTATCATGCTGATTAATTCTAATGGGAGGAATTTAACCAGGCTCTTACTGCCAATTGTGCTTCAGGATTTTCCAACCACAAAAAATAAGAAAATTATCACAGGGGTTACTGATTCATTTCTTTTGTTGTATTGATAATCAATTATTTGACCGATTAAGCACTACTTCTGCACACAAGTATCTTACCTTCATCAGCAACATCTCCTTTGGGCTGAAAAATGTGATGTGTCCTTCTGTCCTCTCGACCAGAAGCCCCACAAGGCACACCAGCACCATGCAACCGGCCACCGCTCTGCGCATGCTCATTCTGCTCCGTCCTGCACACACATTCATGTGTTCAGACGCATAATGTTACATAAGTAGGTGCACAATTAATTCAGAGCAGAAGGTTCATACAGATGTACAAGGTCTGAGGCCAGGCCAAAAACAGAGTGTTTTTTTTTTTTGGAAGCACAGGAGGTCATTTGACTTCGAAAATAGGTAAACAGTTAACGTGACGTGCACGAACTAAGGATCTCATGCAAGAGAGAGGTTGGCTAACAGATAAGAGATAAGAAACTAAGAAGAGTGTGTGTGTGTGTGTGTGTGGAAGGAGGGGGGGGGCTCCGTGGGGCATTATAGCAAACTGCTTTACAAATAAGAGAGACAGAACCTGAAGTGAACTGGCAAATCTTACAGCGGCGACACAGCTCTGTACACAAAAGGCAGCAGATGAAGAGAGGACACCAAAGAGGAGAAAGACAGGAGTAACACGACAGAATGGGAGGGAAAGTCCGACCCACAGCTGGAGAAGCAGAAGGAACCATATTTCACTCACTTGCTGTCAGCCTGGATCAGTTGCTTGAAGTGTTCGGCCTCACCGGTCTGAGCCTCAGCTCGTCCTGCTCAGCCTTTATACCAAGCCTTTCCCCGATCCTTAAATTTGTTACTGGCCTCCCTCACATCCGCTTCTCAACAGGCTCCTTCAAGGACTCTCCACCATGCTCCTGGAAACACAGACATTACTTGGGAATCTTGCTTTTTTATTGGGGTAATAAGCTCCCAGTGCTGTATATGTGTAGCCCTTCAAAAAAACTGACACATTGACATATTGATGAGTATCTCTGTACTGAGTGGACAATGTTTGTTTGTGTCAAATATGTGTTGATTTTGGGCTCCATAAGGCATTGTTGATTATTTGTCAATATTTGGTCCCATATGACACATGGGCAGTTGTTTCCTCTAATTTATTCATATTATCATCACCCATGACAGCGAACACATATGTACAAACACAACATGGGAGGAAGATGAGACAACCTTATTCAGATAACATTTTAAGGACAACAAAGTACTGGTTAAAAAGGCAAAGTTCATTCAAAACAAGACTTTCCATTGGGGTCAATTAGTTGGATACCCATTTGAACAGAGCGGAGATGATCTTTCCAGTGGAGTCAGTCATAAATTCTCAGTTTTGAGTTATTGACCAACACAAAGCGGCATTTGTAAGCTGCCAGGAAATGATGAATGTGTGCACAAAGACCCACATGCATCCGTTTCTTGGGTATCCTGTGACTCTGAAGAGCTTTATAGATGTTTTCAAATGTTATTGCCCTCTAGGTTTATACTGCTGTCAGAATTTTCTGCAAGAACAGTCAGTTAAAATTCTTCTATCACTCTATTTGCAAGGTCAAGTATTTGAGTACAGCATTGTGTGTCTTTTTGGCACATAAATATAAGACCATCTCAATAAGCGTTTTTCCATCACCAAGCACTTGAAGTCTGTCATGCAGTGAATAACAAGCTAGTGCAGTTGTGCTTAAGCGTTCTGTAGATTACCAAATAATTACAATATTGGTGTTTCTGGAAATGGTATAGTAGAGAGTCTGTATAGATACACAAGGAAATATATTTTATTCCTCTTTTTTTAATCTTGTATCTTGTAAATCTTGCAGTAATTATGATTTTTGTTGGTCCATTTACACATCTGTTGGCCAAGTTTTTTTTAAAGCGGAGTCCAAATGGTTTTCAAGGGAAATGTAGAGGAAATATGATATTATTTACTGTAAAAGTGATCAAAGGGAGATCACACGGAGCAGCCTGGGTGACATCTGGTGAAAGGGTCGGTTCGGGGACACATTAGTTTAAGAGACTGTTTTATAGCTTTCAGTTAAGAGGAAGAAGTCACAGTTTTAAAAATGTTGGTAATAGAATCCAATCCATCCATTTTCTGAAGCGCTTATTCCCAAATGGGGTCACGGGGGGACTAGAGCCTTTCCCAGTAGTGAAAGGGCAAGAGGCAGGGTACACCCTGGACTGTCCGCCAGTCCGTCTCAGCGCTGGCGGACTGGTAATACATTTCACATGTAGATTTGGTCACCAGTCAGAATGTGTGTTGGATCAAATAGATAAATCACTGGCACACAGTATTCACTGGCATGTCAGTATTCTAATACAGTCGTTAGTATGCTTGCAATGTTGTGCCATGCTATTTTTTAGTTCCTTTCATTCGTTTAATATGTCTTATTCTTAATGTTTCTTTCTGTTTTGTATTTATTTTGTACTCTATATTTGTTTTGTGCCTCCTTGCAGTTATTTTAATTTAGCCCAATCCTTTCTTGCTTTTAATTGTCATTGGTAATCATAGTATTTTTTTTAAAGGCCTTTGTATATAATTCTCGACAGAAATGAATCACCAGGAAAAGACCAATCCATCAGTCCTCACTTTTAGTTTAAGCTGTTTTTCTTTTCTTTTTTTCTTCCTTTTTTTCAATCATTAAATCGATGAACATCACCGGATTGTTCTCGCGATGTTATAGTATCGCGGGATTTGGGCAATGTGGCAGCTTGCTGACGGGAGTGACTGTCTTTTTCTGTGAGGCAAACGAACGGGGCAGACACGCGCTGCGTGCTGCTGCAGAGAATTTGCAATCATGGTAAGGGAAATTGACTTTTACTTCCTAAACTTAACTGCAATCCTGTTCTTACATTATAGTTTACAAAGCTTTCTTTAAAACGGAAACTGAAAGAATAAGATTTTTATATCGGCTACTGTGGTACGGTTTCAGGCCTTTCGGCACTTGAACAGCAGTTAGCGGTCTCTGTCGATAGTTTAGCGATTCCGTCACAAAGTTGATCTAGAATAGTTCTAATAAATATACCATGTTAGCGACAAGGGGGGTTTCTTTAGGTACTCTATTGAAGATAACTTGAATAGAACACAATTATACAATCCCGACATAGGTTGGCGGTAGCTTTTTTCTTTATTAGCTAAGCTGCTAGCACAAGTTAGCTTCAACGCACATTCATGTGGGCCCACCTCAACACGTGGGTTCGCGAACACGACAACGTGGTTACGTTTAAGGAGTGTGTCGTCGCAGAGTATGTTTCACCACAGACCTGTATAGAACACAACGTATCAATTTAAATGCAATAACGTATATTTGACGCAACCTACCCAAATTAAGGTTGACTTGCGCCTCACGGGCTACCACGTGCAGACCAGCAGACACTTCCGCTTTACAAGATGCTCCCAGAGCACTCAAAATTGCTCTAACCTCTGTAGGTGTTGTTGCACGTGTTGTTCGAGCACGCGGCGGGCTACGCGCTGTTCGCCGTCAAAGAGGTGGAGGAGATCGGCATGCTGCTGCCTCAGGTGAGTGACTCAACCCCGGCCGCCACGTTTTCGATTTTCAACGGGAGATGCTTTATTCTGCTTTTTCTTTTATCTCGGATCAGGTTGAGGAGAGTGTGCTGAACATCGGGAAATTTAACAGCATGGTGAGCCTGGCTGCATTCTTTCCTTTTAAGTCAGCCCAGGCTGCCCTGGAGAACATGAATGCGATTTCGGAAGGCAAGTTTTTTTTTTTTTTATTATTTACACTAAATCCTCACTAGTGTCCTCAGCTGTAGTGATGTGTTATTATCTGTCAATCCACTGAATGAACGTGTTGATGGTTTAAATGTTCTGAACACCTGAGGTTATATTATTGGAGTCATCTAACTCTAATGGAATTAAATCTGTGTTGTGTTACCTGATTTCATCCAAATGTGTCATACTTTTGTCATTCAGGTGTGGTCCACGCTGATCTGAAGCTCTTCCTTGAGACCAACCTTCCCCGATCTGGGAAGAAGAAAGCTGTGTTGGGGGTTTCTGATGCCAAAATTGGAGCTGCTTTACAAGAAGAATTTACTCTTTCTATTCAGACTGGAGGGGTAGTGGCGGAGATAACGAGAGGTGAGGAGGCTGTTATGAATGCTGGACCCTTTGGAGATGTGGTCTGTTGTGATGTGATTTTATTTTGTGCTGAAACACGTGAAGGTTCATACTGAAAATCTGAACAGATGATGCACTTGCTGACCTAACACTTTCCCCTTAACCCCACACAAACCTTCTTGCTCTGTCTTTTTCTGCCCTGGCAGGTGTGCGGTTGCACTTTCACTCCCTGGTTAAGGGTCTCACCGCCCAGGCTGCATCCAAAGCTCAACTGGGTCTCGGCCACAGCTATTCCAGGGCTAAAGTCAAGTTTAATGTCAACAGGGTCGACAACATGATAATCCAGTCCATTGCTTTGTTGGATCAGCTTGACAAAGACATCAACACTTTCTCCATGCGTGTCCGGTGGGTGTTTAATCAAAATGAAAACATGGGTGCAAACTTTTGAGGGTCAAATGAAGCACTTGGAACTGGTTAGTTAGAATCCAGTGTACTTGAATTGAGCATCCTCCATGCTTGCCACAGAGCGCTGTCTGTACAGCTAAATAACCCTCTCCTAGCACTTGCTGGCTGTTGTCTGGTAGACATCCTGCCATGTGGTAACTCACCAGACGTGTGGTAGATTTTGAGTCTCCCAGTCCAGGCTAACAATTCTAACCCGTTTTGTTCTTTAAACAGTGAATGGTATGGCTACCACTTTCCGGAGCTGATCAAAATTGTGCCTGACAACTTGATGTACTGCCGCCTGGCTCAGCTCATTGGCAACAGGAAGGAGCTGTCGGAGGAGAGTTTGGAGGGCTTGGAGGAGGTGGTGATGGACGGGGCCAAGGCCCAGGCCATTCTGGAGGCGTCACGCTCCTCTATGGGTCAGCTCACTACACTAAGCTCCTATATCATCACCTATTCAACCCCTTTTTTGCCCACCCTGGACCAATAATCGTCCTTGGTGCCTAACACAGGGGGGTAGAGAATATCTCTCATAAACCTGTAGTGAAGGCTCTTATCCTCGCTGCGGATCCTGTCGGGAGGAACAAGCTCACTTTACACCCAAAACAGAGGGAAGCACGACTTTCTCTCTGCTCATCTCATCCCTTTTGTTTGCATTTATTTCCCCAGGTATGGATATTTCTCCTATTGACCTGATCAACATTGAGCGGTTTTCGAATCGTGTGGTGTCTCTGGCTGCCTATCGGTTGGAGCTGCAGGAGTACCTGCGATCCAAGATGAGCCAGGTGGCCCCAAACCTGGCAGCCTTGATTGGAGAAGTGGTGAGCACAAATTCTGTTTTTCTTCTCATTCTTTAGGATAGCACACAGGACCAATGATGTTTTGCCAAAATCTGTCAATCCACTGAGTATCTGTGCTGAAACAATCTCTGGTACTGATGGTCCTCAGGTCTTAATCCAAGTATATTTCTCTGATTTAAATAGAAAAAAGAAATCGGCTGTAAGACTTTATGGGCTGTTTTTCTTGCCTTTAGGTCGGAGCTCGTCTGATTTCCCATGCTGGCAGTTTGACCAACCTGGCCAAGTACCCGGCCTCCACTGTCCAGATCCTGGGAGCAGAGAAGGCCCTGTTCAGGTACTGGGGCCCCCCCTCCCTGCTGGGGAAAGGCGTGGTTGCAGTGATGGCAGGGTTGGGCTGGAGCAGAGCAGGGTGACCATAGGCGGCCTGAACTCGGTGGCCTTTGGAGTGAGCCCTCTCGCCCTAATGCACCCCCACAGTCTGAGCACCCACATGCACTACAGAGGTAGAAAACTGGACAGTCTACTTGAAACCTGTTCATTTGTTCTTAAAAGAGAAAGATGGTCCTTAATAAAGTCCTGTGGCAGTCTTAGTTTAGGTGGACTTCTCACAGCGTACCGCTTCTCCTCGATGTGAAAGCGGGTGTGTTTTCTCACAGAGCCCTGAAGACGCGTGGCAACACCCCAAAGTACGGCCTCATCTTCCACTCCACCTTTATCGGTCGTGCTGCTGCCAAAAATAAGGGACGCATCTCCAGATACCTGGCCAACAAGTGCACCATCGCCTCGCGCATCGACTGCTTCTCTGGTAGGTGGCAGCCGGTTTCCTGTCAGCCGCCGGCATCCTGCTTGCAATGATGCATTCATTTTTCGTCAACAGTATTCATCCCTTTGGGCTGATGTTGAAAAGCTGTTTCCTGAGCAAAGCCATGTCTCACGAGGAGCCCCAGCAGCCCTCTGAGATGTTTTTTCTTTTGTTGACCTGTGCTTTCACCTTTTCGCAGAGGTGCCTACGAGTGTGTTTGGGGACAAGCTGCGCGAACAGGTGGAAGAGCGCCTGTCTTTCTACGAGACGGGCGATGTGCCGCGGAAGAACGTGGACGTCATGAAAGAGGCTGTGAAAGAGGTGATACAAAGTTTGACATTTGTTTTGAAACCCAGTTTGATGAAAGCTTGAATGCTATCAAACCTAGATTTAGTGAAAAGTCACTGCTGTAAATGATGACACATCTCTCCCTGACATCCCGATGAGGGTACAAACTGATTTAATGAGCCTGATGCAGCCTGGAAGGTTGCAGCAGAAGCACAAACTCTGTACTTTTCCCAGCCGTATTGACCTTTTTTCCTCTCTGGACTCAGGCGACAGACGTTGCAGCTGAGATCAAACGCAAAGTAGACAAGAAGGAAAAGAAACGCAAGAAGAAGGAGAAGAAACTGCAAGAGCTCCAAGCAAATGGAGACACAAACGGCAAAGCCGAGGTAAGCTTTGGTTTTTAGTGCACCTGCGTGTTTGATTTGAGAGCGGACCTCCACACGTGGTCCCTTCTCAGTGTACGACATGCTAGATCAAACTGACTCCGAACCATTGGCAGGCCCCTGCTGGTGGGCCTGATCACTGAAGAGAGTCTAACATGTGACCAATTCTGAACGATGACTCAGCAGAACATTCTGATCAAGGTACCAAAGTGCTATTTTTCTTTCTCATATGGTACTTTTTTTTCTTCATGGAGGTGGAGAATGAAGAAGCAGATGGGACAGTTGTAAAGAAGAAAAAGAAAAAGCAAGCTTCAGAGGAGATGGAGGTCCAAGTGGAGGAGACTGCTGCGGCTGAGAATGGAGCAAAGAAAAAGAGAAAAGCTGAGGCGGAAGTCCCGGAGGCCCCGGCAGAGGAAGCCACAGATAATGGAACAGAGGAAACTCCAGCAAAGAAAAAGAAGAAGCGACAGACTGAGAGCACAGAGGCTGAGCCAGCGGCAGAGCCTGTGTCTGAGAAAAAGAAGAAAAAGAAAAAGACTGCAGAGTAGATGGCAAAGACTGGATTGTTATATTTGTGTACAGTTTTATTTTTACTTATCCAAACTAGTCTATGTAAGCCGCTTTATGTTCTTTTGTTTTTGAGGCTCAGGTCAGATGGCTTAAGCTTGTAACTGTGCCTTCAGTCCATTTTACTTTTGTAAATAAATGCCGTATTAAAGTTTGGGGTCAGGCTTTTCTGTGCATGTCGTTGCCAGTTGAAAAGAGCTTTTTCTCATTTGGGAGGTTTTGTGGGGTGTTGTGGGGTGTTGGCTGTAGAGGTTGGTGGAGCTGGTGTCATAGAGCCAGGGTGCTTTACTTTTAAGTCTGTTGACATCAAAGCCAGTAGGTCTACCATGTAATACTGGGGTATTAGCATAAGCTTCAATCAAAAAGTTCAGAATCTTTAAGAATCGGATGCAAAAATGTTCAGTCGGTTTAAGCTACGGTCTATTGCTGCCAACATCTTGTAACACCTGAGTAACATTTAACTGTACTATCATTACTTCCCAATTTCTGAGCGGAACTTTCCAAGATAAGGTTACATTTCCAATAGGAGGGTGTTACTTTCCCAAATTAAATCCTATAACTTCATAGCTGACATTAAGATAAAGTTGTGGTATGAAACTGAACAATGTAATGAATAAAAGTTATCGGCAGAACAAGATGCTGTGAACAAATATTAATGGCAGATTCATACAAACTGTTGATAGCTTTTAATTTGGACAAGGATTAAACCAATGTTAAAATGACATCAAATTCAAGGCCTGGCTGGTCTATCCAACTAGTAAGAATTCAGGAATGAGCGACAAATGGAGGGAGATGTAGAGAAAAGGATAAATCAAGCTATAAAGTCACCCTCAATATAAGGATTCACAGATGTGGGAGACCAAAGTTACAAAACATGTTTTTTTTTTTCTTCCTAAAATAAAAAAGGCCTTTGCCGTGAAAATGATGTTTATATTCTATGTACATCATTCTCAATTCATGTATGTATACAAAAGAAAAATCCACATCACAAGATGTTTGTGTTCAAGTATATTCACCAACTTCATCTCCATGATTTAGCATTCTCATCTTTCTCCAAATAAAATGTCCTTCGAAATAAAAACAATGCAGAAAAACCACGTTTGATGTCCTACCAATACATATATACTGTATAAATACATAAATATATTTTACATACAACAGCCATAAATTTGAAAAGGGGATATACAGAGCAAAAGGGGGGATTGGGGTTGGTAGTGTGTGTTTTAGGTTATGGTGTCAGATGGTTTGTCCCTCTATTTAGTCAGTCTAATCCGCCGGAGTGGTGCCTGGTGCTGGTCTGCATCCACGCACGCTCACGCACACTCACATCCCAGACGGAGCCGTCTCAGTTGGCCCAGTAGGGGGAGCTGCCATAGCTGGACTTGTTGACTTGGCTCTTCTGCTGCAGGCTGCTGGACTGGCCCCGCTGGCTGGGGCCGCCCTGAACGACAGCACACCATAGAACAGTTAAAATCTGCAGAGGCACGCCTGCAATAGCAGATCCAGCTGTAGGTTTACATCAGGGAGAGACCTTAGGGCCCTACCTGTCCATCCTGAGCGAGATGGTGATGCAGCAGCTGTGAATGTGGTTGCTGGTGAGGCAGGATGTGGAGGAATTGGGCAGGTGCATAGCCTCCAGGAGCTGCTCCGGGGTTCAGGGGCCCCGGACCCCCCAGCGCTGATGGCAGACTGAAGGGAGGGGGGGTCCCTGCATGGAAACCCTGCTTATCAAAAGACTGGAGAGAGAGCTGCGTTAGGGTTGTCTGTGCGGGCGACCAACGGAGGGCCTGTGGTGAGCAGCACTCACCTGGGTCTTATTGTAAACACTTCCACTGATGTCTGGCACACCGGAGTTACTGGATGTTACTGAGACACCTGGCGGAGAAGCAGCAATGTTCATATCTTAAAGGTGAAATACTTTTTTAAATATCTGAGCCAGTGTGTTTTTGTTGTTCTTTTCCTTACCCTTCCCAGGCCCAGCAGCAGCAGACTTAGCTTGTGCCTGTGATGAGGGGTTGTACCCTTTACTATACTCTACTCCCGCTGGCCCTGCTGTCAGCTCCTCATACCCTGGAAAGGATAACATCTACCTCAGAGACTAAGCGCTAGCTCCTCCCATAAGAATTTTCCAGTACGCGATTTACCAAACTATAAACAGACATCCTCTGAAGTAAATTGGTAAGAGCACTTGTTCTGCACCTGAGCCGAAGGTGTGCTGGCCGTAGCCGCTGGGCTGCTGCTGCGCCTGCTGCTGGAAAGGGCTGGCCGAGGGGTTCCCCAGGCCCAGGCCCATGCTGTGTTGTTTGGCCGAAGCTGGTCCAGGGCCTCCGGGTGGAACAAACATGGTGGGGCCGTACTGGAAGGCCGCAGCACTGGGTACTGCGCCGGGCACTCCGGGGTAGTAAGGCAGGCCTGTGTAACTGTAGCCTGGAGGCAGAAAGGCCTGCTGACCGCTGTGGTGCTGCGGCTGGCCCTGGGGCTGAGGCTGGGCCTGGGGGGGCTGAGGCTGGCTCTGGGTCTGTCCTTGGCTTTGGGCCTGGGGAGGTTGTGGGGCAGCCAAGCTGGTAGGGGGTGCCGGGGAGGTGGAGTCATTTCTGCCAAACTTTGTGACTTCACCTTAACAGAGGAGGGAGAAGTCCTGTTTGAACACTCTGGCTCACAGGGTTTCCGAAAAGGCACGTGAAAAAGGCCTGAGATGTCGTACCTGAGTACGGATTGTTGGCGAGGCTCCCATCTCTGCCAGAGAGAGTTGCTGTGGGGCCAGGGAATGTGATTCCATAGTAGTCCTGCAACGAGGGCTAAACAACATAAAAAATAGGGATTATCCAACAAATATACCTGTGGGAGGGACAAAACTGTGATGTAATGAGGGATGTTTCCAAGAAAATGACAATGAGGCCAACCATTGGCAGTCTGGACTGGAGCATATGGAGGTCTTCATAGCCGTAAATCTGCTGGGGGACAAATAAAAACAAAAAAGGAGCAATGCCTCAAGGATACTAATGACAAATTATCACAGAACAGCCATGCAGCTCTCACATTATCCATGAGAGATCCTCATGGATGATGCCATGAGTCAAACAATTAGGTAGTGTGTGGCACAATCTATGAAAAGTAAAAGTAAAATAAAGACTGCTATACAACTATCAGGATGTTTTCTGGATGTAAGATTAATGTTGGTTTATTTATCCATATAAACAAACACTCCTTCATACTTTCATTTAGGAGGACTAATAATGTAGGTAATGATGGTCTACTTACAGGGTAAGCAGGTAACAGCCCCCCGGGGCCCATAATATACTGGCTGGGCAGTAGAGGAGGCACTCCCTGGGACAAGTTTGGAGGAGCTTTACCTGCCAAAAATAAAATAAAATTATATTAATGGTACACGTCACACTGAGCCCCACTATCTAAATTGAACAATCTGAAAGAAAAGAAATCCAGTTCTATGAAAGAACACATCCCATAACTACGTTTTGGTTTTTCAGCTGCTTGTGCGTGTTTGTACCAGTGGAGGAGAGCAGGGAAGTGGTCCTTGGTGCAGAGAGGTTGGATGTGGCAGTAGCTCCATTGGAGCCGAGTCCCAGCATTGTGCTGGTGGCGATGGCAGCAGCAGAGTGGAGTCCACCCGTGCCGGTAATAGCACCGACTGTGCTGCTCAGGCTGTTGCCTATGCTGTTCCCCATGCTGTTGCCTAAGCTGTTGCCCATGTTGTTGCCCATACTGTTGCCCATACTGTTGCCTATGCTGTTGCCCATGTTGCTGCCCATGTTGTTGCCCATGTTGTTGCCCATGCTGTTGCCCATGTTGTTGCCCATGTTGTTGACCATGCTGTTGACCATGTTGTTGCCCATGTTGTTGCCCATGCTGTTGACCATGTTGCTGACCATGTTGCTGCCCATGCTGGGCATGTTGGCCAGGTGGCTGATGCTGCTGCTACTGTTACTGCTGTTGTGGGCTGAGTGGAGTGAGGATGCCGTGGGCTGCGATGAAGCGTAAGAGCCAGAAGAAGGAGCCAGGGAGCTCACATTGCTGCTATCAACACTGGTGTACTACAGGGGAACACACAGAAGATGCAATTCACAGTGAATAAGCATAAAAAATAACAATCATGGTCCACACTCTGACTCACTTTTAGTTTGGTTGATATTAAATGTAAAAGTTGAGGAATAATGATGGTGGTACTCACAGTGAGAGAGCTGGATCCCAGAGCGGAAACGGAGGAATGACTGCTGACAGAAACAAATAAATAAAGAGGTTTGGATATAGTGACGGCCCACAAACTGTCAGGGTTTAACCTTGGTGGATAAGACAAAAAACAGGCAGGTGCTTAAAAGGTTTCGGTTAAATCTGCTGGATCACCTGTTGAGGGAGCTGAGCTGACTGACGGAGGGAAGGTCCTGTGTCAGGCTGGAGAGGGCGGTGGAGCTGTGTGCTGTGAGGGACGAGGGTAAGTGAGAGGAGGCGGCTGACGGTCCGTTGGTATTGATGTTCATCGATGATGGCTCTGGCTTCGATGTGGAGGAAGCAGATGAAGCTGAGGGGAGGGATGAAAACATCATGTAACTAAAACCCATGTGTCAGCCTGCTAAATGGCCACCGGTTCCCATATTTACAGTCATGTTTTAAGAGGAAAATTATGCAAAGAAAAATAAAGAAGGCAAAAAAGTACATACTGTCTAGAGCAGTGGAAGTCCTTACACCATTTAGACCGTTCTGGTGGGAAAAAAACAAGCAACATTTTTTAAATGGTCAACACTTGAGAAACCAGAATATATCATAAACAATCATTAAATATGAAGAAAGAAACGTATTATCGGCTTTTAGCTCCTTTAAACCAAGTCTGAACTTTCCCAAAAAAACATGATTAAGTTGTCATTCCAAATGTCTCAGGTTAGATTTGATCATCTTGTTATTGAAGGTTACGAAAACATAGAAAAAAGGTGCAACACAGAGTACAGTAAGCTGGGAGGTACACGTCTGCCATGTGTAGAATAGGGAAATTATAGCATGTTAAGCAGGTTTCCAGCATGGGGCTGACTGTAGTAGCCGATTTCTTTAATCTGACTTCTTCGGTGCAGCAGACTCTAGCAAATTTCTTTCTTGCTCACCATGACTGTCCCGCTGGCTTCTTTACTCTGAGGAAAGGCCAGGCGTGAGTGAGGGGGCATTGTCACGTCGTAACTTCCCCCCACCGACGAGAAGGGAGAGGAGGAGGTGGTTGAGGTTGCGGAAGAGGATGGGTGATTGGTGGAGCTTACTGTCCCCAATGATGGTGTTGACAGCGCCACGGAGGTGGAGTGATATGCTGGCTCTGATGAGGAGAGGGGTGAAGGCAGGGCAACCGAGAGAGGGCTGCCCAGTGGCTCACTGCAAGGCACCAGGAGAAGGAGAGCAGATGTTCAAAGTCAGCAAGAATTACATTCAATTCTGCCATCTGACAAAAACTGCCGTGGTGGGAAGTGTGTGCTGGTGGGAAGTGAAAGTGTTTGCTCTGTACTGTACTGAAACTGGAACAAAGAGGAACATGAATATCTTTCTATTTTCCTTACCTAATGTGCATTAAAAACTTTTTCATTTTTCATTTGATGAAGTGTGTGTTTTGACTCGCTGAACAGCGTTCACTGAATTATTAAATGAAGACTGAGCTGTTCTCAGCAGGGGTTGCACCTGAGCGGTTTTGAGAACAGGTTTGTCTGACTCTGAGTCCCTGGTCCTGATGCAGGCAGTGCTGGGCCAGGTGCCGGTGTGGACTCCCTGGACGCCGCACTCACACCATTGTCCACAACTCCAAAGTCTGGCAATGCTGACTCAGAGCCGAAGTCTAGCGCTCCAAACTGGAGGTTTAGCCCGGGGACGTCAGCTGAGCCTGGCATCTCCACTGCAGTGGAGGGGATCTGTCAGAGGAAGGGCTGTTTTTAATTCTTTAATATCGAAGTCTCTACCAAACTTACTGGCAAACAATTGTCCATCTGAGGGGAGCTGCATATACTCCCTACCTTTGATGTGGGAGGTATCCTTCGTTTTGGGCCTTTGAGCTGCGCCCGTTGTTGCTGTGGCGTACTGCTTCCCTGAGGGTCGAGCCCTGCACTAGGGGCAGGAGGTTTAACGCCACCAGCAGCCATCACCGGGCCAGCCTGTGCTGGCGTGCTGGTTTGTTGGGAAGCAGGCGAGGCTGATACGGCGGGTACTTGTTGCGATGAAGGGCTGGGCTGGCGAGCCAGGGGCAAGGAGGGGCCTGGGTGCCTTTGAACCAGCTGGCTCAGCACAAGTGAAGGTTCTGGCTGCAGTCCAAACTCACCTGTACACATAACAAAACACAGGCACAGACCACCGGCTTAAAATACCAGAGGGTTTCTGACGTTTTTGCTAGAGTTTTAGCCCAAGACTGCACAGTGTAGGAACCACTTACGGCTGAACTGCGAAGACAGCGAAGTGGTGTTGGACTCTGAAACTTTCATGTCCCAACTAGAGGGGGGCGGTGGCACAGGTCCTCCCAGACCAGGCAGCCGACCAATGGAGGGGTTGCTTCCTTGGGTGCTGACAGGAGGGGCTGCCTGAGATGACGGCAGCTGACCCAAGCCTGGACCCTTGAGCTGTTCCAGTATCTGAGCTCCAGCACTAGGCTGAGTCCTCTTTGCCTGGCCCAAGTCCCCAAAACCAGCTCCCAGAACCGACGACTGCCACACAGAGAGGAAAGTCATCAGCATGTTACTGTTTATTTGTACAAATAAGGGGAAAACGGAGGAACCGTGTGAGAAAGGCAGAGCGGATTACCAGAGCAGCATGAGCGTAGCTGGTGCTGCTGCTGGTGTTGCGGCTGGGAGGAAGCTGCTGGTGATGGTGGGAGTTGGTAAAGACCAGACTCTGAGAGGAAGAGGAGGAAGGTGGCTCTCTTCCTCCGACCGCAGGTTTTTGCAGCAAAGAAGCGAGGTCCAGACTAACAGCAAAACGGTTGATAAAAGGGAGCAGAGGCAGAACCCAGAGTCAGCGTTTGTTATGCATCACATGGGCAATGGAAGGTATTAAATATGAACAGCATGCAAAGTTACCATTTACCTCACTGACACTTAACTCACCTTTGCCCAGGTGTGATATGGTTCTCAGCAGCAGGTGCACATGAAGGGGTGAAAACTTTGGTCTCTGAAAGCTGCGTACAGACATAAACAGACCCGTTTTTTTTCACAAAGTACATATGTGTGTATGTGGCTGATTCACAGTCTGTTGTGTCGTGTCAACTTACACTGACATCCTCATTCCAGTCCTCAGCTGCCCAGTCCTCCAAAGTGCTCCTCCAAGCAACTACAGGACACCACGGAGAACATGTTTATCACAGTGTAGTTATACAGGAGTCAGAACAAACATGCATTTCCCGGGGCTCTCACCCGTCCCATCAGTGCTGTTGTTGGTCGTTGTGTCCCAAACTTCCGTTTGTGTGGTCCCAGTTCCAGCCTCTGAGGTATAGTCCGCAGGGTTGAAAGTCCTGGTGAGGATGTAGGGTCAGAAAGGCCGAATGGTTACAGGAGACTGAGAGTTGGTTCATGTTTGGACAAATATTGCTGCCATCTAGTAACACAGTCACATGAAGCTTTGTCACAAGGTTCCTCAAATCTTTTATGTTCTAATAAAACAAAGCTGTTTGAGGTGTGGATTTCTGGGTTCTGAGTAGCACATTTTGGGATGGATACAATCAGAATAAGAAAAGCAATTAAAGACAGGCTGTTTTTCGGATTCTAAAGACACCATATAAAAAGAATAGGGATAGATATTCTTAAGACAGTTACAACATAAAAGTCAACTACATTCATTTGGAGAATATTCAAAACGACAACATTTATTTGCTTTAAGCTGGTATAAAAAATAATAGCAACATTACAGTTGAGGTCTTTGCTGTGAGTGCAGGTGTGTGCTGCCACTATACCCCATGCCCTGGGCTGAGAACCTGCTCCCTGGAGGGGCTTTACCGCGGCCTCGAACTCCAGATCCTGCAAACATCCACTTACAAGTCAGCAACAAGCTCTTCGGTACTTTTCGGACAGATAGAGCTGCACCGTGCGTCTTCTGACCTCTGCTACCTTTAACCCTCCGACCTCGATCAGAACCTTTCTCCACCGGTGTCACCTCCACGCCGTTCTCCTCAGGTCGAGCTGTTTGTGCACAATTGGCATTTGAGCCGATGTTACCGCATGATCAAACATGTTCAGAGAAAGCTGGGCAGAACAAAACTTAACTAGATTTCAAATCAATATTAAGAGAGGGCTTCTCACCCTGTCGGTTTCGGCTGGCCCCCTTGCTTTTGCGGCTGGCAGTGGTGCGACCTTTGCTGGCCTCCCTCTCGCCTTTCTTCTCCCTATTCTCCTTATTCTCCTTGCTTTCTGAAGGAGCCTCTTTCACCAGGGGCTTCTTCTTACCCACCGTTTCCCATGAGGTCTACACACAAACCAGGAATTAAAGGATGAGATATTACAACATTCACATAAAAAAGTAACACTTTGCAGTCTTGCAAAGTGTTACAGACAATGTTATTATGCCAGTTACTTCTGACTAACTTAACTTAACTTTTAACAATGTACCAACTTTAAAAGGTAAACAGTTACTTTAACAGAAATTAAATTGGACAATACAAATTATTCTCTTAAAAAGTTGTATAAATTCAAAATTCTCAATGCGTCCTGATCCCAATGTATATTTTGCACTTCCAGTATAATACATTGACACACACTACCTGATAGAGCAAATCCACATAACTGATAATGACTGAAATGTTTAAGTCTTCATAAGACAAAGCTAAACATGTTGTCACTAACCATATCCGAGGTACTCTCCAGGAGGAAATTGATGGCTCTGCTAACATCTTCATTGCAGTCATGAAGAGCTACCATGCACTCATCTTGGTTCTTCCCTGTCACCTCCATCAGCTGGGGGAAGGAACAAACAAATATTAGATGTGTCTGCTACCTGATGAGGCATGAGATTAAAAAAAAAACATAAGATGACAAGATGACAAAGGTAAAGAGGAGCATGAAAATATGGCCTGACAGACATGAACCCAATGCTGTCTGGCACATGTCAAAGTGCTCCTCACCTGGTTGACTTTGTCCTCAAAATCAGCATCATTCTTGTCATAGATCATCTGGGCAAGCCGAATCTGTTCAGCAGTAGCCTGTGACACAGACCCAATTAGACAGAGAAAGGTACAAGCAAAGATACCGCTAATTCTGTTTTTATTGTGCAAAATCAGAGACCGAAAAAGAAACAAAAAAAACTCCCATCCTCTGTTTAAAAGTGTGGGTACTGTGCGAAAACAACAAAAAACATCTTGACATTGATGTTTTGCAAAATTCCATTTTGTTGAGAGGTGTCTGCCTGTCAAAGGAGTGTGTTTGCATGCTCACCATGCGGTTGCAGTGGCTCACCTGTATCTGTTTCTGTGGCTGTGATGTGTGAGTGGCAGCTGGCAGTACTTTTTCCCGAGGGCCCCGGGCCTTGTCGCTGCCCAGCGAGCTCATCATATACAGTATATACAAAACTCTGTATGTACAAAATAGAAAAACCTGCAAAAGGGGGGGAAAAAGGACTTGTTTACAGCTGAGCTCAAATACTCTGCCTTGGATGAGTGTGTAGAACTAAGTAAATTCACTGCAAAGCATGACTCCCAAATAATGAATACCGGCCTTGTAAAGGCTGTTGGGTTGGTGACGAAATAGCTTTGCTAAAAATCTGGGTCAAGGAGGAAGAGCAACCCTGTGTCCTCTTACAAACAGGCGTGGACCACTGTGTGTGTGACACAATGCAAACACTTTACACCCTGACCTCACATCCAGTGTTGAAGCTGGATACGTTTCTGTTCACACCCTGAACACAAAAGCAGTGCACTGAAATGCTGAAACAATCCCTTTGACAACAGGGACTAATAAAACGTATATATCACTGCAGACAGGTGGTGACAGGTCATAGGTCAGATTCAAAACAGATGACAAGGTCATTGACTAATCCTGTAAAAGAATTTTTGAAAAAAAACATTTGGAATATGGTACTACAGAGTGAAAGACGTCCAGATCTCGTCACTGACCCATTTGTGATATGTCAGAGAACAATAGCAATCCAGCTGTAAGTGTCTTAGTGACGTTGACTAATGCAAAGCTTCCATTGGCCGAGCTGAACAAAGCTACTACAAGAACCAGCTTTAAAGACATTTTACAGAAAAACATGTTTCAAAATAATAATTCCGGTGTATATTTATCCGGGTAACTTCTCGGTTGCATCGGCATTCTATGTCCATTACGGAAGTGTAAAGAGGAGGATCGGTGGTCCCGCACAAACAATAACAAAACATTCATACAGAAGAGATGCAAATCTCAGTATCACATTTACGTGTCAAACGAAAATAGTAAACAATACATTTTTCAAATTACTTATAGATGCGCACTGAACTGTAGTGCTATCGACCTGGTCTGAGTTTTCAAACTCGTTACATTGTATAAATTACGCTATCAATAAAGGAAACGGAACATTGTTTTAAAATCAACGCTAACGTTAGCCCGTTGTTGTTATGTTACTTATCTCTACGCTTCAAACGTGAGATTATCCTCTGACAATTAGTGCTAAATACGTTATCTTCGAAACACTTTAGATTTTTGTTAGGTATTTATCAATACTAACCGACTTTGTGTTGTTGATACTAAGGTCCCCTTTGTCCTCGCGAGCATGAAGTTAGCTAGTCTATGCTACTGCTGACACTAGCATCGCACAGGCGATGCAGTGGGAAGTAAGCTAGCTAACGATGCTATCTAAATCTGGTTCAAGTTGATAGCCAACAGGCATCAAACTGCCTGGCTAAACTAAACAACGAGTTTGGAGCTTCGCAGTTGTTTAACAATCGTAACAGCAGTTTTACTAATATAATCAAGCGCTAAACTAGCCGTTATTACGGTTAACAACAAAGGTGTATCAAATCTAAAGAAAAAAAAGGCCTTGCTGCCCACAATCCATCCCGACATTGCTCGCCGGGAATCAAGACAACAGAAAAATTGCGAAAGACATCCTGTAAAACCCGATGTAAGGGAAACAAAGAACCCAGCGACCATTGACTTCGGCAAATACGCGTTCAAGTACAGAGTTTACAGGTTGTGAAATAACCGGACTTAAGTTGAAAGATATGAGTAAATGTGTTTTTATTACCTGCTAACACGCTTCACTCAGCCAGCAGAAGACAAGATGGTCACGTGACCTGCGCTGCCGCGGTGGTGGTGGTGGTGGATGCTCCCCTCTCATCACCGGGTCAAACTCTCCTCTACGGAGTCGGCTATTAATATCACCCACGATAAGAACTAAACTTTTTTTTATTCCTGTAATGGTCTTGAAGATTTAAGAAGCACGTAAAGGCTGTATGTGGACAGTATCTACTAACAAATTCAGACAGAGACCGCCGGCGACTGAGAGCTTTATGAAAACTGTTTGACATTGCAATAACCCACATCTCCAATTCATGAGGAAAACGTCAAACTGTAGTTTATAAGCACACACGCAAAGGCATTTTACATCAATATACATTTTATTTGTATTATTTACTCATTTTTAAGAATTATATATATTTTCCCCAAGTGTTAATATCTTACAATATGCTGTTTCAGTCATTTGTAAAAACATTCACCAGGCGTGTATAAAAAAAGGAGAAAAAAAGATATCACGAAGTACAGATTAATCCACACACTTTCTTTTAGACATATACATAAAATGTATGCAATTGTCCATATGCATTTTAGACATATATATGTATATACACATTTATATATAAAATACACTTTAAAGTGTTGGTTATTTGTTCAATAAGTGGTTTTAATTTTTGTTTCCCAATCATAATCATTAAAACTGGAGAAAAGTTCCATGTAGAAAAGGAAAACTATGATCACCTGTGGCAGTCTTTCACAGAAAGACTTAAAGGCAAAAACCTAGCTTGAGCCTACCTCACCTAAGAAATGAGCAGAATCACCCACTCCTTGTTACAAAGAGTGAAAAAAAAAAGTTCTAATGACAAGTTCTCCTTGGAACCCTTCTAGACGAGAGGATTAAACTGAGCACCTACAGATGTTCTTTTCAGTTTCTCCGGATGAGTTCAGTCTTGTGATTAAAGGCTTCTCAATCTATTAATCATCATATTTGATGATACTTATTTAGCTACCGAAATATCTTGGGATAAATTCTCTAGTGAAAACATACAGATTGAAGGGAATTAGAACAAAAACAATGGTCAAAGGCAAAGCACCTGCTCTCAAAAAAGCAGCTAAGCAATCCTAACCATCCAAATGAAGATGAAAGGGAAGGAGGGGGGAAATAAATACAAGCGAAGCAAATCAGAAAGCATATATACACCTGTAAAAATCACAGGCAAAATAATAAAAGTTTCTTTTATGACGTCATATCAGAGCAGCAACGCCGCTTTACATTTCTTTACATCATCTCAGTGGAGGTAAAATGAACACAAAGTCTCATTTTAATCCGTTTCCATGTTTTGCTTCTGGCAGGAGCAGAAAAGTTCTTTGTCATTGCTGCAGGCAGTCGAGCTCGTGACTTCTCCCAAACAAAAGTCAAAACCACACTCCGGGTAAGTCACCAAAGTTAATGTCTCTTTAGTCCTTCCTCCACTGTCCCTCTCCTTTATTGCCATCCATTTAAGTGTGAGAATGAAAACAAATTTTAGAGGTTTACTCCAAGCTTTTGAAAAGGAAAAAACAAACCAAAACACTCATTTAGCACAGAGGAAGCCACGATTATCTCTATTCTTGCCTACAAAAACAAGCCAGCAAAACATTATGGCATAATCCCTGCAGGTTGGATGTGAATGTGTGAATGATCTCAACGTGGATATTGTATTTTTAATATTTTCCAAAATCCTTTAAAAAATCTTAGATGTTAAATCACTTATTGTTTGCACTTAAAAGAAAGATGCTGAGGTGAAAGATGCAAAGGGATGATTTGAGGGGAGTAGTGTAAAGGTGGACAGAAGTATACACAGCAAGAATACTGAAAGCGATCGCTCTCTGAGACCACACATGAGCAAAACAGAGCGACACTTTGTTGAGCATGACGGATACCGAAGATAGTGATGCAAGATGAATAGTGGAAGGAGACAGATGGAAGGTCTGGGCAGGTGAAGATCTGGATGTATATGTAGTGATGCAGCTATAGTGATTAAGACGCTAGCTCCACAGTCCTGCGTAGTTCCCGTGGAGCCCGGAGCAGAGAGGTCCACCAGCTACGAACAGTTTGGTGCCGGAGTCGTCATAGCAATGTGTGTACACGGCGTTGGGGAAGGAATTAATGTCTGAGAAGTAACTCCTCCACGTCTCATCGTGATTCTAAAAGCAGCAGAGAGCAGGAGGGGAGGGATCATGAAATCAGGGGGGGAAAGAAAGCAGTTATGACTATTCCATTTGGAAAGTTACATTGTGATAAATGTGATGTCAGACTTTCAGTTAAAAAAAAAGAAAAGAAAAAAAAGAAAAAATCTGTTGCATACCAGCCAGCCTTTCCCTGTAGTGAGCTTGAGGATACCATCTGCAGGACACTTCCGATACCCACCGGCTGGGTTGAAAGGGTTCTCAAGGAATCTTTGGGCCCTGATGTCGTAGAAGAGGAGAGAACCCTGGCCGGTTCCTACTGTCACGATGTGCTCATAGAAACTCACCGAGCGGATCCCTGCACAAAGAGAGAGCTGCAAGCATTAGCATAAACTCCCCAAACGGAAAGCTCTACTCTTTAATCGATTCCTTTGGGTATCACTAAAATGAACAAATGACATAATGTTGTTCACCACCAATTAACAGTATACGCCATGACTCAACTAAAAGTCAAATCAGGGAATCTTATTGTGTCTACTATAAGGAACACAGAATGTGTTCCACATTGAGAAGGAATCGACTGGATCCCGAATAAGAACAATCTCCCGTCTGTGGACATGGTGGGGATTGGTTTCAGTGCAGTTACTGCACTGTGTTCTGAATCAATATAAATATTTGCTTAAGCGAGCCTGATCTTTTCCATGTTGTGGAGTGTAAAGCCCCATGTAGCAAAGTCAACTACCCTCTGCTTAAGTTTCAGCAGTCCCTTTTGTAAATCTACAGATGACTTACCGCTTCCTCTTTCTCTGGAATTAACAGACTTGATGCTGTGTGTTGGCTGGCGTGGATCAAGGAAGGAAACATGGGCTTGAGAACCCACAGCATACACTGACCAGTCCTGTCCATATGCTAAACACACATTCTCTTTGCAGTGAGGCAGCTTGGTGGACAGTATCTGGAGAAAAGGGCATGGGATGTTACATAGAAATTAAACTTCATTAGCTTTTAATAAAATACCCAATGTAAAAAAACAAAATATATATTTTTGTTAAATAGAGCAACTGCAATATTAACTGTCTTGCCAGACATATGAGCAAAAGTCAACTTATGAAAGACTGAAGAAACAAAAATGTCATTAATTTATGTACTGTACCTTGCACAAGTTATGCTCTGCTTTCCAGAGGTGAAAATAGCCATCCAAGGACACAGCACCCAGTTCCTGGAAAGAGAAAAACAACATGGGAAAACAGGACAAAAACAGCCCAAAATCTGTGCCTATTTACTCCATGCAATACACAGACAAGTTTATAAAACTCAAAGCTATTTTTCAGAGAGTCTGGTATCGCTGTTGCTCTGTCCAGATGAGCCTTACTTTATGGCTGTTGTTGAAGGCCAGAGCACGGACTTTACAGTTGTATGGGTTGGTGTACTCTTTTGGGATATCCTTGAGCGCACGGTGGGAGATGTGAGCATAAGAAGGTACCGTCTCTTCACTCTGGGTCATCTGAGCCTGGCTCATTACCTCATCTGTAACCTCCCACAGACCCATGGAGCCGTCCCTGGACCCTGTGAATAATATGCACACAGGGCTTGACAATTAATCCATTGAAATGTTATAAGACCAAACAGTGGAGAATAAACTGTGTGCCACACACTGAAGAAATTCGTCCATGACTGTATTGCTAACTGACCAATGCAAACTCACCAGAAACTGCCATGTTGTCACTGATCCACGCAATGGAGAAAATCCAGTCATTGTGGCCATCCTGGAAAAAACACACACACGCCAAAAGCGTGTGGATTGTGAAAAATCACACTAATTCACATCCTTCAGGTTGAAATAACAAACACCTCCTGCTAAAAAGTGATAAAGCACCATGTCCAAGACATACTCAATTGCATTGTTGTTAGCAATTTTGCCAAATAACTTATTGCTATCCATCTTAAGCTCAACATGTTAGGGTGTGGGATGAAAAAATCTGGTTATTTCACTGGGGAATAATCTGGAAGCTTGCGTGCTCTGGATAACACAAACATGCAGACGTGGTCAGACAAGCTGCCTCAGCACTAAACACAGCTGCGTGGGGGCTACAAAGCACAGTGAGAATTAGTTGTTTTTTCTCTTATTTTTTCTTTTTGTTCTTTCTGGTAAGAGTAAAAATAAAATCATATCTTAATAATAAGGAGCTAATTCTTACAGCAGACTCTTGATTGAGGAGTCTGTTTAAAATCCCCACAGTTTGAAATTGGAACTCCTTTCTAAGCTTTCATGTTGTGACAGTTTAATTAGAAGATCCCTTGAGAGGAAAGTCTATATTATTTTTAGTAGAGTTTACTGGTGGACTAACAAACACTTACATCTCCAACACACACAGGGTCCAGTGTGGGCAGTTGGTAGATGGCCAGGCTGTTGGGGTTGTCGCCTCCAGTGGCAAGTAGTGTTCTTGATGGATTGAGTTCAATTGCATGGATCCCACACCCCTGCTGGTCCAGCCGAGCACGAGAACCTCCTGTCGGGTGGTAATGTCGCCCAGCTCCCACTCCACCTACCAACCCAGAACTTCCATCCTGACACTCCCTATCCTTCAACATTGGAATGCGAGTTATTTGTCCTGTCAGGACATCAACGACGAAAAGCTGAAAGTAAGAAAGCAAGAGTATGAGCCCACTAATTACACCATTTTTAACATGCTCACCAATGTTTGGGAGCAACAATGATCAATTTGGCAGAGGAGCCAGGGTAGAATCAGATTCAGATTCATCAAACTGACACACAATACAAGTACAATTTGGGTTATTAGCCAAATATCCCCCCAAAAAAGTACTAAATAAAAACAGGTGGGCATAAAATCAATATGTTCATTTCTAGAAATAAAGGTATCTGATTAACATTGTTTTCTTTATTCAAAGAAACCAATTCAATCGTTACGGCAAATAGCCTCGTTCCATTAAGAGCAGTCAAATAATGCTTTACATTGCTTTCTGAACTACAAAAACTAGTCTGATCCCACTGGGAAGCAAAGCCCCCCTGGGCACACAGCCACAGATTTAGAACGTTTAAAGTTCTGTACTCTAAAATATCCTCAGTAATGAGCCGACAATTTTGTTTTTCACAGATGGTGCTTAGCACACAGTGGTTCAGGGAAATCCAAATCTTTTAGGAGACATTATCAAATCATAACACAACATAACTTAAAAAACTATGGCGTATTAAGAGTCCTGGAAGATGTTGGCATGGTGTCACTGTTTAGTGGAGCTTTCAAAATGTGCAGAAAGCTTTTTCTGATCAAATTATAGAAATTCACAGAAATTTAATCCACAGTATAAGCAAAAAGGAGTCTCACCGTGTTGCATTTTGTCCCACACACCACCTGTCGGTGGTTGAGCCACTGTGAAGCAAACACCTTGTTGAGCCGTCCCAGAGAAAACTCCCTTTCTTTGAGAATCCCTGGGAGCCTGCCAGCTGCAAAGCCACGCAGGCTCCTCTGGAGCCGCAGCTCATGCTGCTGCTGGGGTCTGAACTCCCGCCCCCGGAGGGCACATACCACAGAGCGCCGACTGCACCACCACGGATGGGCATGTCGTGATGAGCAAGAAACGCGGCTCCGCTTGTGAGGTGCCTGACACCAGCTCAGCTGTGGAAAGACACCACAAGAGGTTCAGACATCTGAAAATTAATCGTGAAGATGCTACTGGCTTTGATTAGGGTCAATCAATTTGACATTATTTATTAATCTTTATGTTTTAGCTAAAGCAGTGGGGATGTTAATCTCAATTGAGTTGCATTAATGAACAGAAACATCAACATTAAAAATGAAATATATCTCAAATGATCTGACCATATGATAATGATCCACAAGAGGACCATGGAACATAGAAAATCACATCTCTGTTTATTACTCAAAATCTTCATTTACAAATCATTAATTCAGCAGAGACCAAAGTGTAAGTGTAACTAAATTGAGCCTGCAAAGTTGATTTGACAGTGTTATCCTGCTCATTTTCTAACTGGATCATTTTCTCCCTTGGATGTTTTGTTTTGTTTCATAAATTTAAAAGAACACACCTGATTTTTAAATATTCGAAACAAATATAATTTAATCCAGTCTGTAAATGCTAAAAAAAACGGGTTAACATGGAAACAGAACCTGCACAGTATGAAATAGAAGAGTTCCTTCCACTCAAATATGATAAGAAAAAACAACTGATATGGATCTCAGTAGATTGTATATACAATCTTTGTTGTAGGCTATGACTTTTGTTTGGTAAAACAATTACAAGCTTCAAAACAGTTGCGCTGCTGTGGATAAGTTTCGGGTCCATCCGAATTTCCTTTAAAAAACGAAGCAGGCAGTAGTGGAGAGGAAGGTCACTGACATGTCACTGCAGAAATTGAGATATAGTGCTGCCATTATTGGTTTACGTCAAGGGACGCTTAGTCGTGTCACGATTTGCTGTGTAGTTAAATGATTCACCCTGACCAAGCAATCTATGGTTAGTCTGCACGTAAAGTAAGCACCAAGAGAATTAACGTACCCGCTAACGTTGACGTTAACAGATCTCATTAAGACCTGTTTGTATTTTTTTGTGAAAATTCCGTTGACAGTTAACATCACCACAGCTGTCAATTATTATTTAAATATTTTACTTAAACAAAACATTGTCAGGGTAATTTCTTTTGACTAACTGCAGCAATGGGTCTTAAACATAATAACAACGAGCCAATAGCCCTAATAGGGTAAAGTAGGCAACCCATTAGCTAACGTTAGCTACCGTATGGTAACGAACTGACGTTGGCTAACGCCTTCATTTTCAAACAGAAACATGCTGAATCAATGTTCAAACGAAATTAAAATTGTACCCTTTTCAATTTTTGTAATTGTAAACCAGGGATAAATCAGTTAAAAGCGCCGTATGGCCTCATAGCACATAGCTTTAATCAGCTAACTGACTAGCATAGGCTAGTTAGCATGCTAATGTGACCGGTTTCCGCCTACCTGTTGTTGGTCCTTGGGCTCTCCTGTCTTCCTTTTCCTGCTAACTGTTTTTCTCGCCATAATCTGACACACACAATTCCCTCACCCACATGGAGGGTAAAAGTGACTCTGGACACTGGATCATATAATGACGATATGCTATTCAGTTCCTTGGCCTTCGCTGGCAGCGTCCGACGATGAGGAAGGGCGATCACATACGGGTGATGTTGGTCAGTCGCAGGCTAAGATAAAGTTAGCTGTCTCCCCCACCTCCTAAATAATACGACAGTTAAGCTGTGAAAACAATACAATTTTGACACACTCCCCTGGTAATATTAAGAGGTAAGAGGTTCGTTTTTCCCTGCCAAGACGCGTCTGCAGCAACGGCAAAAGCATTGGGCAGTGCGCAGCCGCACTCAAATTAAACATCAACAAAAACAAGGTCGTACGTGAACGGGTGCGTCATACGTGCTCGTTCACGCTACTTACGCGTGCTCACTGATCTGATATAGCTGTTGACTTCGGTGTCAGTGGCAAATTGCTCATTTGTTATTTCATTTATGTGCGTTTTAAATTCAGCATTATTTTTTCAGAATACAATCGAAGTTTAAGTTTAGCAACATATTGTGAGGTTAAGCAACTATTGTTTTTTAAATAATTTTTTTAATCTTTTTTTTTTTAATCAATTATTGCAGATACTGAGGAGATTATCTGGCCAACTGCAACATTTTGTCAAGCAAATGTTAAAATAAATCATGCATCATTCTCTCATAAATTCTTATGTTGTCTTCACTGGATTGAACAAATAACTCTGGACTGTGATCACCAAATTATGGTTTAGTTATCGTTAAACCATACAGATGCTGAGTATAATGCAAAACCTCACCTTTAATATGTAAACACATATTGCATGTTAGGTGTTACCTATGTTGACCATCACTGGAGGGCTGAATATGGCCTATGCTCTGCTGATCAGTGGTCTTTTTTTCTGCTGAGTGGGCCTCACAGTTGGATGTTTCCAGTTGGCGCTGACAATACCTGGATGGACAATCGTCAGTTGCTGACTTGTACACGGAGCACAGAGAAAAACAGTGCGGGGACAGAACCGTGCTTTCTTGCCAGCCTCATGTGCCATATTTACCATATAATTATATAAGCCAATAAATAAAAAAAAGACTCACACCAACCACAGTCTGAGCAGTGGAAAGAAATGCACATTTAATCGTGTGAATTTTCCAAATAATTCACAAGGAAACGTGGCATTTTGGAAATTATATCATGAGTTGAAGGAACGCAGAGCTCACCACCATTTCGGTGTACCACTGAAACAGTTGACATTTCATTAATCATGTAGCAGGTCAAAAAATGATTTAATGTATAAATCCTTAACCATCCCATCCCCTGATAATGTGGAGCAAGTCCAACTCAAAGCTCAGAAGAAACTGAGAAGGCGGATCAGCTAGAGGAGGTCCAGACATTTACATCGAATGATAGGCCCTGACTCATGAACTTCGAAACCACTCTTTAGTCAAGCATGGAGACAATAACACTTTTGTGAGCTTCACTTAGGTAAGTCTATCATCCTTTCACAGTAATTACAAAAGGAAGGTCAAATAAAAACATTTCTGCCAAACAGTTGTCAGTCACACTAAGAATGTGTGAGACATTCAGCGCTGGCTGGTTCACTTTAGCAACTCTGGCATGTTGATATGGACATGAATAACCTTCTGCGGCAGCGTGTCTCAGAGTGTGAGTGGCTCAGGGAGGGAATTTCCTGCCATCACCTTTCATATTTGCAGTTTATGTTCTGCAAACAATTACCCCACCTCTATTTTTATCAAGCAAATTAAGCAAATTGGCAATAAAGCACAATTTCACCACTTTGTTCTCAACCAGGTTGGTTGTTAGAAAGGTTTTCCTAACATGTGAACAGTGGACTACAAAGCCCCAGGCGAAATGTGCCAGTTTTCAGTCACATTTTCACCAACTTTAAGCCCTTAATCTGTGACCATGCCTCTCACAATCCCTAACAAAAACCACAGAGCTCAAGATCATAGAAATCTTAACTAACTTTGCCCAAGTTGCAAATGAGCAGACAGGCATTTTACACAATGAACTCAAGAGGTCCGTTGTCACATTAAAAAAGAGGAAGGAAAAAAAAGAACCCTGCTCGGCTTCTATATAACTGCATCCATTCAAAATCAGGAAATGTGTTTAACATTTTTACTTCTTAATTTTGCATTTAGGACTGTGGAGATGCCAACCAAATTGAAATGAATACACATGAGATGGGAAAAGAAATGGACAATCAACAATCCAAAGTCAGGTTTGATTATATTTTGTGGTCTGAACTCCAATAACAGAATGAATGACAAATCAAACCTTCTCTACTTTCAATCAAATTACCATCTAAGCTTAAATACCATTCTGCTTATTCCAACAATTATTTGAGGCTCAAAGTGCCAGTTAAAAGTCACATGAAATGTCTCTATTGCACTGTGATGTGGCTGCCAAAACAACCCTCACTTACAACTTGCTTTTCTTTTTTTTTTTTTAACCACTCACTCATTCTGCAAACAAACGTTCACAACAGTTTATAGCATCACACTTGTTAACGTATCTTACAATATTGTATCAAACTCTTTATTTGTAAATCAAAGTGTCAGTGTACTATGTTTAAATAGATGTGAATTAGGAAACTTTTGTGCCTGTGCAGTATGCGACACGTTAATGACAAGGAGCCCTGGGATCATTCTAAATTTCCCCCAGAGTAACTCTTTCCATCTCCCCCTATGGTAGCAGGATACTCCAGTGCAGGTCAAAGAGTACAATGGACTAGTAGTACTCATCGTCTGAATTGTAATGATTAAACATCTATTACAGAAATCCTAAAACAGAAAGCAAAGAAATGGAAACCTTAAACTGACATGTAAAAGTGCCAAAAATGAACAGAAACATGAATAAATGAAAGCACAACGTAAAACAGAAATAGGTGCAGGGCACAACAGCTCAGAGGGCACTTTTTGAGAGTCAGCTCCGTCTGGAGGCTGTGCCTTCTATGTTTTCTTTCACTGCAAACAGGTTGAGGTTTAGAGAGCCCCGTCTAGGGCCCTTTCGATCCCCACCAGCACGTTGTAGGTCTGCATTGAGCAGTGGAAGATGGCAGCTTAGTTGTTTGGGAGTTTCCAAAGTTCAGACTGTTCTTTCGATGATGTTCGCAGAACCGGTCTCTGGTTTCTCCCCTTTCAGTTCTGCAGTTTCACCGTCTTTCAGTTAAACACTTCCTAGAGGAAGGATTTCAGTATGGCATCTGAATGCCATGGCCCCAAATCTTCCAGTTTATCCCTCTCGGCTCAGTTATTCATCCTCTTCTTGGATAAACTAGTAGTACCAAGTCCCGGGACAACCACAAGGTAATGTTACAGTTCAGGTCCCTCCAATCTAGGCACACAACTTTCTGAAGTGCTGAGACATAAAATGTATTAGCACAAAGAGAAATAGTTTCCCCGCTGTCACTTCCACAGCAAGGTCAGGGCGTGGTAATATAAGGTAGGCAAAGGGAAAAGGGCTGTTGGATGATAGCAGGAAACGTGCCCCGGGCAGAGCTTTGGTTAGCTGACTGACTTGGCTCAGCTAGCTGTGGCACGCGCCATCAGATCCTCCAGTGCCTTGTCCTGATCATTGTTGTGGACTAGAAGCACCTCTTTGATGGCATCCCGCTCAAATCCCATTTCACCAAATCTTGACATGAGCTCAAGAAACTGCAAGGCCTGGGAGGGAATTGAATGGAAAAATATATATAAAGTGAACAAATTGCTTTCACATCTACAACAACATGCAGGAGTCTGAAATGTACAAACCTTTTCTTCTGAACACTGGTACATCTCTAAACATTCTTCTACTGCACTTGCATCAAACCCCCGATCACACAGACGGCCATGAATGAACAAGTAATCCAGTACCTTGAACAGACAGTAACTTAAGGTTTACCATTTATCCATTAAGAACGCACTGCTAGTATCATTGTGTAAATGACTTTTTCTAGTTTACATAAAAAGACTAAAAACAATACTGAACACATTAGAGTATATGGTCAATACAAATGTATCTACTTTATTTATCTACAATCCATCTGGTGTATCTGGTATATGACCTTATAAGTCCATGTCACGGAAACCATAATAATGGGCCTGTGACTGGTCATGACACCAAATCATTACCATGACCTGAACATAATGTATAACCAGATATAATGTCATGTCATATCTGCATTTGTGTAGGAGGGAGTCACACCTGCTCCACATTCTGTCCTTGTCTATGCATGGCCCGTAGGACTCCTTCATAGGAGTAGCCCATGCCCACAAGTGTTTCCACACACTGACGTTCACTGGGTGTCATGCTGAGAAGAGCTCCACCACACGGCAGACCAGAGCATACTGACCCTGGGTTGGCCTAGAGGAAAAAAAAAAAAAAATCATCAATGAATATTCCTATGGTTCCAAGATTAATTTTTTATAATCACGTTTGAATATTCAGTGCAACATGGTGCACAAACTTTGGGCAGTGCTGTATTTCTCCACCACTCACCGGCTTTGGTGTGCCATTCTCGTTATAGGTGAGTGGTTCTGGGGCAACAATAACTTGTGTTTTTGGTGGGGTTGGCGGGCTGCCATTGGGTAGTCTCTGTCGCAGTACAGGAAGGGCTACAGGGAGTGGACTGTAATTAATTGGCTCGGGGTCACCAGAATCAGAAAGTTTGGGAAAAGTCAAAGAGCGGATGTTACATGGCCGATCGTCAGTATCAAAGCCTACTCTTCCAGGATGCCCAACTCTGTCCATTTCCAGCAAGGCAACTAACCCATTGGGTTTGTGGGCAAAGCCTGGTTTGACAGAGAGGCTGTTGTTGGTGCTGGGTGGAGATGGGCTGTTTCCACGAGATGCTGACTGCTGCTGTGAGGCCTCTGGTTCAGACACAGCTGGAGGTGGTTGAGGCTGGGAATGAGGTTGGGGCTGACTCTGTAGGATGCTTCTTAGCTCTTCCTTATCATCCAATGTTTTAAGTTCTAGCTTGTCAAAGGGGTCTTCTTCTCGTTCGAAGTCTGCTAGGTTGAGGCTGTGTGGCTGAGGGATGCTAGGCTGAGTTTTTCTGGGGCCAAGGCTTGGGGCAGGCAGTGGAGTGAGGATGGCATTGTGGCTCAGCCCTGCCAGAACGGGGTTCAGCGCTGGTGGAAGAAGATCCTGGTCCTCTGTAGTAGATCTGGGTATTTTCCCTACACCACCATCAATGTCCTGGCCTTTGGCCAAAGACTCCTGGTTCTCTGCTTCCCGCTTGGCTGCTGCCTCTTCTGCTCTGGCCTCTGCAGCTCTGGCTTCAGCAAGCTCTATCCCCCAGCGTACACTTCGCCTCTCCAATGTAAAGTCATACTGTATAGGGCAGGGTGAGGAAAAGAATGAGGGCGATGGGAACAAAGACAGCGATTATCACAGCATGAACAACCATCACATGATACTAAAACTCCACTGTAAGAAAATGAGAAGGTACGTCCAAATCATAGCAATATTCTATCATTTTATGATATTTCAAATTCATACAACTGATATATTTTAACTTAAAATGAAAAGCCTAAGTGATTTCTTATTTTCTCCTTTGTCAATCATTAGACACGTCATGGAGGGCTGCATGCATGGTTTTAGAATGTGGAAAATATCATAGTGACTATCATCCAAGAAATCAAAATTGGATTAATTGCACATCAGCACAAAGCCTAAATCTCCGTTGTGCTCGACTTACCCGCATGTCCGCAAGAAAGGACCCCGTGTTTGGCATACAAAAGCCGACAGGCAATCCCACTTTGGCTGGACAGCGAAATTTATCATTTATCTTGAAGGGAACGTCATCAAGGTAGCTGATGGGTCCTATGCATAGAAAAGAGAAGAGAAAAAATAATTCAGACATCCATGACATGATTATTGACTATTCAAACCATATAAACCTTGAGCAATCACAACTAAGAACATCACCGCAGTCTTACAATAAAGTAAGAAAATATATATATTTTTAAGTTCTTACCATTGTTGTGTGCATCTGTTCCAGACTTCCTCGCAGCCATTTAGAGGATCTGAAAATAGAAATCAGTTCATGCGTTTATGAGCACTGAGCAAACCATGGTTCGTTTGCTAGACAGAGAAAGCCAGTGATTATAAACCAAAAATCTATGCATCTTTCTAAACAAGTCTGAAAGCTAACCCAAAAGTCCCCAATTGCGTTCTAGGGATTAAGTTTTGTCTAAACTGGTTTGATATTAATTGTACAACTGTGTACTACACTGTATTACTGCCACAGTGGAACGTGGTCCACTTTCACACCTGATGTCTTGGTAAAGTAAGTTCTCACCTCACAGATATAAAGGCCATTTAGCCAGTAAGGCCCAGCTCAACTGTGGCAGGGGAAACTTATTGAGCTGCCGTCTCTCCATTTTGCTGGCTCTCTCTTGGAAAATAAACAGCCCAGTTCTTAGCATTTGTTAAAACTCTTTGCTTTAGGGCGTTTACTACACTGATTAAAAGTCAGTGACTTCAATCTGTCATGGCTCACACATGACGAGTACAGAAGGGATCTTGTGACCAGGATGCAAATGACCCTCCGTCGGATTTTCTCAGCGTTAATTTAGGCGTGAAGACCTTAACTTAGTAGTTACACGATAGCTAGAGGCTAATAGTAGTTGAGGATAAAGTTATGCAACACTTCTCCACCAGTAGTTGTTGTTTTCCGTAGCTATTTAGCAGCTTAGCATGTACTCAAAGTAAGATTGGACCTAAGACAAATACATTGTATTATTTCTTAGATTTGGTATAACCACAACAATTCTTGAGAATTGCACATGCAAAAGAACACTTTGCTAACTTTGGTGTGTTAAAATGCGTTTAATATAAACTGTCAATCGAAGAAGGACCGTTACTACGGCTCCTTGCATTCAAAATGAAAATGCTATCATTCTGAATCGTCCAAAACTTAACAACTGTCACTCTGACACATAAAACGTCTTTAACAAACGCAGTCAATTTAAAAATGTAACCAAGAAATAATTGTTGTAGCCTTAGCTACAAGCTAAGCTATGTGCACTTACTCTTGGGTAGACCCGCTGACAGATAACCAACCTGGAAAGCTTATTAATTTAACAAGAGGTATACAGATTGATAAAGATCGGCTAGAATAAACGTGACCATTCTTCCAGATAAACACTAGAAGATGGTCTTAGAGGAATCCCACTGTTCATGCTAATACGCTTAGCTTCGCCTGTGGCCTGCCTGTAACGTTACGAGCTGGTTAAGACAGACTGCTATCTCAACCGCCACCGCCCCTCGCATAAAACTGAGCTGGCATATAAATACAAGCCCCCCTCACCAGTATCTGCTCCGTCTTGTCCTGTCAAAAACCGAACGACGCCCAACTGCGCTGACACTCTTGTTAAAACTGACTTCGGGATCAGTTTTATTTAAACTGAAACCTCTTTCCTGATTCGGTGTAGGTCGCCATCTTGATTTGTCAGGCTTTCTTCACTGGTTCCTGTGTGATGTCATTCCACGACGTCAGATCACCACAACGCCAGAGTAGAGTAAGTTACTGAGTAATAAATAAGATGGTCGAGTTAACTAAATTCAGGGTTACTTTCTTGATTAAAAACATTTTACAATATAAAAAATTTAATGAAAACGTACAATGATGAATGGCCTGTGCTCACTGTTATCTCTAAACTTGCATTTGTCACATCCTTTGTAATGATTTGGATAACTTGTTCACATGGATTTGTGCTCTCACCCATGTACCTTTCCTCCAGCACAATATGTATCTAGATCAGGTCTTTATTGAAGTTGTAAAGGTTAAGATGTGAGTTGTTGTTTTTTTTTTTTATGCAGTAAAAAAAAACATTTTATCTTAATGGGTCATCTAAATATATTATTTTGAATAAATCAATAAAAAATGTTATTTTGTTGACTAATATGAGTTATGGGCACCTACTCTCAGCTCGAGGTACGCGCACGTCACGTCTGACCATTACGCCGCTTACGTTCCGCAGACACGCGCAATGATAGCCGGAAGCATCGATGGGAGGAAAATAAAAATCGATTAAATCCACTGTTATTCGCGAGTGTAAACCTCTCACTTGCTGGTCTTTTTGCCACCACGGGCTCGAATTCCTTAGTCTTTGACACTGCTGCCGTGCCGGAGGGGACGGTAGGGAACAGAAAAGCTGCTCTGTGTGGACGAAGTTGCTCGGTAGGGGTTTAGCTGACGTGTGGAGAAGTTGAGACTGCTAGAGAGCAGATAAACAAACATAAACAAGCAGGGATCAGCTGAGCGTCGGTCCGAACCGAACCGGGAGATCGGGGAGATGGCAGGGGAAGCGAAATTCCTCGTTTGAGCCCAAGAATTCTCCACTGGGGACCGTGACTCACACTGATATTCGCTCCATGTCAATTGTCAACACTGGCACACAAAGAATTTCGGAAACACAACACGAGGACCAGCCATAGGCTTTAGCAGAGAATCCTGTCTCTTAGTCAAGAAATAGCAAGGTTAGCATGGACAGCCTATGACTTTCCCTTGCAGGTTTCAGCCGTAACGAACCCAACACATATTACAGAGCAAGGAAACGGAGGTAAACACTTTTTATTAACTTTGCTTCATCCCCATAAAGGGCCTCCGAACTAAACCTAGCTTGACATGCCACATAGCGTGTTTGTGCTGTATGTTGAGCTCAGTTAACCAATAACATTATTACCTCCCTTCGTTCTTTTTGTACTTCATGTTTACCAGAAAAACTATTAATAAAACCAAAGCTAAAAGGTTCGAGTTGTGTACTAGAAATTATTAGAAATTAGTAAATGAAGAGTCCATGGAGTCCTGAATGTACTTCTGATGGTATCATGAATCTCATGTTATTTTTGTCCCTGCTACAGATCTGTGGCCACTGGTGTCACAAGTGGAGTTAACATGGCCCACCAGGCAACCCCCAGTTCCCAGAAGGCCCTGATGATGGAGCTGAAGTCTCTGCAGGAGCAGCCGGTGGAAGGCTTCCGCATCACCCTGGTGGAGGAGTCTGACCTCTACAATTGGGAAGTGGCCATCTTCGGGCCCCCAAACACTCTGTATGAAGGGGGCTACTTTAAGGTTGGAAGCGCCCGTTTGGTGTTTGTGTTCAAAAAAGAAAACGCAGGCCGTGACGGTTACTTAACAAACATTCATGCAATAATACGCAGTAGACCCGGTTTGCAAATTGTGTGAGCCAACTGTGATGCTCTCTCATCCGGTCGCTGCCATTTCTTTTATTGAAAGTCATTTTCAGCCTCTCTACTGTCCCTCCTTTCTCAGCCTTCAGCCTCCTCTGTATGGTGGTTATGCTTCACATTGCTATTTTTAGCTATGCGGCCACTATTAATGGCACCTTAGCTCAGAGAAAACTTAGGAGAAAAGGGCATGATTGGACTCATCTGACTTTCTTGCATGTAACTTACTGCATAAAAGAAGTTGCCAGTGAGAAAGAGCTTGGGGTCCTTTAGTGATACTGAAGCCTACTAGATATTCTGTTAAAAAATCCTGAGCCCTGGAGGTATTCCTGCATAGATAGTCACAGTCCTTTATGTTTGGCCTAATGTGATATGTGTAACAGAGACACTTACCATCTAATGATATGTAGATGCCTCTGCCTGCCAACAGCTTTACACCCAGACCAAAACACTTTACCAATTAACAGAATTACACGAAGCTGATGGTCCGCATTTCCAGCAATGAAAAGTTGAGGTTCTGCCAAAAAAGATCAAAGAAGCATTTCTGGATGATGGCAGCTCCAGAAATCTTTGACACGTATACAAATAGAATTTAGTAATTGGGTACAGTAGAAAAAACAGAAATAAAAGAGAAAAAGTCCTGTTTGTTGGCAGAATCTTGATCGTGTAACCAAACAAAGACCTCCCACCAAAAACTGACCACTGTTGATTGTCCTAAAGGAGATACTGAATGCTGAGCTACACCTGTGGGGCTGTAGGTCTGGTAATGACTTCACAGCAAAAGGCAATGCAGCAGAGGACATTGTACCATTTGCGTCTTTAATTAACCTTGGCTGGAGCAGGGTTGGGGTTTGCTGTGGAGTGATGATAGTCCTATCTCTCTGTTCAGTTCAGCAGGGTTGGGGTGGTGTTGCACAAACCCAAGCCTCCGGCTGCTTCGTTTGATCATTTTGCAATATTTTGGAGGAAAAAAACAGAACCTGGGGTTCCCTATGATAGATCATCTAACATATAGGGATTTTTTCTAAGTTAGATGGATAAAATGCCATAAGCTGCTTAATATGTTGACTGCACTGCTGACTACATCTGTTTTTTTTGTTTAGCTGCACGCTTCAAATGAAACAGGAAGCCAGTTTGTGGTTAAACATCTTAGCATTCTAATAATAATGTCAGACAAGTTGTTAGAAGGAAAGTTTTTTTTAAAACAATTTCATTTGAATATCTATTTATTATATGTATAGTAGCCAGGTTGAAGGGAATGTCTGTCTTAGTAAGGTTCCCTCTTTAAAATGCTATTGGCTGTAATCTAAAGTTTGGTTAACTGCAACCTCCTTCCCCTTGAACATAACATTTTACCTCATGTTGTTATAAAATATGTACATTTCTTGTTTTTCCATTATTGCACATATTTGACCCTTTCTGAGACGAGGTTTTAAAAAAAAAGCTTGAAGAAGGATGTCTGTAAAAACCTCTCTGACTGTTGTTATGTCTATTGCTCCAGGCTCACATCAAGTTTCCAGTTGACTACCCGTACTCCCCGCCTACATTTCGCTTCCTCACCAAGATGTGGCACCCTAACATATATGAGGTAAAATGTGTAGCTGTTTTCTTTTAACATGGCCGTGGTATTTGTGTATTTGTGGTTAACAGTTTATATGCTTGAATGGAAGCAATCAGCTATTTTTTGCCTGACTGTGGTGTGGGGGGGGAATGCTGCTCACACTTGTTTTTGTCCTTTTTGATGTCCTTTTCATTAGAAAAAAGCCAACCACATTTTGCTCAAGTTTAGGCAAGACAAGCTTATTTGTAGATAAAGCGACCCAAAGTCACATCATGGATTCACAAAAGGCAAATAAAAACATTTATGTTTTGGCTTCAGTCTTATTCTTTAACTTTTTCCCATGGCTAAAGGGAAAGTCACAAATTGACTAAATTAATCTGTAAATCGTCACCTTTGCCTTTTAACTCAGTGTTCTTTTCTTAATGATTTTCAAGCTTCCAGGAAAGCAAATGCTTCCTTAGAGTCTTTTCCTAAGATTGCTTCATAACATGTTTTTGCTAAATTTTTGTTGACATTTCCATGCAAATTTGGAATTCACATGCGGAGTTGAGTCAGCCATCAGTGGTTTAAATGCAAATATACCCACTGGCAAGTTTTCATGACGGATGACACAGTCTCATTTGGTCTCCTTCCAGAATGGAGATGTTTGCATTTCAATCTTGCACCCTCCTGTGGATGACCCACAGAGTGGGGAGCTGCCATCTGAGAGGTGGAACCCCACTCAGAATGTCAGGTACTTTCTCCCTCTGGTTACACACATGCATTTGCTCCAGAGTTAGTGTGGTAGAAAGAAATAAAAAACTTGGGAAACAAGGGGGGGGGGAGCAGACACTTAAAGGCAGGGCTTTGCTGATGTTTCTGGTTTGCAGCTGTAAGAGTTGTGTGACATCTGGAAAAATGACCTTAAGTGTTGTCACATGTTATTGGTATTTGGGGGGGAAAGATTTCTGAGCCCGATGCTGCTCAGAGTTCAGTTCTCTGCTTTGAAGAAGCGATCTACACACCAAGATTTCTAACAGAAATATATGTATTTGTGGGTAATGTATATACCAGGTCACAACAGAAGAAAAGCTAATCCTTTAGTGACAAACCCTATTTAACCCTAAAAAGAGTTTAGGCATAGACTTTGTGAATTTCTCCTAGATTTAACTGTCAGCAAGATCCAGGCAGCTGAGGTAAAGTGCTGAATCTGTGGATTGGAAGCAGTGGGTAACTGATCATAAAACTCATGACGTGTTTCTTCTCTTGTGCTCAGAACCATCCTTCTTAGTGTGATCTCCCTGCTCAACGAGCCCAACACCTTCTCCCCGGCCAACGTGGACGCCTCTGTCATGTTCCGGAAATGGAGGGACAGCAAAGGCAAGGACAAGGAGTATGCAGAGATCATCAGGTAAGGCAGCAGGAGCGATTTTTCCGGCCCGCGGGGGCCGATGAAAAGCGTCTTTACGTCTTTGGCAGCTGTCATTTATGTGCTCGCTACCATTTCCCCAACAGGAAGCAGGTGATGTCCACGGCGGCGGAGGCCGAGCGGGACGGCGTCAAGGTGCCCACCACGTTGGCGGAGTACTGCGTCCAGACCAGAGTCCCCTCCCAGGACAGCAGCTCGGACCTGCTCTACGACGACCTCTACGACGATGACATGGAGGAGGAGGACGAGGATGAAGACGAGAGTGAGATGGAGTCCGTAGGTGAGGCCGGAGGCATGAGCAGCGTGGAGGACGGCGGGACGTCCACCAGACGTTACGACAACCAGGACGACTCTGGCAATGAGGACTCGTGATGATCTGGATGATAACTCTTCCCCACCAGCTCCCCCACCGCCCCCCCTCCTTCATTTCTCATCCTGTCTGCGTGCAAGTGTGTGAATGTTTGCACACATACAGTGGGGTCAAAAGTCTACTGCCAAAACGTTTTCATCATTTATTAAACGAATCCAAGTGTCCGGGTCAAATAGGACTTCTGACGGGTTTCTGAGTAACTGTTCAGCTAAAGCTTGTCGGTACCGTGTTCACTGAAAGTCAGAATTTGGTGTTCCCACCGTTTGCCTTAATCACAACTTGCACTCTAACGTTTTGAGTTTGAGATGCAAAATTACTCCAGCACAGCTCCAGAGAGTCCCAGGAGTGTTTTTGAAGTCATATTTCTCCTTTTTGACAGTGTTCAGTTGAGGTTTGAGGATCGATTCTCGTCCATACTGTTTCAAGCATGAGTTATGGACTGCTTTGGCATTGTGTAATTGATCTTCTCTCGCGTATGGCACAATAAGGTATGGCAGCCGTTGATAGATAGAGCTGGCGCCATTAAAGGAGTAATTTGGTCACTGCTGTATTTTTTCTCTTGCACATGTAGTTTTGTCAGGTAGAATAAGGTTTGTAACTTTGATGTTGGCGTGGTTAAGTTTGGTTGTCTGTAGGTCTATCCCGACCTGGTTCTGGTGAAGCCATCTTTGTTCGGTAGGATTTTCCCAGCCAGCAGCTTGTGGCCCGCAGTGCAGCTTAAAATTCCTTGTCAAATTCCTGTCATGGTTATTTTTCATAGTAGCCTGTAAATAGTGAATAGTTTCATGAACTGACGATAAAGAACAAATAATATAATGGATTCTATACCTACACACCGCTTCCGAGTAAAGAAATAGTTCCCGAGTTGATAAATGATGAAAAGCAGTTGTAGGTGTGGTGGTCTGTTGAACCCCGCTGTCGCTGTCCAGTTCTTTGTCTGACCACTCCATGTCAGATTGTTTTTCTGTTGAAAGATTGGCTCTGCCCATTGTCTTTCCTTGTTACCGTTTTTAAAAAAAAGTGTTTTTGCTTGGTTGGCGCTGTGTCCTCTCTAACTTGTCTATTGTCTTTTCTTGATTGGCTCAGACAGCCTGGCTAATGGAGACTTTGCACACACGCTTCGGCTCATTAACTAGTCACTAGTAACTTGTCCTCTCACTGTCACTAAGTGTGTCCAATAGCAGGACATCTCTGATCCTCGCGGCAACTTCAACCCCACGATTTCAGTCGTGTCCATAAACTTTAGCTTCTCCATCACGATCCCCTGAAGCAGCCTCATGTCCTTTTAGGTGAATGAGGTCCAGAGCTCTCACATCTCCTCTGGCACTTATCTCTGCCTCTCAAACCTCAGGGCCTCAGTAGACTTTCACTGAGAGAGAAAAACCAGATCCTAAGACACAAAACGTATCCTCCCATTCATCGCCTTTCCTTTCTTTAAGTATCACAGATTGTTATTTGAGGGGCGAGACTGCTCTGATAGTCTCCAGTCCCCCCGCTAGGATCTACACCTGAATGAAGGATTGCCACTCTTGGTTCAGATTAGGGTGCTCGGAGTTGTTGTACTCTCGCAAAGCCAGAGCCAGATAAAGAAAATACATTTGTCAGGACCTGTCCTCTCGACAGTGCTTACATTATGTTGTGATTGGTGTAAAAGCGCTCTGTTTTTATCTTTTTTTTTTCTTTGTGTCCCCAACCGATGCTGAAATGCAACTTTGTGGGAGCTGAACTTTGTGAGTATTCAGGGTCTGCGTGTTGATAAATCTACAGCTTGGATACTTACTTGCATTTGAATGAATTTCGACCGTGACTGCCTGTTACCTGTTTGTGTGTTTATATTTACATTTAGCGTCCACGCTGGCTATGATGTCACATTTTCCCAAATTATATTTTAAGCTTGGGGAAGCCCTCAACTCAGTTCTGTTTTGAGTGTGTGGAATCAGCCAAGTATCTGATAAAGGAAAGTCAAAATCCTCCGAGTACAAGGCTTTTGAACATCCTCTACTGCGCAATCTAACTGAGGTTACTTGTGCAGCATCCCATAAACCACATATTTTGTTTTCCTTGTTTCCCTGTGGGGCGCTGGGGCAAATCTGTGATTCAAACGGATGGATTTTTATGCCACGGAAACCAAGTACCGCCCCGCAAGCTTTCATTTGAAATACTGCGCAGCAATGGATGCATGTCGTGGATTTACTACTTTTTTGATTAAACTCTTACCGAGATACCGTTTGGATTTTAATGTGAAACCAAAGGAGTTAAACATTCTCTTCTGGCTCTGTGTTTCGGAGGCTCCCAGAGACTGGACTCTTTTGTAGGCAGAAAAGAAGAAGTTCACTCCTGATCTGGACCGATTATGGATTTGATATTATGGCACAAGAGGAGGAGCATAGCTGCCAGGGATTCTGAACTTTTCTTGATGTGCCCCCCATCTTTCCCAATCCCTCCTAAAGTAGAGAGGTGAATCACTATTAAGGAATAAAAAGTACAAATCTTGAGAGTCTGCTTGAGGTGCAGTGGGACATTTTGTGAAATATGTGCTCTGTAAAGATGAGTCAGGTGGGAAGGCTAACATTGTAATGTCTCGCCATTGAATATAACAAATTTCACTGTATCTCGAGTAACCCCTGGCAAAAAAAAGAAAAAAAAAGCTTGCACACTGATGGGCTTCACTCTCGACTTCTTCACTGCACTTGTAAGAGATGTGGATGTATAAGCTGACTCAGCGTGACGCTTCCACTTCATGTCATAGATTCTCTTAAAAATGTTCAAATGAGATTCTTTTAGGATTTCAGAAACCCCCATGACCTTAAAGGTTTAAAATTAAGCAATTGTTTTTTTGTTCTGTTTTTTAAAGAAATTTAATGACACGAATTGAGCCGGTGAGTTGAATTAGCACAGAACAGCTATCTCTCAGCAGGTTACTTTATTTTAGCCTTCAGAATAAATCAGAACTTTTTGCCCAACCCATCTCTGGCTGTATCTGCATAGTTCTGAAACCGACACAACAAGATGCACAACAATTCTCCTCAGTCTCAGCGAGAAAGCAGACATATTCTCAGAATGATAAATGATCTTCTTGCAACTTTAGAAATTTCAATCTGCCTTTTTTTTCTGTTTCTTTCCAATGAAATGTCTATCCCTTTAGGAGTAGAAATTGTTTGATTTTCATTTTAAAAGCATTTCTGTGATAGAAAGACCCATTTTGAAAGTAAATGTGTTTCCTTTGTGTTTTTTTGTTTTTTGTTTCAATAATCAGGACAAATTGAAGAAAGTGAAGATGTGCTTACCTTTTTGATGGAGTAGCCACTAGCTATTATCTAAAATAAAATAAATTGGGGGAAAAAAAGTACAAATTGACTCATGAAAAGAACCGCCATCTGAGATGATTGGATATTGTTGTATACGCATATTGTATTACATACAAACTGAATGGAACTGTTCAGTTTATTTAACCTGTGTGTGGGTGTGAAAATGTGTGTGCAAATGTGTACTCTTTGAGTTGTGGGTCCACACGGTGGGGTCCCCCTGAAGCCTTTGCATGGTCACACACTGAAAGACTGGTCTGTCCACAATGCTAAAATGTGCCCACACATGGATGTTCTTGCTGTCCTTGTTGGTTTCATATTTCAGTTTAATCACCCCCCCGATCATGTTGCATTTGTTACATCATAAATGTCACTCTTAGGCTTCTGTTGTACTTTAAAAAAAAAAAAAGAAATTTGAAAAAAAATAGTTGAGTTTGGTTGGAAATGGGCTTTGACCTCTTTTGCTAAGCCTACATGCCCTCCGTAACAGACAACAAAAAGTACTTTTTGAGGTGGGAGGGGTGGGCAAAAGTTAAGAGTGGTATGCAGGCGGAAAGTTGGTGTGTGGTTAAGTTTGATAATCATTGAAAATAAAACTATGTCCTCAAAGCCTGCTGAAAACTTCTGATTGGTGGTTCCTACCTCATGGATTCTGGATGTTCCAGGCTGATTATTTTATATGGTAGTGGCATCCAGCCATGCATGTAGTTTTGACATAGTTTATCTATGAGTTTCTTTTAATACGTTTTTGGTGTTTGGTAAATCATAAATCAAACTGTTGTGGGTCACATAGAAAGTGCATGGGGAAAAAAAATGAAAGAGTCAAATACCTGGTTAGGGTGGTGGAGTTCGGGAAAGTAAAGAGGAACTTCCGTACAAGGTTTGATCTTCACAAGCAAAATTAGATCAGCACTGTTTTTTAAAATGATCAATTTAAGACCGATATTTCTGCAAATAACTTGTTCTTTGAGTCTCTACTGGACGTACTGTGAAAAGTTTAGAGAGTCCAGAGAATCCCAGTGTGTAAAAGCAAATTACAGAAACCTCTGCGGAATGCAGGTGACCTTTCAGCTCTGAGGTGGAACTGCATGAAATCCATCATGCCACCATAATCAGTTTAATCACATGTGCTCAGGAGCACCTTAGATAACCCATTACAGTCAGCAGAATTCACCAGTGTACCCAAACTAATAGAACTGTGGTAAACATGCATCTGTCCAGTGCACTGCTGGTATCAGATTTCAGACTTGTTCAATTTAAAAAAGAACAAAAATTAGAGTTATTTGGGAAACACAGATGCCCCCCCTCTAATGAACTAGACATTGAGAGGTTTATACCATAGTCAGTGTGGTGTGAAATCAGGCCCTGGTTCTGGTTCTACTTAGTACTATAGAACGGATGACAAAATAAAATTATACAGGTCAAAGTGGAAACTAAAGCCGACCTGTGCTCATGTTCACTGCTGTGTCCTGTGTGTCCTCATAAGGAAAAAGACAGTTGATACCAGCACTCCCAGCCTGCTTTATGACTTGATAGATTATTTGTTATTACATCCCCAACAGATGACACTAATGCAGCCCTGCATCATGAGCCTATGACCAGCATCTAGCTTGAATTCAACACTTACTTTTAGGAGAAAAAAATATTTCTGATGTGCACAGCATCAATTAGACTGAAGCTCCAGTTTAATTATCCTGAGGCAGGGTACACCCTGGACAGTTCACCAGTCCACCGCAGGGCCACACAGAGACACACAAAGTCGAGTTGGAATGTCCAGTCAACCTAACATGCAGGTTTTTGGATGGCGGGAGGAAGCCGGAGAACCCGGAGAGAACCCACACAGACACAGGGAGAACATGCAGATTCCACACAGAAAGGTCCTGTCTCCCCCAGGGACTCGGACCCACAGCCTCTTGCTGTAAGGCGATGGTGCTGACCACCATACCACCGTGCGGCCCCCTTGTGCCAGTCCATATTTTTATATGTTTATGATAGATCCATTCAGTCAGAACTGATTCATAATTTCATCCTCTCTCCAATGATACAATCAATAGTTCTAGAATAATAAAACTACAACCACTATTTGCTTTAAATTTCCGGAAAGCAATAACTGGTGTGGGTCTCATAGAACTAACTGTGCAACTTCATCAAAGTATGTTTTTGGTGACACCTTGTGGTAGGACCTAAAACTCAATGTCCATATATAATATTTATTCACATTTTGTGAATGAAGAATACAGGACATTTAGTTTTAATCATAGCAGAGTGTAATTCCAGCTGTAAAAATAACCAGATAAACACACACCGCTCATTAAACTGTGATCGTGCTTATTGTTGGGACCACATTGGAAGGTAGAGGACAATTCATTTAATTTTTCTGAAACATTTGTGCTCTGATTGTGTATATCAGCTTATTCATGTTTACATAAAGATGATTTCTGTATTCAATCCTCTTACATGTGACTAAGAGATCGCCACATAAAACCATACAATAGATATTAATATTTGACCAAAGCAGAAAGAGTCAGATTTCTGTTACAATCCACTTACATGAATGAAGGGACGGTGTATTTACCTGGTTTTACCAGGAAAAAAAAAGTCAAACGTAGCCCAGCTAAGCAGTCTTTTCCACCCACGTTCTGACACCTCACTGCTTGTCCTGCTGAGCTTCTAAGTGTGTCTGTGCTGCTCTCAGTGTGTCCTGCAGGTCTCTGTACCCGGCCAGAGCACAGGCGTCCTCCAGCTGGGCCCAGCGGTAGTCCTGGTGCTCATCGGACAGAGTCACTGCTGTTCCCGGATCCCTCAGCTCAGCCAGCCAGTACAACACCTCCTTGGGTCTGCCACGAACCTCGTAGCGCAGCTCCTGCACGAAGCCCTCCACCACCCGCAGGTGCTCCGCCCCGAGCCCCGCCTCTTCCCTGGTCTCCCTCAGAGCTGTGGTCAGGTCGTCCTCACCCGGGTCCACGTGACCTGGAAGTGAACACATTGGAGGCCGACGGTCAAAATGAGGCCAAGCTAAACAAGTGGGATGTAGCTCATCTCGATCCCACGATGGAGTGCACACCTTTGGGTGGGGTCCAGTGGTGCTCCCCATAAGATGTCTGCAGGAGGAGGTATTCAATGTTGCCTGGTGGGGGCGTGCAGCCAAGAAGGCGGCGAAATATTATAAAACCACATGCTCGCAGTGCCATCTTCCTGTTCAACAGAGAAACAGTTCTTTCAATTTTCCAGTGCTTGATAGCATCCTTAAGTCCTTGCATACCGTCTTAGGAAAATAGTTTATTTGTGATGGCCGTTGAAGGAAGGCCTTTTAGTGGCAGGAGCTGAATGTGCTCCTAAAACAAGACAGATTCACAAAGGCATCATCTCACAGGCTACAGGACCCAGTCTGTTCCAATGTGCAGTCATCTGGTCCCAATCACTTCAATTGTCCAATTATATTCAGATGTTTTTATTTACCTTCATAAAACTACACTTTTATCACTGTTTATCACAATTTTTTCCTCTGGCTCGGGTCTGAATGTCCGTCCTGAGCACCCTTCTCCTTTACAGGTTTAATGGCCCCTTAGTGGTAGATCAACACCAGCAAATGTTTATCTTTAGCATCTTAACATTTATGTTTACATTTACATCTCTGAATTTAGGAGATGTTTTTAACAATGGTGACCTACATTGGACAAACAATTTACAATGGACAATTATATCATCAAATTATGTTTGAGTAGGGACAAGAAATATGAAAATTGCGGGAGGGGTAAATAAGTGTAGAAAGTAAAAGGTATTGTTTGGGATTAGTTTATTATGAGAGGAAAAGCAACGTCCTAAGAGCTTTTTAAGGGTAGAGAAGGGGACCCCTGCTCTGGTAGCAATTTTTGCAATTCTCATCAAATAGCCACGGGCCATTTTAATGTCAGAAGTGTAGTGAGAGGAAGAGGGCCGAACAACCGGGAGGATACTAGCTGACAGCTGACTGGACCTTGTAACTGAACACCTAATGAAATAAGTCACATACCTGAACACACTTTTACAGAACAAGTCTCGCGATAAAAGGTTCACCGTAAAAAGCTAATGATTCCGTTTGTACAGTCTCTTAACGCCGGCCCAGAGATTTTGAAAACATCGTGTTAGCAAACTAGCTTTCTTTGACACCTATTGCACACAGGCCGAAGTTCTATGGCTGCGCTTATTCCTTTCCGCTTGCTTTTACTCTAATACTAAATGTTAGCAATTCATTCTTCACAACATTCTACAACTTACTCTCTATTTGTAATGCAGACAATTCATTGAACGCCGTCTGGTGTCTCAGCTGAACATGTCCGTCCACCGACAATTTGTTCCGGAATGTTTTTTTAGACTGATATACAGAGTTCCGCTTTGAACAGAAGCGGAGAAGACCTAGCTATTCAGGTCTGCATTTAGAATTATACTCCTGCTGACATTAACCTATATTACGATACACATTCAGCTCTGTGGAATACACTGCAGGCTTTCTTATCTCACTCTCACAGGTCAGGTTATATTCTCTGAGATTCTTTAAACCTCACCAATCTGTCATTTAATTATTATAATGTGTTGTAATTAGTGCTAAAATCAACCAAAAAAGTGCAAAAATATATAATATAGGTGAATTAATTTATGCTGAATATGTTTACATTAATCATGTTATACTGAATGAATATGTACCAAAACAAGGGATTTTGTTGGTTGTAGACATAGCAAATGTTGCTGACATATACATTTACATATCGATATAACTCATACCTAATGTCATACCTAACTCTTCTTGTTGTTGACAAAAAATGTTTCCAGCATATACATTTTCATAGCAATGGAATCAATATGCTCACACATTTATTCTGGGACCTATTAATAAATAAGTTTTTTTTTTTTCTATCCTTCTGGAAATGCTTTGTTAAAATAATGATTGTTTATTCTATACAGGAACTTCTTTCTTTTAACAATCAAGTAGCTGTTGAATGTCAGGAACAAAACTCGGATGTCCAGATATCATCAAAGTAATGGAGAGGGGTTCATGTCTGAATGGAGTAAGATAAGAGACAAACCCAGGGAAGGGTGGGCCTTCTGGGGACAGCATGTGTGTGAAGATAATGGAGATGGGACCTCCTTTACACGCAACCCTGAGCTCTTGGCAAGACAGTTGTTCCGTTTGATGGAGGAGACGCAGTTGCTGAGTTTCAAGGTAAAGGCAATATAAGAGGAAATTTCCACTTTGTCAATTTCAAGAATATATATGTAGAGAAGGATATAAACTGACAGAGTGGTGCAGCAATATTCGGAAACAAATGGTACAAATTCAGCCAACTTAGTCCCTGAAGGGCTTGCGTGAAAAGGTTATCTTTCTTTTTCATCCAGTGATTTTGGTGTTTTGTTCCCTCTTTCTGAAAATCATCTGTCTTTGTTTCAGCCGCAGGCTTAAGACGTGTATTTTGCTGCCACTACTGTGCTTAGTCAGCCTGTGCTGTAGTATTCATTAGCGTTCTCTATTATCCGTGAGTCATACTCGCGTCCAGATAATTCTTATGCACTGCCTACGTGGAGATTATACATGGATAGATGTTTCACCGAGGTATCCAGATAAACGATGACTTCGCTGGAGGATGGTTGCCAAGTATACATAATTTTTCTATATGTGCCAGTTTATGTCAGTCATATTTATAAGTCATGAGGCGCTCAACTGATGTTTTATTTTGCATTTGGAAAAACAAAATAGCCAAGAGACATTTCAAAATGTCCACTAAATGTTTTCCAGCAAGACAGATGTTGGGGATTAATTCTTAGTCTTCCTGTTTTTTAGCTGATGAGTGCAGAGGGATGTTATGGAGGTGTTGTGGACATAAAGTAAGCTGACAACTGTGACGTGAGGTGCTATCAGAGTAAACCTGTTGACAAATCCAAAAGCCACTCTTTCCACGCAGTGGCTCCCAGACTATTAGGCAGTCCAAATCATTTCTTTTTACTGGTAGCAGTAATGATATCATAGTTAAGTAACAAATCTTGTGGATATGCAAAGTACACTTTTAAATGATTACATGAAAAAATGACAAATTGGGATATTCCTTGTTTTATCTTGAAACAGAATTTTACAGAGTGTCATGGGGGAGAAGGAGCAACCAACTGGAGATCTCCATTTTGTGGGCACGAAGGAGGAACTGATTAAAGCAAAGCGTTCTTTCAGAACAGTAGAGGGTCGAGATATACTGGTTGTCTACCACCAGGAAACATTCTATGCTGTGGACTCTTACTGTTATCGTGAGTACAGGTTTTCCAAGTGAAAATTTGAAACATTGTTTTCCTTTGAGAGATGGAAAGTCTGACTTCCATTCACACCTAATGGTTATGTGACAAGCCACATACATGACAAACCACAAGGTTTTACTGAGGACCATAAGATTTTGTCCTGAGAAGCAACTGATTATCTATCTATCTATCTATCTATCTATCTATCTATCTATCTATCTATCTATCTATCTATCTATCTATCTATCTATCTATCTATCTATCTATCTATCTATCTATCTATCTATCTATCTATCTATCTATCTATCTATTGGTGGTCCATAAAATCTATTTTTGTATCATTTTATTTTGTATCAAATTTATACAAAATATAATCTGTTTTATAATGGGGTACATACAGCAGAACATGCTGACATATTAAATAGTTGTAAAAGTTGCAAGAAAATTTAGAAAGAAATGATAAAGCGTGGCTTATTTGGAAGGGATGTGTTAGAAAGTGTCATAAAGGACCCTACATTTTCCCCTGTTCATCATACACGATGTTGAATAATGACCAATACACTGGTTTAATTTTCTTCCTAAAAATCTGAAATGTTGTACCAGCTGGCCTGATGAAATAATTAAAAGATTGGATAATCCATAAAAATCATGTACACAAGAGACAGGACCTAAAATCAATATTGCAGCCTCTCAGCCAGCAGTGCTTTATATTCTGATGTGAGTATGTGGTGGAAATATGTACTTAAGCATGTAAAATGATGAGTTAGAACTAGAAAGATAAAACAGATATGAAGACCTGCCCTCAACTGAGGAGACATGAAAAACTATACCCTGGACCACCAAATAATGATCAGAAATGTCTTTTTGGAAAAGATAAAATTCTCCCAATTTAGAAGAAAATGGCAACCTGGATGATGTAGTCTGGGTAAATTCAGGCATACAGTATGGTAACTATTGAATTTGAAATAAAACGTTTACAGCTGATCTGCTGAAAGCTAAGATTGGCTGCCTGTTGAGAACGTTTGGTGGAGAAGAAAATACTATCAAATTCCCCAGTTTCAACATCAGATTAGTGAGTATCAGATTTTCAGATGAAAATTGGATTTATTTGATTTAGTTCGTTTTGGATTTATTCACATTGTACACAGTATACTACTATTTCTTAAAACAGGCTAAAATATGCACTTAAAGATCTTTTAACACACATTTTGTCTTCAGTTTGTAATAGATTAGCATCTGTTTGCTCTTTGTGCAATAAAGTGAAAGTCTTTTCTTGACAGATGCTGGAGGAGCGCTGGTGAATGGAGACATTGAGGTGAGGTTTCCCTTTGGCTTCAGAACTTTGACTCTGACTCATGAAATAAAGTCATTTTAGTTTACATCGGGGCATTGAACATAGTATTGATCAAGTCCCCACTTCTGCATGCTGAACTAGCTGTGTTTAAATACCTTCACACAACTGCCAGACTGAGACACAGGGATTCTGTAATTATCACATCAAATTAACATAACATTAACATAACACCGTTTGCTCTTTCTCCACTCGCACGCAGGAAATTAATGGCAAGCTGTGCGTAATTTGTCCGAAGCACAAGTTCAAGATCTGTTTAGCTGATGGGGAGGGCTTGTACAGGGGCGTAAACCCAAGGGAAAAGCCACCTGTTCCCAGATGGTACTCCAAGGGTATAAAGCAGCGGACCCACACAATCACAGAGACTGACGGCAAGGTTTTTGTTGAGCTATCCAGGCAACCGGGATGGATCGAATCAGACTACTACCAAGGAGAAAAAGGCAAGGTGGAGAGAGCTAAAGCTGAGGCCGCGGATACAGGAGAATACGTTACAGATGATGTTTTTTAAAAATGACTTCTTATTTGCTATCATAACTGTTTAATGAGATCAACCCATATCAGCTCTTTCAGTCACTTCAGGATAATTGATTAATTTTTAGCTTAGTCAACTTTGGTGCAACTTGTTTCTGTAAATCATCAGAACTCAATAAAATCTTCTGTGGATTCATTTGATTTGTTTCTCTGGCACTGGAGAGTGGAATGAGACATGTGATCATGCTCTTCTTCTGCATTTTCCTCTCACATATTATGCATACAGTGAATCAGTCAGTGCTTCAAAGAGCTGCGCTGATCAATAAGGTTCTGAAGTGGAAAATTGTTTATGAAAAGATGCATAAATTAAAACATCATGCAACAACAAAGAGTGTATCACCCATGTCTTTTTCCCACTGGCAGAAGACCCATGGAGATCAGTTTGGAAGGATTATGTTGTGGCATGTGTATCATCCAGTCAGAAAACAGGAAGAATTGTTATCATAAGAATTGTTATCATAATTCACAGAAAAGATAATACAGAAGAGCTGAGTTTGTTTTTTTTCCTAACCTTTTGACGTAAAAAACTCTAGACAGCTTGTCACATTCAGATTGTTTCTCTGATTCATAGCAACGCAGACTGAAACAGCAATGTGGCCCCAGAACTGCAAATGCCGTTGGTGAATAACACAGAGGCCACAGAGTATAATGTTCCAGTGAGCATGAATGATGCTAGTCTCTGTTACTTGCTCTCAGCAAACTCCCAGCATGGTCGGAAGGCTTTGGCCCAAGTGACGCTTTGAATATAATCACAATATTCACAGGGCCTGGGGGGAGGGGGGGGGGGGGGGAAGAGGGAGGGCATATGCACAAAGATAACATGCATTAAAATATGATTACGTAGTCAAACTGGGAATCTTTACATGAAGCTGAGGCTATTATCTGCAGGTGGTCATTTGTAATAGGTCAAGTGGGGGACATTTGTCAAGATAAAGAGCAGACTGTAAGGAGGCTGCTAAGTAGGACTACCAGCGGGAGGCAAAACAGCATATGCTTTTCAGCTGTAGAGGGAATTTTAATTAAGTTCCAATTAAATGCATTTTATAATCTAAAAACATGATAAGATTTACCCACAGGTCCCAAAAGAAGATAGAGATCCACATCCCACAACTAGGACAAATGTGTTACTGCTGGTCTTTAATTAATTGAGGGAAATCTTTCTGAGACTCTGCGGCCAGCATGTGGTGAGCTCTTCAACTGCTGATCGGACCATTCTTCCCGGTTTAACTCCCAGGTTTGGGATTTTCTTTAAATGAACAGCACCCTTCAGTTCTTTCTCTAAATTTCCTGTCGGATTAAGGTCATGGCTTTGACGTGGCAGTTCCAACGCATTCATGTTTTTTTCTCTTTAACCATGATTTGGTCAAACGATTATGTGCATGGCTTGTTGCCTTACTGTCTGACTCAGTTCTGTAGCCTGTGTGCTGTTCCCTGTAGTATTTATTGTTATAATTTGGATTTAATTGCTTCATGAATAGCTGTGTTTTCATGATCACTAATAATCCCACTGATAGGCCAATCAGCAGCTCAAGTAAAGGCAACACTGAGAATAGACTGATCTCGCCCCACCAAAAGGAATTCACCCAGAGTGAGAAACTTAGTTTAAATGTGACTAAAAAGACAATAGAAGCACTGTGGTATACAATTATACAAAGCTGATTGTTTTCATTTGTATGTGTTATATCGGTTCTTACGTGACATCTCTAAACCATGTGTGGGTAAAGTAATGCATTGAGTTTCTCAGGAAAAAATACATTATGTAACAGGTTTACAGGGTTTTGCTGGAGATGTTAGAGGAGATGGTATAAATGAAGAGTTTTAAAAAAGCACTCTGCAGTTTTGCACCATCTTACTGAACTTGCAAAGCATCCCCATTGGAAATATGGCATCTGGTAAGGGAACACCATGCTCTAAAAGCTGTAAATACCTGCCATCATGGATTGTTCCCCTCCAAGGCTTTGCAAAGTTGCCAGTTCTACAGGAATTGGTGCTCAATCAGAGAAGGTGCACTTTTGATCTGGCTGCACGCAGAGGTGAAACGGTCAGTCTCTTCTTTAGTCAGAAGGTTGCATTGCCCATGACTTCCAAAAACATGCTCAACTTTTGATAAATCAAATCTCAGACCACTTGTTCCCTGCCTCAGTCCACTCTGAATGAATGCCCTTTCAGAGAGGATGGCTGATTTCTACAGCACCATCACATTTCTTCTTTTCATGAGAGATTTATTCTGCTTTCATGGATGGAAAACTATGACAACTATGACAACTCACAGACAGCGATTTCTGGAAGTGTTTTCATGACAGAATCCTGTTTCTTTTCAATGAGGTGTCACCTGAGGGCTCTACATCCAGTACAGAGTTTCAGTTGTGTTCAATACACAAGAGCGTGTCTCTGAATCTTTTGTGTGCTGATGGAATATTCAAAGTTGCTGCAATTTTATATTGATCAACCTTCTCTCTGAAAGTGCTTCAGTCTGTGGGTGCAGATTTATGCAGAATGCCTTTAGTCGTCTCGGTCTTAACTTCCTTAGAGATGCTTTGGTGACATCAAGGCCAAAATGAGCTCATATTCATGGTTTCTATTCTATCTGCTGTTTCCATTACTTTTCCCCATCATCCTGACCTTTCGGAGGAGCGGAACATTTTGAATTGTCGCACTTTGGGGCCGGTGGCCTGGGCTTTCTTTCTCCTGTTGTGGTTACGCTACGATGGTGGACTTTTCCAGTCTTTACCGAGCTGTGGAAAGACGGAGGGATAATCCAGAAAAACGAACCCCTGTCAGGACAAAACAACGGGCTTGAAAATAAATGTAAAAAAAACACTGCCCTCCGCGTGTGTGCCGTTGTCCTGTGGAGAGAGCTCGTGCGCATAGGCGCGCGCTACTTTCGCTTATGTGCTCGCGTGCGCGTTGCTGAGTCAGGCACGACCACTCTCGGTCCGGTCCGTCTCTCCCCCCTCCCGTCCCTTCCTCCCCCCCTCTCTCCTCGGTCTCTCGCAGTTGTTCGTCGCCGGCGACACTTTGCCGTTAACCGCCGAGTCGACGTCATGCGGTGCTCCCCCCGGTCCGGACGGCGGGCCGCGGAGCTGCCCCCCCCGCGCCGCTAACCGCCGTTTCCTGCCTCGGACAACTTGTCTCGTCGGTTAGCGCCTCGGCCGCCCATGGGCGCCGCTGCTCCGCCGGGTTGGGCTGTCCGGTCGGTCGGTTTGGGACGGTATCGGAACCCCCTGGTTTGTTTTTGTTTTATTTTATTATTATTTTTTTTCATGAATGAATAACGAGACGGGGGAATGCGAGTGAGACTCGAACTCCCCTGCAGACGGGCTCCGGGGGGGGGCAGCCGCAGATGAGAGGGATTAACGGCGGAGCGGAGCCGCGGCTCATTGCGGAAAAAGCCGAGCTGAGACTGCAGACTGGCGTAAGAAAAGACAGGCACCGGGAGGGAAACGGGCTCCATAGCGTTGAGCGGCGGAACCACACCGCGCTCCATCACAATGTGAGTTCCTCCGAAGCAGCTGCAACTCATTAAGACATGCGAGGAGACGGAGCTCCGGTCCGTAAGCTAAGCTTTCTGTTCTGTTACTGCCACCGCCGCATGCTGTAGGGACAAACACAACAACCAAAAGTATGTGGCTGACTGGGGTTCATTTATCCATGATACCCTCTCAGGTAAAAAAAAGGAAGACCATGGCGAGCTTCTTCTCTCTCATTTTCTTCTCTGCTGTCATAACAGTGGTACTCTGCGTCCGTGATGAACATGAATAATAGGCTCCTCTGTGATGTCTCTGCTCACTCTGAAGGATTTGTCTCCCTCACAGGTCCATCCACATTGTGGCTCTGGGCAGCGAGTGCCCCGGAGGAGTGGGGCCCGGGGAGGAGATAATGGGCCAGGGGCAGCTCCAGGGAGGGCTCCTGTGGAGCTACTTGGGTCACGGGGCTCTGGTGGGACCCTGCGGCATGGAGGACAGCCTTCAAAACCCAGCCTTCATGGAGTACACCTCACGTGTCTTTGGAGATGTGACTGTAGTGGTTCGGGATTGTCCCAGCTGGGTAAGAGAGAACAAACAGGCAGAGATTTGTCTTGTGAATTTGAATTTGGGATGAATTCGTCTCTTCCTTTGATAGTGTTCTTATTTGCATTAAGCAGAGATATTTGAGATTAGTCATCTCGGCTTCTGGATTTAAAGAGGAAGGCTTGCATGCCTTGGATGGCAAAACATGCCAGAAAACGGTGGTTTAATCTTTCCCCGAGCATTGTTATTATGAGAGAGAGTGTGTGTCACTTCACTGACGCGCTGTTTACTTTTCAGTCTGCTTTTGCTGCTCGGAAGACGTATGGTACAGCATTTCAAATTAGAAGGCCTCCCCATGATGATTGCAGGCTTCATAAAAACGTCCACATTCTCAGAGGACGCTATTTTAACATGCAGTGCACCAAAAAATCCAGATGAAAGACCTTTTGTTCCTAATAGCACATGAGTTTCAAATAAAGCCACTGTTGTGATTTTGCCGACATTGTACACGTCCTATTATACAGCTGTCGATCCGTGTCAGGGGTGTCGCTGCAAAAGTCTGGCAGGCTAATTCTCTGCTTCTTTGTTCGTCTTTCTACAAATCGTTGAAAGCTTTCTGGGGTTTTTTTTCTGGACTAATGAGTCCAATCAAGTTTAGAGCAGCTAACCTCACTCAAGTCCCCAGGGGTTAAGTCCCAGGAGCCTATGACACTGAGGTATTCAGACTTGGGAGGGGAGGGGGTTTCCGTTATCCGAGGTAAGATTTATGGCACAGATTTAGTGTGCAGCGACTCTGTGTGTCACATTTCTCATGCATCTGCCCACCTCTGCCCTCCCTCTGTGTGCAATTCATCAAGCTTTCCTTTCCAGGACCTGTTGGACAGCGACTGGGCCAGTGTGCGGAAGGTTCTTGAGCAGGCAGACATCCTGGTCATTAAGTATTCAGTCACAGACAAGCTGGCCTTCCAGCAGGTCCGGAACGGATACGCTCCGAGGCTCCGCCCCCTCTTGAGGCACTGGGGTGTGCCTGTGATCCTTGTTGCTGTTGGAGCCCGGCTGAATGGTGAGCACGCATGGCCCTCCTCTCTGCCCTTCTGTGAGTTAATTTCAGCCCACGTCCCTGATGTGGTCGAATGTCGCAGATGTGGGGAGCAAAAAAACAGACAACGTCTCGAACCTTTTAGCCACTTTACTTGATATTGTTGTGTTTCAGGGTAAGGTCAAGGCTGCGTCAGTTGTTGGCTTTTGGCTTATGGAAACTATCAGGTTCTATGGTGTGGTGAGCCACTGTCTCAGTCCTGTGTCCTCCAGCCTGTCCTTCCAGTAATGGGAGGGATGCTCATGATTAAGTCTGCTCATGGTTTCCTTCAGGCTTGTCAGCTCATATTCCTCCCTTAAGGAGAGAAGTCAAAGTGTAACAGCAAGTTTGTAGATTTTGAAGCCTTGCGAGTAGATGAAAATTCCTAATTATGGCTCAAAGGTGCACCACAACACCTCTGTATGCCCCACTGTAAGTAGATTAGGGCATTTGGGGCTGCTAGCCTGCAGGCTGATTGATACCGGAGGAATTCACATATGTTTGCACCTTAGCGAGTCTATGAGTGTCTTTCACAGACGTGCTGACCCCTGTTGAATTCAGATATTGTAAACAAGCCTATCAAACAGCTCAGGTTGTATTTTTAGCCTCGCTGCTCAACATACTTTGAGATCCTGTCAGAGCACTGCTGCAGAATGATCACAGTGCAAGACTTTGCCTTAAAGACAGGGGGAGATGAAGAGGGAGCGAGGAGCTGTGAACCGGAGCCTTTGTTTTTGTTTTCTTTGCGGCTGCTGTGAGGGTTTTCATTCCATCCCCTCACGGCTGCAGAAAGTGACGGCTGAGCTGTGACGACTTCCTGCCGCTTGACTTGGAGCCACCTAAGGTGCAGTGGGTAGAGAGCGCTGCCGTGCTTGCGCTAATGCAGCCGGTAAAACAGAAGAGGGACGGAGGAGCGCAGACAGACTTGTCCAAGGGCACGCTCGCACACAAACGCACCACTGATACGCCAAGTCACCGCCTGTCAGAGGCTCACAGACGCTCTCTTTTTCCTTTTGCTACCCCTCACTCTCAGAAACGCAAACTCAGCCTCGCTGTGTCTGTGTCATGCCTTTAGGTTATTGGAAGTATGATTTATCAAATGCCTCACTTCACTCTGCCATTCCCTCTCTCCCCGTGTACAATCTCTCTAGCCCTTTCTGCCCCCTCAAGATAATCCCTCTCTCTTTCTCTCTTTTTCTGTGTCCGAGTCCCCCATGCACGCCATACACATGCCTCTGCAGATTTTAGTCTCTTAGATTCGACTCATATCTGTAATGCTTACTGTAAAAGCCGGAGTCTTAAAGCGTTCACAGTCCAGAGCCTTGAACGCCATGCACTAAACTTAGAACAGCTACATTCACAAACTTGAAGTTTGTATAAAAGCCTTTTAAAAAGAGAGAGGAAGAGAAAGAAGGACGTTTTACATTATAAAACCACACACAGCAGCAGCTTGTATCAACTAAATGTACAAACAGAGTGAACTGATTTGGGACTGGGGCTGTGCAATACCCCAGATATTTGAAGTATTTTCACTACAACATGATCAAACCCCATGTACTCATTTGTTAGAGTGCCAGTCAGTGTGCTTTGACTGACCTGGGTCCAGTTCTGGCTAATGCAAACCACAGCAGAGTGAGGGATGAGTGTGTTTACATATAATCTAAAGCTGTTCAGTGATTAAACTTTCCCTTGACTTGAAGTGTTAATCCTTTTTATTCAGATCTATAGAGTGTGGTGTAAAGCTGTCCTCAGTGTGTGTTGATCCATGTCAGGAGTGGACATTAGACCTGGGGATGCTGCGTACCTAAGGGATCATTTACTCTGTGCTGTGTGGATATAGACTGTGTCATCCGCACACTTTTATTGTGCAGTGATGATTAGCCATTCGGTTTTGTGTTCAGATGAAGGCCCTCCTTGTACGTGTCCGCTGTGTGCGTCTGATTGGAGCAGCTGCGTGCCTCACAGCGAAGGCCTGCAGCTCTCCCGGGACCTGGGGGCCACTTATCTGGAGCTGCCCTCTCTCAACCACGTCTTTGTTGGTCGTTACTTTGGCAGTGTGGTAAGTGATAACACAACGCGGTGACCAGTGAATCCTTTATAAAGTAAGGTCACTGATGCTAAGTGTGATTAAAAAAAAACCCCTCCTGCCTTGAGGAAAACAACGTTCCCACATTAGTTCTCTGCATTGACACATCGATCTTTCCAGTTTGATTACTTTCAAGGTGAAAAAAGGATGTCTGTGTTTTTGTCTTGTTTTGTTCAGCTAGAGTACTTCATGATCCAGTGTCTGAAACACAAAGCCAAAGAGAGGCCAGAAAAGAGGCGAGGAAATAAAGTGAATGACCTCCGCCCCCCTCACTTGGAACAACCAGGTCAGAGGAACAGTACAGTAGCATTTAATGAGGGATGCTGTCTGTACTCCAACTAACATGTATTGATGTGTCGTTTGCATTCCAGAAGATAAATCTTTACATTCGTATTGGATCTTTTCTTTTTATTTCTTCTTTCATTGGTTTTGACTCACTAATACTCTTTGTTAATGAGCTTATTACAGTTTATTTACATACTCCTGTTCTCTGCCTTTTGAAAGTATTTAGTGGACTGACTGGAAGGTTTCTTCCTCAGCTTACTTTGCCATAAAAACAGCTGAGCACAAAGGTTTATGTGGATCAATATTGTGTTCCGAACTGGAAATAAGATGAGAGATAAAAAGGCTAGGTAGACTAGTTTTTTTAAAGAGACATTTGAATCAATTCAACTTTGGAATTATGTGTCCCAACTCAGGGGAGGATCACCCCATAGGCTCCTCTTTAACTAATATATCTTGATATATTAGATCAATCAGGAATTCCAAATGAGTTTAAAGTAATGTACCTCAGATGGTACGTGTGGTATAAAAACTAGCAACAAACAGACCAAAATAACCACTTTACAGAAGTCCTTTTATGTTTTTTCCCCAAAATGTTAATTTAAGGGTTAATCAGTAATCAAACAGTGATCTGTAGATTGTTGACTTATTATGTAAGAAGCAAAGGTTTATTTCCATTTGCAGATTAAATATCAATTAAGCTTCAAAACAAAGCCCTTGTGGAAGGATTTTAAGTTCCAGCTTGAACATCTACTTGCTTGCAGATTTACTGCTGGCTGAAAGAAGCTGCTGCTAAGCCAATCAGATTCTGCAGACACAAAAAGCACTAATTATGGGGGGATAATTGAGTAGGCCAATCAAAAGACGCCAAAACTCCCAGAATCCCTCCCATTCATATGCAGGGGGCAGCTTGATAAGGGAAAGTATCATTACTTTGGGAAAGCTAAAAACTAAGAAGCTGACACGGGGAGTTTGACCGCTGCATTGCCTTCACTTCTCCCTGCCCTTTGAGGATCTCCTATCCTAAATGGTTAAAAGATGTGGAAAACCAGCTCCCATTCAAAAACTCTAGGACGTTGTTTCAAACTGGGGATGTTTTCAGTGTGTGCTTGACAGGAGATAATCTAAAGAAATTCTGAATTCTAGTGCTGTGCAATTTTTTTGCAGAATAAAGACGCCTGGAAATATCAAACACAAACCAAGGCGTTTAACTGGTGTTAAATATTGATCTGGCTGCTTTGCTGCTGTGTGTGCTTAAATCTGAGGCTGTGACTGAAACCTTAGAGTCCTGCCAAAAATGGTAGATTTATTGGGGCCTGTCTGACACTACTTAACTCAAGTTACAGGGCGGCTAACATTAAGTATGACATGCACTAATTCAGGATCAGCACAGTTTTCATGGCTAAATCAGAGCCGTAATAAAAGTAGGAGATGAGGTGCAAAGAGGTGCAGAGTGTATGCAGCACAAATACCCTGTTAGCGCCTCCCCCTCACGCTGCCACGACTCGCCGCTTATCACCTTTTATTAATCTGCTTCCACGAATGTAGAAGATGTAAATTAGAGACAATGGTCTTCCCTTTTTGTGTTGTTTTATGTAGGTGCTCTTTTTTTGTTGATATTTTAAGATAAATTCAGTTCTTAGATTTTTATTTTAATAACTAAAAAACCCTACAAGCCAACTTCTAATTGGAAATTTTAGCATAATCGCTGAAAAGCTACATTTAGGTAGCAGACCAGAGACACAACACCCCCTGCACACCGAAGTAGACCAGAATCGGTTCAAACTTGTGTATTTCCAGAATCGTCTTTAGCTCATTTTCTTACTTGCACCTCAAAAAAAGGCATTTCATGGCCGTGGTTTCCCTCATCTTTCACACTTTATTGGCTGGAAGACTACACTACACTATTGCTGTCACAGTCACTTTGTCCGTGCACACCCCATTTCTCACTGACAAAACTTCAAGCCAAAGGAAGAAATCAATAGTGGAAGAAGACGCGTTTATCTGAAATGCAAATCTCCTGGCAGGCTTTAAATGCAACACGTTTGGCAAATTTGCCTTATCGAGGCACGAGCTGTATTTCAGGTAAAATTAGGAAATCTCCATCTTTAAATCCGGCGTGCTATCTTCTTCCATCCTTTTAGCTCGTCTTCCCCCTATCCGGGTGGAGGAGTCCAGCTTCGCCCAGGACATGCAGTGGTTGTTGGAGCGTGGCGTGCAGTTCGCAGACGTGGCTTTCTATGCTGGGGATTCTGGGAAAGAACTGGGGTGGGCACACGCTGCTGTGCTCTGCGCTGTCAGCCCATACTTCAGACAGCTGCTACTGGGACCCAAGACCAGGTAGGAGAGGTATTTACATGCTCACAGCATGGAGTTTAATCAGCTCCATCACTGCCCCAGCTCTCCCTCAGACGGAGCTCAGCTGTTTCTCTAAACTCTAATTATGATACAACAGCGAAGCTCTTTTTTCCATCTCTGGTTGCTCAGGGAACGCCCACAGTCGCGATGCATTTGCAGAGAGCGGGACGCAGGCCCCCATTCGCTCCTCTCCACCTGGGATGGGGGCATTATTGATGACATGCCACGATCGGAAGGGCACGTGACGGGACGCCTGACCCGGCTGGTGGTGAAGGACCCCCTCTTGTGTATGTGCTTGTGGGAGACGCTCATGTTCATTTACAGAGGTAAACCCACCTGTCAAACACTGCTGAGACTAAATAGCTGTTTAATGTCTTCTAAGATGTTTCTATTTAACTGGTTTAGAAACTATTTCTCTGGCACTGCTAAACACAAAAATTTCCCTGACTGCCTTAGTGCTTGAAAACAAAGCCTTTTCCCTTGTTGTCAAGCATCACAAATATCTTATTTACTTGTCATGCCAACATAACTACATGTTTATTTTGATGCATGACTAATCTTTCTGGGTCACCGTGGTCGTGAAAACAAAAGTATACTTCGATGAAAAATGACGATAGCCTGTTATGGGGTGGCAGCAGGGGAGGATTGGCAGTAACAGCCCTGCCTGCCATCCTCTGACGAAAACCCTGTGATCACTCCAACATGAAGATGTCCAAACTGACACTCTGGAAGCAGGATCAGATGCAGACAAAGCGCCAAACAGTGGGTGGATATCAGAAAAGACTAAAAGCATCTAACCAACAACAGCTATCATGTACTTCCTTACAAAACAATACAATTAACGCAGGGGACGGTTCAGCCATCACACTAAGCAGTGAAGAAGTATGTTGTTCCCTGTAACTCAATTAAAATCTTTGCATTACACTTCATCACGTGCTTTAATGACATGGTGAGTTATTTTAAGGTTTTTGGTTTCAGTGTTTCAGCCCAGATCCTTCCTGCTCTGTTTGTGTAAGCACATTGTGCACGTAACAACTAGAGTTTGAATACAGCTAACAGAATTTGACTGAGATTCATGAGAAGGTAGAAGGCAGTTAGTCTTTCTCTAATAATTAAGATGTGATGATAAATGCCCCCTGGCAGCAGAAGCCAGTCGCTCTCCTTTTGGGCCTCATCCAATGCTCCATTACAGCGAGGAGCAGAAATCTGTCAAACTGAAAGACCTTGATAGTAAGCAACTGTAGTACTTTAAACCGGGAACTGATGGTTCATTTTGGAATAGTGGGGTCTGGCACTGCTTTCTTAACCTGTATTTGCACTTGGCTCCCTCAGGCCACTTGTTTTGAATTTGTCTCCTCCTTTGCTCAGCCCTGTTTATCTTCATGGAAATCAGTTAGGACCAACTGGGGCACTGAGGGGAAGTCGTTAGAGAAACTTAGATTGTTTGATTGCTACATAGAATTCGACTTCGAAAAAGGTTTGAGTCCTCTTAATTCACAAGAACAATGATAGCCTGGTGGTGGCGCTGGTTTTGTATTAATTTACAGTGTTATAGACAAGTGGAGGTCTGGAGCTTATCCTCAAGATTATTTTACAGGTGTGAGATGTCCTCTGTTACTCTAATAAAAAGAAAATCAGTCAGTGGCTTAGACTGCAGATCACAGCCCTTACATGGCTGCACTTCACCATAGGCTGCATGTCACGCTCGAATCATCACCGCAAGAAGGCTTTTCTACCATCTGATTCATAGCTGCCTGTAAAATGTACGCGACTGGCACTGATGCTCTGACACATAACTATAAGAGGCTGATGCACAAATGCATAATATAGTGGAGGGTGAGCGGAAAGGGGAAAAAGATTACAGGGTGAGACTGCCATTCTGTGAGTGGCTGCATGAATAAGAATAAGAGAGCCAGTGGCTGGAGCAGTGAGGGAATATACAGTGCTACTTCCCTGAGTGTGTGTGTGTTTTAGGAAGAAAGGCAAGTACTGTGTAGGGTGAAAATCGAAGGTGGCAGGATGTGAAGATGAGATGGGAGGGAGAGTGTTGGAGGAGGAGAAAGTAAGGTGGTGCTTTTCTGCAATTGTGTAAGAAAATGTGCTTGTAACAGGCTGAGCCTCTGTCAGTGTTTGCGTGAGGGTGAGAATAGGGGAAGGGGAATATGTGGGCACGAGCTGAGTACAAACGGGAATGTCACGTTCCCATAAACCCCTGCAGGCGGACAATGTTAAGTCGTGTGAAAATAACCAAAGTTAACCTTCAACATGAAGGGTCCGGCTGCACGTTTTAGGGATCACACATCACGTACAGTTCACTCTGTGTATTGCTGGCTTTGCTCGAATTGGCGTTAAATGAATCGCTGTGATCCATTCCCACCGAGACATTTAGAGTACGCTGAGCAAATATCAGAGGCCCATTTTCTGTAAACAAATTCCACTTTGTCCATCATAAAAATAGAAGGAGAATCTTTTGTTTGTGATTTGGCTCCGCGCTGCCCTCATCCGTAGCTCATTTTCCCGTTGCAGCTGGATGTCTCAGTCACCTCGCAGCATCACACCCACAGATTATTCCAGGCTCTGGGTTCTGGTCATTTGGCTGTGTGAGGACACTCGCACAGACCGTGACTTTGCATGTGAGACGTTAACACTTTGAGACTCTTTCTCCTTTTGTACTCCACTGCTGAATTATTGAAAGTGTCACTTTGTCGCAGTTGTGGTCACGAGTGTATTCTGCATAAACAGAACATAATCGGATCCTGACGGACCAATGTGTTTATGTGGATACTCTACTTTTTTCACGCAACAGCCCAGTTGTTTTTGTACAGAAAAGGGAAAGAGAATAATATAAATCATGTTAAAAGCTGTCCTTGCAGCACAGTTGTGTTTGCAGGGATTAGGTCCACATTTCCCCAGGCAGTGATGTGGCCTTGGTGCCGTTAAAGAAAATCCCTCAGAAACTAGCTTTAATCTGTCCAAGCTGCTCCAGCAGCGTTGTCGGTCGTTCATGAAGTGTGGTGACATGTTCATCGGCAGGACCTGAAAATTGCCTTAGCGCTTTAGCTTCTGCCTTATATTCTCTGGTTTGCTTTGTTTCAATTCCATCCAGGTACATTTGTTTTGTGCTGCGTCATGTGTCGGCATTACAGCTTCTGGACTAATCTCTCACCCTGCATTCAAGGTGTGTTTTGGTGCTGTCTCATTACCCTGTGCTGCGTGTTGAGGTAATCCCTCCTTTGGCATAAATACCGTCATTATAACAAATGACGAGCGAAATCCTCCCCAGAAGAGTTTACTTCTTTCCTCAACAGTCTGCTTGTAAGTTACTCACAATGTGCCGCTGCTGTTCTGAGCGAGCCATGAGGAATGGCAGGGATAAGTGAGTCCAAGGAAAGCAGTTCAAACATTTGGGGGTTTTTTTTGTTTTTGCTTCTTGGTTGGCTAATGGTTGATAATAAGTAATTGCCGCCTAAAACGGCCTTAAAACCATTAATTCCATGAAAATGATGTGTGATAGTTCCCATATATTGACTCATAATAACTTTGATGATGGCAGATTATTTCCAGTGGCACCATATATTTTTTATATTCCAATTTAAACCAAATGTGGCTGTTAAATCGCTCTTATAGATAGTTGCTGTTTTATTACCATCATGCATCAACGTGTCAGTTTGCTAAACATTTCCATAAACAAATGCGGAAGGACACTAACATAATGAATAAATGAAAAGTGTAAACACTCCCTTCACTTTCAGGCAGCTTGATGCTTAATTCTGTTAATGCTTTTGAAAACATCTTCCTCTACATATAAAAAAAAGTTGTACACTTTCAGTTACAGAGCCACAACATTAAAAAATAAACACTTCTGCAAGATTTCTGGGCAGGATTATGTTTTTTCCCTCTAGTTTAGTCATCCTGCACAGTCATTAGTGTTTTGTAGCAATCGCAGAGTCTTTCAGGTCTTCGAACTTCTGAGAGATTTTCTCCTCTAAAGTTTATTCATAGGTTCACCCTGATGATTAAGGACTGTGCATACATCTCATAATGTAGGCTTGATGATGATTATCATGCTGTCAGCCACCGTCTTTTTCTTTTCAGCTTTCATTTAAGTGTGTTTTTTTGATAGCAGAAATTGCATTTGACTGAATCTGTTAGATTCTACTGGTGAAATATTCCCAGTGACACGAGCTTCAAAAGAAATTCTGCACCCTGCTTTTCAAAAAACATCTGAGCTTTTTGAAGTTTGAAAAAAAAAATAATGTTACAACCCTCAAGTCAACATGACCTTTTAAATAATGCGCCAGGCTTTATTTAGATGCCCATTTGCAAACTTTGCAAGTGAAGCTTTTGCTGCTGAGATGGATGGAGCTTTTCTGTGTCAAATTCAATGTTTGTGAGATTTGTGCAAGTGTGGCTGCACAGTACCACACACGCTCCCGGGCTCTTGATTAATCTCCCTTAAAGCCTTTTTCTGCCAAACAGAGGTTTTTTAGTATGCCTACTATCAGTCCTCTGATTGTTGCTGTTAAAAGCCATCCTCACACATAACGTTTCATGGTGATTTCTGTGCACTGTTTACTAATTTTCTCCTCGACGTGCTGCATACAGGAGTTAAAAATGCCTTTCTGTCAGAACAAGGTTAAAGTTGTAAAGGGTATTTGTTTTTTCTTCTTTGTCCTAACAGAGACTGTGAACATGCTACTATCTGAAAAGACTAAAAAAAAAACCATTTAGTTCACCTCTCCTTTTTCTCCTTCAGCAAATATTACAAAAAAAATAATTAATATTTTTTTCAAAATCAAGTTTTCTGTGATACTGAAGTCGTAAAGACTGCAAGATAATCAAGAACACCACTCGGCCGACTGAAGGCAGTTTTTATAGTAATTGGTGTATTTCATAAGGGCCTTTTATGAACTTTTTCTAACATATGGAATCTGATCTGGTAGCACCACCCATAACCACCAAAGATTATGTAAACTGGTGTGTTTACTAAAAATCCAGCTTTCGCTGAAACAGACACCAAGTGTTCAGTCAAAGGCATGTGGGTGGTCAGAGCACAATGCCAGCGAGAAAATAGTTTTCCTGTGAATTTGTGAAATGTGGACTGTTTCGGACCCATAGATTCAGTGTGTCTGTGGATACTTTGCAGGAGCGTGGGAGTGGGAGCACCTCCAGGAGGCCCTGGAAGAGAAGCTCAAGAATTCGATAGCTGTGGCTCAGCTTATGGAGCGCATACGGTCGCTCATCGGCAGAGAAAGGGTGAGATCTTCTGTTGAATAAATAGCATGACAAAACAACATCTTAAGATGTGCATGACATGGCTTCTCTAACAGAGTTTAAGTCGCTTTGATTTATCAAATCTATTCTTTGAAGGCATACACATGCACCCTTGTGCCTTCATTAAAAATATCCACTTTTGAATCTTTGAAGTAATACGGTGACTGCGATTAACCTAATTAAATGCACATAATTAGTGCTTTTAATCACCTCTTGAATTAAAAAGGGAACTAGCAAAAAGTCAACAAGTCTGCAAGGAACAAAATCACACTATCTAAAAAGGCACATTAGCTGTGAACACCAAAAGTTGGTGTTAAATAAATGTAGCATCACAGCTGTTTTTTTATATTTGGAAAGCTTAATGTGGCTTCAGATCAAAAGCAACAGGCTTTAAGATTTAGAGTGGGATCAGGAGATATGACATGGCTGCATCTGACAGGCCTTTGGGCACGGCGCATGCTCCACCAACCCAACAGGAAACAGGAATTCTACCTGAGGCTGGGAGCTGACACACCGAGATGAAATGGCCCCTTTAACGTGATGAGACACCATAATGTTTTGTCATGATTTGATCTGTTCCTGTGCAACCCCCCCCGGCCAATTGACTCTAAGGTTTGGTGAATTTAACTCTCACCACGCTTTGCTTGGATTTAGAAAATCAAAGCCCATTATTCTGCCACCGTCTCCACTAAATACTTGCCTCTCTGCAGCAGAGCAGTGTGAGAATGCGGTTCTTTTGTGCTTCAGTGGACTATTAAAGGTCGTGAAATGGTAATGAGATGCTCCAGGACCTCATTTGCGGACTTCAAAACCCTGTCTGCAAAAACATTAAAAACAACCCCTCTCACACTACCGGGCTTACAAATTCTACATGTTTCATCAGTGGA